TCATGTGGAAAGCAAGCCTTTTCAATCATCCAAAAGAAAGTCCTAAGCATTCAGTCATAATCTGAAATGTCCCATTGATCCACCTTTCTCTATTTGTTTGAACAGACCTGGTTTTGTACATTAGGGGCACTAATTTTTTTAAAAAAAATCTGGCCCCTTTTTGGAGCAAAAACTTAAGTCTGCCATCTCAACATTTGCAAATCAGGTAGTTGCTTGCAAAGCAATCACAGAAATCCAGCAAATATAAATGGTAAGGCTGCCTGATATTTAAAACATTTTAGTTTATTAACCAATGGATCACTCAGTTGAATCATGCAATTTGCATATTGCCCAAACTGTAAGATTAATTAGTAATTTTTATATCGTCTGTGAAAATGCTGTAAGGCTGTGCTCATATGTACGGTACATTTACTTTGCATAAGCTCCACTGACCTGAGTGGGATTTACTTCCAAATAATCGTGCATAGAAATTGGGCTGTTGTTAACTTTTTCAATCATACTTGCTTGGGTCTGTTGTTATGTTTTCCCAGTGATCTTTTATGAAAACAGTTTTCACACATCTACTGCTCCAACTCAGAAGTTGGCATCCAAAAATAAATTGAAACAATGGTGTTTGCCACCATAATCACCATGCACATATCTGTACATAGCTGAGGTCTGCTGCTCACACTTTGATGCAAAGTGGGAGAAGCAAGCATCTATGTTTGATACAAAACAACTGCTAAAAATTAAAAGAATTACCTGAAAACACTGTACATGTTTCTTTTGGCTAATTAGGCAATCTGCCCAGGTGTTTAGCACCAAGGCATCATCAGCGCCTTAATTGGAACAGCATTAATCAAAAGCAGAAGTCTAACAATAATTAACCATGCATCATTACCATAATCTATCCCCTTTATTACATAAGATTCACAAATTACTTGAAGTATCACAATAACCCCTGTTAATAATTATTGCCTGACAAAACTACAAATTAGCTCTTAAATTACACAAAAGCTGACAGGCACAACTATTCTGTACGAAATGGGAACACGAAGCATTCCAAGAGCTGGCAAAGGTTTAAAAACCAGGGGGGTGGGCGGCTTCTTTTGTAAAAGAGAAAGAGAAAGCAGCATACCTTCCGCTATTTTGACCTCTGTGATGTGGGAGAAAGAATGAAAAATTGCTATCCCCTCTCACCTCACACCAACATGTATACACACTGCAGGCACAAGTTAAACATTTCTGAGGTCTACTGTTTTCAACAGAAGAGATAGTCACATGCCTTAATCTAACTTGCTGAAATCAGTGGGACCAAAAAAACTTAATTTGGCTGGATCATGCCCACATAGTCATAGTTTCAAGTTGCACAAAGCTGGAATTGCTTTTGAATTTGGAGTCCTTGTAACCCAGCCTAAGCGTTTGTTCTAATATATAGTGTTCCTTATCTTGGCTATCTTCTCATAAATTACGCTGAAAATTAGCCTGATGTTTTCGCACTGTGTTCACATCTAAACTATTTCAAGCTCCTCTCCTTTTACTTTGTGTGGCAGAAACAAAGCTTATTTTTGCAGGGAGCTGAAAATGATTTTCACGTGTGTAGAAGGGCTATGGTCAGCTCTTGCCAGTTGAGCTGTAAATTACATTATTATAATATTAGCAATTATTTGCAGACACATCATTAAGTGATTATTCACAAGAAGGAAAACAAGGCAGAACTGAAAGCACTGTAACAGTGTCGCCCAATTTTAGGGACCACGGGGATCTAATTCTTCAGACCCATACAACTTGCACAGATGAAATTTTAAAAAATATTTTAAAGTGGAACAGCTTTCCACATAGCTATAGCCCTGATCCTAATGCCTTACAACTGCGTATCTATCCAAACATAACTGATGATAACAGAAACGCTACATAGCATCCAAAGTGTGTCTTATGGTAGCATGCCAGTGCTAAATATTCTGCATGCAAGGCGGTGAATGAATTTGCTAAATCCACAGGCAGGATAACTAGATCCATAATCACCTCATACTGAAATGGTTGTGAGGACCAGCCGTTAGTTGCCACTGCTCTTCTACCCTCTTCCAACTCTGCCACCTTTCCATTAATCTTCAGTACACCATGCTGCACATTTTAACTGACTAGCTCAACTCATTTTTTTCTGCTGGTCTTCCTGCCACAGCTACAGATAGACCTGGTGTCAGCTGCAAGGAACCAGGAGCCTTGCCAGGGCCTCATGGGGCTGATGCCTACCCACCAACAACAATGATCTCTCTTCCATTGTTGTCACGAACACTGTGGCCACCAGCAGCACTGCAGCTAGTAGTCCTTCCTCACTTGCACGGCCATGTTTATGGGTTCAGGACCTTGTTAGATGTGCAATAATGCTTGGGTTTTGCCTCTGTGACCTTGTTGGTCTGTTGTATATTCAGATAACCTCCCCCTGTTCCTATAGCGTAGTCCTCCAGAGTTGGAGAAACGCGCAGAAAAAAAACTTGGAACATGGAAAATAATGCAATGCCAGTTGTTTTATGATGACCTCAGAAAGCTTTTTATTTCTTTTGTCTGTGGTCCAAAGAAGTTCCTTCTAAATGCATATTCCACACCTTATTCCAGTCGAAAAGCTTCAGTAACAGCATCATTAAGCAGGCTATTCCCCAGAACTGGGAAAAGAAAACCCACTGTAAAATAACTACAGTTATTAGGTAGCCCAACTGCACTATATAAGAGATACTGTGGTGGTTTAAAAGCGCACAAGCTCTCTGTTTACTCTTTGAAAGAAAAGGGGAAATAAAAGGAGAACTAGGAAGAGAAAGCAGCCATTGCAGTTGGTTTGGTTGTACTAAGAATAATTGCCGTCAATATTGATTAGTCCTTAGGGACCATGCTGAATTTGAAATTTGCAGGCAGTGAAATCCCAGATGATATGTACACTACTTGTTATGGCTCCTATGTTTAAACATCTCAGGAAAAAATGTGAAACTAATGGTCTCACATTGGGTATAATGTGTTATCATATAGCAAGGCTACTCCTGTCACCAAATAACAAATTCCAGAAGGGTAGCCATGTTAGTTTATATAGCAGGAAAATACAAATCAAAAGGATCTTGTAGCACTGTAAGACTAAGCAATGTATTGTGGCATGTGCTTCTGTAGGTTACAGCCTGCTTCATCAGAAGGATGCAGCAGCCTGGAAAGCTGGTAGGTATATAGTTTTACCTAAGTGAAGGTAAACCATAAGAGATTTCGGTACACAATACAATTTGTTAATGATGCCTTAGACTGTAATCCTATACTGACTTACTTGGGAGTATGCCCCACTGAACTCAATGAGATTTAATCCTGATGAGATGCGTATATAATAGCACTGTAGAAGCCAGCTTAACATTTTGAAAGTACAAAACCTATGTGACTTTAAAATACACATATGGCACCTTCAGGGATGTGTGAAAGGTACACACACATCTAAAGGGCAAGTTTCCACATAACATACATGGAATCCCAGACAGAGAAAGGCTCCCGCTTCAGTGTCAATTGCAGAGAAAAAGCATGAGGTATTTTGTTTTAGTTATCAGTGGAAATGTTATCTAAAAATTTTAAACTCTAAGGGTTCTTCCAGACTGTCACTATTTTATGGGAGGGATTTATGATCATTCTTATGCTACTCGGTCAAATTTTTTGATATACATCAATTCAACTGAAATGGAACATAGACCCTTAGTGGTTATGTTTTAGAAGATTAGGCTGAGGTGATTTCCTCAGTGCCTTAGGATTGTGACTATAAAAGATGCATCACATGAATTAAAGTCTGATATTACCTTTGCTATCTCCCCCCTCCCTCTTACCCACTCCATTTTTCTTTCCCCCTTTTCTCTCTCTTTCCTTCAGTATGTTTAATATTGTTTATATTTTGTCTTTATTTTAAAAATTAATAGTTTCTTCTAAAAAAAATCTTAGTAAAAATCAGGCACAATCTAACCACCGCATGAGTTTTGCCCAAGCAAATCAGGATGAATGCTGAATAAACAGGCTGTCCAAACAGTATGCATTTGTTTGTAATTAATTTGCAAAACAGGTCTTTTTTTCATGGCCACTTACATATTTCACTGGAATGGGCTGGAGGACTTCCCAGGGGAAGTAAGGATCTTAAAGGATGAAGAAAGCTGTATTTCTAATGGAAATACAGACAATGTCGGCACCTGAAGCAACGTCTCCACCTTATTCAAGAGAGTGCAGTATATAGAAGGCATTCCTCAGGTATCCTAAGCCCAGACTATTTTGGGCTTCGAAATATATAACAACATAAATCAAATAAAATTTATTGTGTGAATGCATTAAGGACTTGGTTGTTGAATTATGTAGTCTCTTCTGAGAATTTGTTCCTAGAGAAACAGCACCGCCTACAGGCCAGAACACACTCAAGCAGGCTTTGGGAATCATTTTCCTTACCAAATTCTTAAGGTCTTATCATATGCAGCTATGACCCAAATCATCTCCTAAGTGACTTTTCAGAAGAGAAATAAATTGCTATCAGCGTTTGCTCAGATGTAACTAGTTAAATGATAATTTTACGATTATCATTTGCTCCCAACTATGGTCCAAACGTTTGTCGAGAACTTTGACTATTTGTTTATTTGTTTGATTTTACATATACAGTAGGTTCAAATGTCAGGTGCAAATGTACATCTCATCCTGCATTTTTCACAATATGGGGCACAAGTCTGATATCTAGTACATCCCATTCAACTACTTTTGAAGACCTCAAGACGTAAATTTAATCTCCATATATGATGGTTTATTTTTTAAAAAAAAACATTTGGAGAGTGTCCATTTGTACATTTTTTCAATGTGTTGGGCAAAACCAGCTCTTTGTTTTCAGAATTTCACGACTCTTTTGACACTCCGATCCAACCGTGATCAGCTGCGGTGCAGAACTCGTCGCCTGTTCTCATTTCCCATCCGCTCAGTACTTGGTTTTGCAAGTTCGCTCCCGAGAATACCACATTAAAATGCTTTAAAAATATATTTATTTCATATGGGTATAGAGCATATGGATAACCTGCCTTTCTTTCCTCGCGGATGGAACTGCGCCACCGAGCTAACCTTGTTTCCATAATAAGGGAAAGAGACGGGGCTCTTTCGAGTACGTATTTAGAATTCCCCTTCTTCGCCCTCCCCGAGCCCGGCCACTCGCGGGCGCAGATAAGATCAGCCTCCCCGCCCGCCCTGCGTGGCTTTCGGTTTCGGATCCGGCGGAGGCGCCTCGGCTGCCGAGCGAGCGACATGGCGTCTGCCTGGAGGAGAGCCTCGAGGGCTCGGCCGCTGCAGCGGCGCAAGCGGCGGGGATGAGAGCGGCGGCGGGGCGCTCGGGCGCGGCCAGGTGAGCCACTTCGAAGGAGGCAGGCGAGGACGAGGCGCCCGAGTGTCCGCGGGGGAAGCGAGGCTGGCGGGGTCGGGGCTGGAGCTACGCCTCGGCGGGTCCCCCGCGCAGCCTGGAGCTTCTCGGCGAGGCGGTGGAGGCCGGGACAAGCCGCGCTCTTCCGCCGACCCTCGCACAGCTCGGGCCTTGCAGGCTTGCGAGGAAGGGGAAGGAGGGAAGGAAGTTAGCGAGGGATGGCGGCGCACATGCGTCGTCTAGCTCCGCCTTTCCGAAGGAAATGGCCGCTGAAATAAACGGGCTGGTCTCCTGAGCGAGGCTGGTTATATATGGCTGCTGGCTTGTGTTGAAAGTGTTTTTAGGCAACTTTAGTTGCATATTTCTGTACAGTAGTAGCTTGGTTCTCAAACTTAATGTGTTCCCAAAGTCCGTTTCAAAACCAAAGCGTTCTGAAACCAAGGCACACTTTCCCATAGAGAGGAATGCAAAATGGATTAATCCGTTCCAGACTTTTAAATACAACCCCTAAAACAGTAATTTGACATGAATTTGACTATCTAACGAGATAAAATGAAAGCAATAAACAATGTATTGCAGTCACAGGATCAGTCAGTCAGTAGCTGAAGTGGGTTCCACACAGTCACAAAAACCCCAAAAAGAGCTGCAAAAACAAAAACGCATAATAAATAGCAAAAACAGACAGACCTCAGTGTAACACTCAAAACGGAAGTGTGGCACTCAAAACGGAAGCATAACAATCAAAACGGAGCACATTCAACTTCTAAAAAAAGTTCGCAAACCGGAACACTTCCGAGTTTCCAGTGTTTGGGTTCCAAGTTGTTGGAGTACCAAGGCGTTTGAGAACCAAGGTACCACTGTATTGTATCTTACATTGCATATTCAGTGTTGTGAGCCACCCTGAGTTGCTAATAATAATAATATCCCACCCATCTGGCTGGGTTTCCCCAATCACTCTGGGCGAATTACAGCATATACAAAAACATAATAAAACATTCAGCATTAAAAAACAGAATATCTTATACAGACTATAAGTAACCAATAAATCAGTAGGAACATAAACATAAAAATAATCAGTTTACAGTTATACCCACATTAAAATAACCGCCAACGGAAGAGCACAGTATAAAATTCACATAATAAGTAAAGTGTTTGTCATTAAGGCCCTACAAAAGTCTTCCCTGTTTTTAAATAACGTTTATTTCAGCTCAAGTGAGCTCAACTTCCACAGGTTTGGATGGCAAGAGCGCCAGTAAGTGTGTTTGTTTCCTTCATTATTAGGGCCAAACTACAAAGCAGCTCTTACGTATTGTATTAGAATGAAAGGCATCTTTTCTGGAAAGTGTGGCTTAGCATCTAAGAAACAAAACCCGAAATCAGTCCTGGAAAAAAATGAATAATAATAAAATAATAAGTGTGCCCCAAGGGCGTTGTTGGTGACATTCTTCAGGGGCGTGAAATTGAGCAGCAGAAATCATAACCAGCAGTGGCGTAGCGTGGGTTGTCAGCACCCGGGGCAAGGCAAGTAATTTGCGCCCCCTAACCCGTGGATTTGCGCCCCCTAACCCGTGGATTTGCGCCCCCTAACCTGTGGATTTGCCCTAACCCCAGATGTTGCGCCCGGTGCGGCCGGCCCCCCCTGCACCCCCCACGCTACGCCACTGATAACCAGGCATTTTGACTGAATGTGCATGGGCTGAAAGGGGGGAAGGGAACAGGGGCGCACCCACAATCCCTGCCCCAAACATCCCCACATGTTCAGCTGAATGCACTTCGAATCCTGAGGAAGTCTGAAGTGCAGCAAGTCCATGCAGGGATTGGGGGGGGGGACTTGTATGTCCCCAGTGTGACAAAATCCTACCTTGACAAGAGAACCTTAATCTTAAGTGGCTGATGCATAAATATTGTTTCATAAAGACTATTATTATTGGTTAAGGCTTCCTTTTTCAGTACCGTAGCCTCTTCTGTCACCCATACCTTTTCTTTCTTTCTTTCTTTCTTTCTTTCTTTCTTTCTTTCTTTCTTTCTTTCTTTCTTTTTCTTTGGGGGGTTCTGCCTTGTTTTTTCCTTCACTGCTAGTTCTCCTCTAAATCTTTCATTGCCACACTTTCCCCTCTCTCAGCCCAAATTTTCTCATGCATCTTGTTTTTGGAGTATGACAAGATCCAGAAGGAGAGGGAAAGAAATGATTTGGGACCGAGTATCATATGGGCAAAAGATAATTAATGGATGCCACCCATATTAAATGACAGTTTGGAAGAACGTTTCATGTTACCCTTTTGGAATCATTGTTTTCTTTGGGATTTTGAAAAAATAAATAAATTGTTTGGTATACATGCAGGAGTCACATCAGCACTTACCCACCTGTAGAGACCACCGCATAGGATGTTATTTTAAACTATGATGACATTTTTCATGGGACCACTGCATTTCTACAAACTTGGTGAGTTAAATCTAGAAAGAATTTAACAGCATGCCCTTCTTTTTCTTCTTGCCTCAGCTTCCTTCTTCTTCTTTGCCAAATAAATTTGATCCTCAACTAGTTTCTAGTCTCAAACTGCCCAGGCTAGAAAGAAGACAGCTTTTATAAATAAATGAAATTATGCTTAGAGTACCTGAGTCTCTTAAGATAAGGGAAACAGACTTTTGCCTAGCTGCTAAAGGAGCTGAAAACATGACCCAAAGTTAAGCATTTTAGAACAGCATTTACTTCACTGTGTAAGTGACTGTTATAGAAATTTAAATGGCACCTCCAGTTTCTTTTGATTTTGAATTATCGTTTCTGGACTGTAGAAAAGCACATGTGAACTATTGATTGCGGCGGCGGTGGGGGTGGGGGTCCAAAATTGGTCCAAGGAAGCCTGAATTTGAACATGGAAATAAATCATGCTAATTTAAATTGAGCCCTATTCAACTAACTTTTACTCAGAGTAGACCCATTGAAAGTAATGACCCTGACTAACTTAGGTGCATTCATTTCAATGGGTGTGGTTAGTTGAATCATGTTTTGGGGGAGGAGCGGGTAAAGGCCCATTGCACTAATGGCAATTGCTGCACTGGCTGCCACAACAAATTACTTGAATATGGCCCTTTTTATTTAATATTTTAGGGAAAAATGTAAAGGCTTTATTTAATATTTTTAGAAAAAATGTAAAGGCTAGGAAGGAGAGAGAGTGCAGATATGTGGGATGTGGAAGGAAAGGCATTTTCATTGGCTTAGGACTACTAGGAGCCATGGAAGAGGAAAGGGGGAATACAGTGGTACCTCTGGATGCGAACGGGATCCGTTCTGGAGCCCTGTTCGCATCCTGAGTGGAACGCAACCCGCTTCTGCATGTGCACGGGTCGCGATTCACCACTTCTGCGCATGCACATGACGTCATTTTGAGCGTCTGCGCGAACGACGAAACCCGGAAGTAACCCGTTCTGTTATTTCTGGGTTGCCGCGGAGCGCAACCTGAAAACGCTCAACCTGAAGCATATTTAACCTAAGATATGACTGCAGACGCGGGTGGCGCTGTGGGTAAAACCTCAGCGCCTAGGACTTGCCGACCGCATGGTCAGCGGTTCGAATCCCCGCAGCGGGGTGAGCTCCCGTCGTTCGGTCCCAGCTCCTGCAGTTCGAAAGCACCCTTAAGTGCAAGTAGATAAATAGGTACCGCTTTATAGCGGGAAGGTAAATGGCGTTCCATGTGCTGCTCTGGTGCCGGTTTGCCAGAGCAGCTTCGTCACGCTGGCCACATGACCCGGAAGTGTCTGCGGACAGCGCTGGCTCCCGGCCTCTAGAGTGAGATGAGCGCACAACCCTAGAGTCTGTCAAGACTGGCCCGTACAGGCAGGGGTACCTTTACCTTACCTTTATGACTGCAGAACATACCTTAGACGTGGTTGGTTGCCCTGCCCAAGGTCCCCTGACTTAACACACATTATCAAATTTCTCCAAAACTTGTGAAAGCCACAAACTCAGCTGTTGTGCTTTTCCCAGGAAGTACAGTTTCAAGAGCATTTTCTACATTGAACAGATACTTTAAAATTTCATATATCTATTGTTTTAATTTATAGTGTACATCAGTGCTCTGATCTCTGCTGTGTACAGTTTACTTGGTAAGTATTTTTAAACTTCTTAACATTTGCTGCCTGGTTCACGTTGTATTTTGTTGCTTACGAGGAGCAAAATGCACAGCTTTTTGCATATGATTGGCAAACCTCGTACTCACCAGTACTTACAACTGTTCTTTTTCGCCACCACAAGAAACCTCGGTTCAACTCAAGTTGAAAATGGAGCCACGGGATTTTGAGTACATATTGACGTGGGAAGCTGGAAATAATACAGGGACTCCCACATGCTACAATGTGATGTATAGAACGAGAAGGTACCTATGCTTTTTCTAAAATACATTCCCACATTTTGTAAATGACTGTGAATGACTGATATGGTGCAAGATCATTATTGGCGTAGGTGTATCTAGTTATGTTCCTGTTATATGAAGAACAGAAACAAAGTGTTATCTGGAAGATTAAACACTAACAAATTTGATGTGGCATGTGATTTTGCAGACTGCATTCCACTTTATCATGACTTTTGTATTGGCTGGGGATATGCACCCATAAACTGGATAAATATTGAGTCATCTGCATGTTAAGAGAGGAGTTGCCCTCTTTCCAGGGGTCTACCTTGCGGTTGGCTAGGTTGGCCCCTGTCAAGGGCCTTGGGAGGTACACTCTGGCTCAGAGTGGCTGGATGGGAAAGCAGTAAGCAGAGGGAGGTAAGAAGGCAGAGAGATGGATTGACTGACTGCAGAGGAGGCGGGGGAGACACAGCAGGGCAGTCCCAATGGCCATGGAGGAAGTCACTGGTGATGAAAAGCAAACTTTTTGACTTTCTGGTCCATGGTTTCTCTTGGCTTCGGAGGCACCAATACATCTCCTTGCCAAGGGCACAAGGGACCCTAGGTATACCACCGCTTCTTCTGCACTGCCTTCCCACAGACCTGAAAGCCATCTCTCTCACTCTCCCCATCCACAAATACAGCCCTCTGCCCTTTTCTCATCACTGGAGGTGGCAGTAGAGGAGTCCAAAGGAAGCATTTCCTCCTCAGTCCTGCTTCCTTTGGCTCCTCACACTGTCACATGGACTAAAAAAGCAATGAAACATGGTAGATTAGCTATAGTTGCTAAAAAAAAACCTAGTTATTCTCAACAATGAAAAGGGGATGAATCTAAGAAATTTACAAATACATTTGCAGTGACATCCTCCTCACAGAATGGGACAGTAAATATGAGTGTGTGTGTGTGTGTGTGTGTGTGTGTGTGTGTGTATTACACACACACACACACGAGTAAATATGTGCTTGATCTCACTCCAGCATTCTGGACAACTTTCATGTGATGCTTTTGAATTGCTGTTTTATATCTAGTTGGGAAGTACTGATTGTTTATTGTCTCCTCCTTGTTTCCATTTAAAGTTATCCAACACCAAACATGAAGATTGTCGCAGAGTGTTCCAATATCACACGTTCATTCTGCAACTTGACAAAAGAGTTTACAGATCCCTACGAGTCATACAAAATTGTAGTGGAGCAGGTCACAGAAAGCGGAGTGCATTCTTCAGATACTTCATTCAGTCCATATGCTGACAGTAAGTAATTTGCTCCTTATTTATGTTTGAAGCACATGCCTTATGCTTCCTATAAGTCCTAGGTCAACCACACAGGTTTCACACTGGTCAAGGTAGAGGCCAGTTGTCAACCCCCACTAGGTCATCTCCCAGCAGGGTCCAAAGCTGTCACTGCCCTGCCCTGCTTCTACTTGTTTTAATTGATGCTGCTGAGGCTTCCACAGTGGCAGAGCCCTGGCACCAGCAACCTCATGCAATTCTAGCCCCCCAAACCCCCAAGACTCGCTCCTTCTTCAGTGTATTATTTTCAGTTATTTAGATCATCGTTCTTTAAGTGCCAAGAGGTCTCGAGGTCCTGACAAGCTTTATCTCCAGCTCTCTATGGGCATCCTCTTGCAGTTCAATGGAATGAATGGCAAACTACACGCCACTAAGATCAGAACTCAGGACTAGGTGCCGTATTCAGAGCAGGCTTTCGGGAGCAGAAATGAGGATCAAAGAAGGTTGAAGGCCAACAAGTTAAGAGGCTTAAAGTTCGGTTTTGGGAAATTTCTAATCAGTAGAAGCCCCGCCGTACCTATTTAGCCTTCTATCTGAAAGAAGCATACCTGGGAGAAAGTTGTATTATTTCATTTGAGATCTTATGTCCAAGTTAGTAGTGCATTAGATTGTAATTTCATTAATTTCTCTAGGGCAACCACATTGATTCCTTCTTTTCTTCCTTTCTTTGTTCAACAGCATGCCTAACACCACCCCAGTTCGAGATTTCTGCTTGTCCAAGCTGCGCAAATGTGACAGTGAAACTTTCAGCTTTGTTACTTCGTGTATACCAAGAGCTTGATTACACGGTCACATTGATAAGAGACAATGTCAAGGAAAAGGTCGGTTGCTTATGATTTAAATGGAAATGGTAGACAGTATCAAAATTAATTTACTTCATCTGTAAGAAAGCTGCTATTTCTGTTTCTAGTTCAGGTATATCCAAACTTAATGGTTCTGCTTCCTGATCCATAGCCCTGTTTATCCTCCAAGGCAGGCCTAGAGTTCCTGTCTGGGTGGGTTTCACCCATTCACTTCAATGGAGAGGGCAGCTCCCCACGTTTTGCTCTTTCAGCTGCTGTTGACATTCAGATAGACCAGAAGGACTTGCTGGACTGAGATGTTTTGGATTAGTAGGGTAGACCACTTCCCATGCCAGTGCTTTAGGACTGGGCATAGCAGCAGCTAAACCAGCAGAGTCCAAAGGCTCCGCGGAGGCTACGTTGGTATTGCTGTGCCTTTGCACTGTTGCTGCAAGAAGAATTGGCAAGGCAAATATTTAGCAGATGAACAGAAATGATAATGTTACTTATATATAGCTTTTTGTATTTCCAGAGCACTTTAGGAAACATTTTCATAGGTATCCTTACAATAGCCCATGACATAGGCTAGTGTAATTATCCCCCCATATTGCAGATGCTGGGCTTTGACTGCAAAAGAGTGTGCAAGGTTGTGTATTGACCTCATGGAAAGGTGAGACTTCATCAGCCCTCATATTTGCATTTGCCCTTCATATGACATACTCAATTGTCAGTCTTTTTCTTCTTCTTTTCTAGCGTGTTGTCAATACAACCAGACAAGAGATTTTCCACACTGTCATTGGAGATTTGAGTTTCAATACAAATTATTGTATTGCTGTTGATGTGAAAACAAGTCTAAATAATCAGTGCGCTCCGTCTGTCCCCAAATGCCTTATCCTCAGCTCCAATAATATATCAGGTATAATGAGTTAAGGGGTGGGGAGGGGTTGCAGAGAATGAATTTAAAATTATTATTTTCTTAATTAAAAAAAACTAATAATAGATTATTGCTTTTAGTATTTCAAGTAATGGTTTAAAAAAATATATTATGAATTCTGGTAATCTAGTGCTCTGTGTGCCCAATAAAACCAGAGTGTTTCACAATAGCCCCCATATTCACTGTTCTTTAATCATGTTCTTTTTATCTTACAGGTCATATTATATTACCAGCGTTATTTGGCATATTAATTTCGTTGGTAGGAGTACTCACTCTATTTATCCTGTATAAAACCGGTGATATTTGCTTAAGATGGAGGAAATGGCCAAGAGTCTTGGTATGTAGCCTTGAGACGGATTCTTTTTTAAAGATAAATAGCTTAATGAGCTCTACTGTATGCATGCATGCATGTATGTATGTATTTATAATTTTATTTATTTTCTATTTTCTTTTCATGAAACATTCATTGTTCAAAAGACCTAAGGGTCAGTCCCAGGGTCAATGCCAGTTACATAGGGTCAGGTGATATGAAAGTTTGCCCTCTCTGCCTCTCTCCTCTGTAATCTGTAAATTTCAAAATTGTTTTTCTTTTCAGAGCATCATGCCAAAATTAGACTATTCCCTTTTTAAATCAGAACCAGAAGAAGTGCACACCGTCCAGGTCACCCAACAAAGTAAAAAAAAAGTATGTGGCTACAATTCCGATGAAGAAGACAGTGAAAGCGTTGCTGGAAATGATGATTTATATACTGCACGTGGTTTTTTGGGGCAGACTTCAAAGTCCTGCTCGCAGGAGGACAGTGCAGAGCCACCATCCCTAGACTGCTCATCCACTACAAGTAAAATAGCTGACCCCCAGGATGATGAAACAGAAAAGCTTCTGCTCATCGGCTGCTCATCTGCTACAAGTGAAATGCCTAAACCTGTAGATGCTGAAGCAGAAAACCCTCAGAATGATATTAGCAAAGAAGAAAGCCCAACAATTCAAATATTTCATCCTTCTCCTGAAGTGGACTCCGCTAATGAGCCAGACCTGGAGTGCAGCAGCTGTTCCAACGTAAACTTAAATACTGTGGTGCTAGGAATATCTGGCAAAAATGTGAATGCTTCTGCAACATTAAGCTCTTGCCAAGAGAAGGCTGCGGAGTTGTGTGTTTCTGATGCATTTGAACTGAAACATTTCACTGATGCGCTAGAAATGCAGAACTCTGACATTCATAACCTCTCTTGTTCCTGGCAAAATTCTAATGGGTCTGGAGGAAGTGAGTCATCGGATTCAGAAACGGACTGTATTGGTGAATACATGAGCAGATGAATCAAAGATGGATAAAAGAATAGCATCTTCCTGTACAATATGTATTCCTAGTGTCAAGGGACTGGGTGGGATCTGTCTAATGCTATCAGTGTTGTACAAGTACATATGAAAATGCAGCACTGTTGTGAATTCCCACAGCATTAATATTGTTTTCTGTTCTCTCCTTTTTTTTAACGGGAAGGCAAGCCACTTACTAATCTGCTTCCAGTATAACTGAGTACCCACAATCTGTCATGGCCTGGTTGGATGCAGAGAAATGATTCGATAAACAAGCTGGGGGATCACCAGGTGAAGAAGGCTCAGAGCCCAGGGAGTGGTGGTGGGAAGACAATGAGTGGTCAGAAGGAGAAGACAGAGAAGAGGTGTCGCAAGCTAACAGGGCTTAGTGAGCCTGCAGAGTCTGTGGTAGAGAGAAGTCTAGAATCAGAGGCAGAGACTGAAGCAGGAGGGTGGGAGGAGAGAGGCCAAGAGACAGAGATGAGTCAGGCTGATGAAGGCTCCCTGGTGTTTTCTTCTACTGCAACAAGCTCCCCTTCCCCTTGTCTCCTAGAACCAGAAGGGGCATGAAAAGTGCAGAGGAGAGATTGGTGATGCGCAGACGTAACCTCCGATTGCTTGGGGAAAAATCCTGGAGAGGAGAGGTAGCTGTGGGTAGGTGGGGACCTTCAGTCTCAGCAACTGCTTTATGGGAGCAAACCTACCAAGCATGACTTGCTGCACTCATTAGGCCAGGCACTCCTGTACAGATTGTGTTTTTGCTAATAAAGAGTTAACTCCAACTTGCACAGTGTGACTTACTGCTGACTGACTCCTGAGACAACCATTTGTGAAAGCTGGAAAATAAACCCAGCTTTTTGTGTTTCTAGAATAGAATTAATTGCAGACATGCAATATCTTCCGATCCTGTTCTATGTTCATTCTATATAACCACTGTCTTGAGGTTAGATTTGTCGATCACAGTTTATCAAGTGTTGTTGACCATGGTGAAGCACTTCACTTGTAATTAATTGACTGTGAATGGATTTCCTGTTATCTGTAATACATAGCCTAAGACCCTGAGGGTTGTAACCCATTATGCCTGTTTATTCAGAGAACTGGAGGGTTCTGGGCCTTCAGATGGCCTATATGTGAACTTATGCTAGGGAATGCGTTCATTGTGCCTTGTTGATCCAATTCATACCTGTGTCTGTTTTTCTATCAGTATGAAGCATTCCCTCACCCTCATATTGTTGGCAGGATTTAAACTGGCTCTGTGATTTTTTGTGTGTGGCAAAGACTCCAGTGATGTAATTAGAGAGGTGGCAAAGAGATATGCGAATGCACGTGACCTCTTTTCTGTCTGTCACACTGGGATAATCTTTGATCAGTTTCTCATTACAGAGAATCTGATTGTAGCAATTGTTGGAGTGGCTGGACGTAGGAAGGGGTTAATTTCCTTCATGAGCATAAATCACCCCGTGGGTGAGGTAAATCACAGGTGCAAGGTCAAATGAGCCAGTTGCAAGGTCAAATAGCTCGGAGCCCAGACTATATTTGTGATTAATGTATGCCAACTAGTTCAGTCTTGGTTAGTTGGTGTTAGAGGAATGATGATATTTTGTATATAGAATCATAGAATATGAAGGGACCCTGAGGATCATCTAGTCCAACCCCCTGCAATGCAAGAATATGCAGTTGTCCCTTACAGGAATTGAACCCAGAACCTTGGTGTTCTCAGCACCACGCTCTAACCAACTGAGCTACCCGTATCTGAAAAGCCTACAAGCTGGAACTTCCTTTTCTGTGTATAACTTTTATCCAGAGCTGTTTGCTAAGCTTATTTACTTCTACAACAGTAAAAAGATTTGGACCTTAGTCTGCTTCTGTGTGGTGTGTGCATCTTATATCAGATTCCCAACAGCAGTGTGATCGTGTAATGTTAGCCTCTCAAACTGCACTGCACTTTCAAACGTGTAGCTGAGGGAGCTTAACTATCATATGTCCATTCTAAATTGCTCCTGAGCCACGAGGTTCCTTTTAAAAATATATATAAAGACATCTCTGTGGCTTAACTGTATGCATTTGAATATAAAGAGTAGTTGTGGTTCGAGGACCCGATCCCTGCTTTGTGGAATAAAGACACACGGGCACAGTGTATAAGGTTAATGGGCAAGAAAAGGCCACAACTTTATTGATTACAGCAAGTGAGAAGGTATTGGCTTAGACATTGGACCACGAAAGATTGACTCCACCCACTTGAAGAAGGGTGAGCCTAAAGAGGGGTTATTCTCCCGTAGGGAGAGCCTGTTGATGCAAATACAACTATAAGCTCTCCCATGATGTCACCAAGGGTCGTGCCATGGCCACACAGGCATCAGACAGGATCCACGACCGCCAGATTCCTTTAACGGAATACCCAAATTTGAAGGGGTGGGCAATGGCCACACCTTGCCCTTCCACACACCAACAACACATTCCAATGCCTAACCGCCCAATACCAAGAAAGTTGTGACGATTGCTATGAGGTAGGCAAAAAAAACCAAAAGGCCTAATGCCAATTGGAAAAATTCCTACCAGGCCCCCTGGGCAACCTGGCTGACCAACCATAGGTCCATAGCAAGGTCAAGAGAAAAGCTAAGCCCTAAGGGAGTGGTGGGTGGGTGACTCGCGACACGAAGGTGAAAAAGTGAGGCGGAATGGCTGGCGTAGCGGTATCTTGAACCGCAAACCACGGCCCCACCAAGCCGCCCGGTTGGGCGCCTACCTGTGGGCATGGTGCGCCAGCCAGGTGAGTGGGGCGGGGGGCATAACGCCCCCTGCGTGATGCAGAAATCGCGTCCCGCCCACAACACCTCCCCTCCGGGAGGAGGAGAGCCTTTAGCACCTAAAAGTGTCATTTGATATCACCATCTTTCTAAAATACAGAATAATTTATATCTTCTATATCAACTTACAGCAGGAAGAGCCATTATGAGTGGCCAGTAAGATTTCCTAAGGCCCAGCAGTTTGTTTCCTGTAGCTCTGGAGAGCTCTGGTTCAGACTAATGAAAGCTGGAGTAAACAACATCTGCGTGACCTATGGTTCCCCATCATTGCTGTGGTTGCACACATATTATTAGACTGTACTGCTTCCCATTTGCAATTATGGCAGATGTTTGTGAAGAGTCAACATATTTGGGGGAGAAATCTAGAATTCAGCTTCCTCTTATCAGCACATCACACCTTAGATCAGGTAGTAAATAGCTAACTGATCCCCTTGAAGGAACAGGTGCCTAGTCTGGGAGTATTCCTGAATTTCAGTCTGCCACTGGAGTCCTATTTGGAGTACTTACGTCCAGCATAGACTGATTTGTGAATAATAATAATTTATTTGTACCCCACTCCAGCTATGTCCATTCACAGACCCGGTAGTCTGGCCTCAGTTGCCCATGGTCTAGACCAGTGTTTCCCAACCTTGAGCCTCCAGCTGTTTTTGAACTACAATTCCCATCATCCCTGACCACTGGTCTTGCTAGCTAGGGATGATGGGAGTTGTAGTCCAAAAACAGCTGGAGGCCCAAGGTTGGGAAACACTGGTCTAGACCTCCTCTCTGCTACTGCCATACCTTCTAAGTGGGGCTGCCCTTGATGATGGTGGGGCTGGTGCAGAATGAGGCTACTAGGTTGGTTAGTTGGAGGCCCCATTAGCTAAAGTGGTGCTTCAGGTTAAGAACAGTTTCAGGTTAAGAACAGACCTCCAGAACGAATTAAGTTCTTAACCCGAGGTAACACTGTACAGCCTACGTCCCATGCCCCCACCTCCTAACAGTTTGTATTTGCCTTATTTCGGTTCACCACTTCGTGACCTTAAGGCAGTGATGGCCAAACTTGGCCCTCCAGCTGTTTTGGGACTACAATTCCAATCATCCCTGACCACTGGTCCTGTTAGCTAGGGATGATGGGAGTTGTCGTCCGAAAACAGCTGGAGGGCCAAGTTTGGCCATCACTGCCTTAAGGTAAAGGGCAGATGTAAATATCTATATAAATAAATAAATCCCTGTTGGTTGCATTACTGCAGAGAATTTGTTTCTTTTTCCATTGGTAGATATTGGCTACTACTTAAAACAGGGCATTTTGATGTGGAATATACCAAATCTGCTCTGTTGGTCCCTTTGAGGCAGTTTTTGAACACTTTCGTTTTCTCGCAGGCATTTGCTCTTGTAAACTTCAGAGACCTATCCTGTTTATGATAACTTTCACTGACTTCCTTAATGGATTTGTTTTTGGAGAGACTTCAGTCAGACAGCACATCAGAAATCTGAGACTGGTTGGCATCTGTCTTGTCTTGGGAGACAATGGAGGCCTGTGCCTTTTTAGGTGAAGTCAAACTGTCAAAAGGTTACAGCTGCTGCTGCTGTGGCTGTAGAGACCGATATGGGAGACACAGGTTTCATTGCAACTGGGGCAATGCAGGCGTCCGGTTGTGCTGCCGCAGAAGCACAATAAACAATAAGAGATGACTGGAGGCCTTACATTAAAACCACCTATATTAGTCATGAAACACATGCCTTGCGGTTAAACACTTGCATGCAGCTGTTAACAGAGAACACATCTAGTTTCCCCCATCTGCATTGCTTTTGTATTGGTTTCAGTATTATACTGCTTATTTCACCAAACACCATGGAAAAGTGATCATAAGCCCCCTTTAATTCAGGATATAGCTAGTGACCAGATTACTTTCTTGCTACAATTAACAATTAATTATTTTTATTAATATATTTCTAGCCCCACCCCCCTTTTCAGGGCAAGCCCTGATAATTAGACTGCAATTGATGTGGGCCTGTTTCTCAAATGTGCCTACTTATTTCTATGTGGGCTTCCAACTGGCTTTCATTTTACTTGAACCACCATTTCAAAGCAACCCTGGGAGATTTTGCACACACTGCAGTATGAGGTTGAGTATTCCTACAGCTAAACCAGACCTTTGTCCATGTTATCTTATTGAAGCAAAGTCACATCTAGCCAAGCAAGCATGAAGGCTATGTGCAATGTGCAATGTCATAGAGTGTGGTATTCACTTGTGCTGACTGCATTGTATTATTATAACTATTGCTTACTATTTTGTTAAATACACAGACACAGGGCAATATCAAACTGTTTTACTCAGAGTTGGTCTACTGAAATTAATGAACATGGCTAAGTTAGGTCTATTCGTTTCAGTAGGTCTCCTCTGTGTAAAATTAGCTGTGCAACTCAGTTTTCCCAATAGATTAGCCCATGCCTTCCTCACAAAGGGTTATGTACCACAAGGAAAATGAAGTGGACAAAATAATTTCAGATTACTTTAGTAAAACTTATGTGCAAAGTGAGTACAGTTATGATACTTCAAGACATACAAAATTATTAATCCTTTAAAATAGGTACAGAGAAAATACATATAATACTGAGGTAACTGCAAGAACTTCCGCTGGGTAAGAAAATATTCTGGCATTATTTTTCCTTAGTCCAGTTATGGCAAGACCTTCAACCTGCTCTTTCAAGTACTGGACAGCAGGTCTGCTCCCATGAAGCAGGCAATTGTTCTCAGAATGCTCAGAAATCACACAGAACATTGCAAGGAAGGGTGTTCCTCTTTCCTGCTGCGAAGGAATGAAACTGTTTAAACCATTTTGTGTCCTGTTTGGGGTTGTCAAAGAGTTTTAGTTTGTTCTGACAAGGAGGATCAGAAGATCACAGAAAAGTCCACTGTTCAGTCCAAGAACCTGACATCTAAGAGGAAAATAAAACCTAAACACTATTGTAGGAGAAGTCCCAAGAAATTACACAAAAGAGAAAGCGAAAAAGAAGTCTCCTGCCTTTCTGACTGCCCAAAATGTTGGGAGGGTACATTTAAAATAACGCGTGCAAATAAAGCTTGCAAAGAATGCTAAAATAAAGAAAAATGCTAACAGGCTGCTATGCATCCAGACTCCAGGAACAGAAGTTGCCAAACACTGGCATAGTTTAGGCCAGGTTTAGCTGGATGCTTTTCCCCATGTTGTTTTCATTTCCTGTAATAGTTAATGTTCAAGCTGTTTTAAAATAAGCCCTTCCTGTGCCTCTGCATGGAACATCTTTACAGTAACTGTTTAGAGAGCTGCTATACAAATCCCTTGAGCAAAAGTTACATTTGTTTTGCTCTAACTGTGTATGGCATGGCTATTCACTCCATGCCTTCTTGCCTTATTTATTTATAAAAATGATTTATATACCACTGTATTATTAAAAAAATCACAGCAGTTTACAACAATATAAAAAAACCATACAGTAAAACAATAAAAAGTTAAAACCAAGTTAAGGCAAAAATAATTAAAAACAACCGTCAGTACAGCATTGTGGGGGATATACTCTTCAATTGCCTGCACAGGCCAGGTGGAATAGAAACATTTTCAACAGGCGTTTAAAAGTTGGCACAGAAGGCACTCACTGAATCTCTCTTGGCAGAGTAGGACTGGGTTGATCACACTAAAGGCTCGCATTCGAGAGCCCACCACTAAGCTATACAGAAGTTGCCTGACCAGAAATAAGGCCAGTGGCTCCTGCCCACTTCAGGGACAATGTGGAGCGGACAAATGGTGACTAAACACATCTCTGCTCAAAATCCCTCTCCCCCTGCACAGAGTAGCTGCAACAAGCTTTTTAGACCCAACAAGGTTATAGCAGGGGCCCAGTACATTCATCATCCACCAGCTGTTATTTCTGTGTTCAACATGATGATCTTGCACAGTACGAAGAAGGCCGTAGTCTTGATTACAGAAATGGTGAGGGAAATGTCTTCACATTAAATGGTTTTAAACTTCTTGCAACTCAAGGGTGTTATGAAGATGGCAACATCCATTCCAGACCATTGCTACAATCAGATTCTCTTGAATGAGAAACTGATAAAAGATTATTCCACTACGACAGGCAGGAAGAGTTCAAGGACAATAGTATACCTTTTTGCCTCCTTTCTAACCACATCGCTGGAGCCCTTGTCAAGCAAAGGATCACACAAAACCGGTTTAAAGCTTGCCAATAATATAAGGAAGGGTGAGAGTTACTTCATCCTCATAAAGAAAAACAGACGGGTACAAATAGGACCAGTGAAAAAGGGCAACTGAAGTGCATGTCCAAGTGTGAGTTGACAGATATTAAATGTGATGGCAGTAAACATTCCGGTTCACAAAATAAACTGAGGTATAGATAAAGGGCTATGAACCTTGGGGGTCTAAAAGGTCACTGGCAGGAAAACAGGAGAACCATTCTGGAACAATTACCAGCAAAGTGTTGTATCATGCCTAAGAACACTTGATGATCAAGTGCAATGGTTGATCATTGTAACAAGAGAAATTCATTCTCAAGACAGGCAAGGTCTCTGTTATTTTGGAAGACAATTAGTTCATGGGCTTGCCAAAAACCACTGAAGAGCATGCCATATTAATGCTACAGAAATTCAGAACAGCGCTTAATTTTCATATGTACTTGTACAATACTGATAGCATTAGACAGCAGATCCCACCCAGTCCCATGACATGGGAATACATTGTTTTACTGGAAGCTGAAAAATGCTACCTTGAGCATTCATTGATTCATCTTTGATTCATCTGCTCATGTATTCACCAACACAGTCCGTTTCTGAATCCGATGACTCACTTTCTCCAGACCCATTAGAATTTTGCCAGGAACAAGAGAGGTTATGAATGTCAGAGTTCTGCATTTCTAGCGCATCAGTGAAATGTTTCAGTTCAAATGCATCAGAAACACACAACTCTTTCGAGTCTGATGCATCCTCTTCGAAAGGGCTTAATGTTGCAGAAGCATTCACATTTTTGCCAGATATTCCTAGCACCACAGTATTTAAGTTTACGTTGGAACAGCTGCTGCACTCCAGGTCTGGCTCATTAGCGGAGTCCACTTCAGGAGAAGGATGAAATATTTGAATTGTTGGGCTTTCTTCTTTGCTAATATCATTCTGAAGGTTTTCTGCTTCAGCATCTACAGGTCTAGGCATTTCACTTGTAGCAGATGAGCAGCCGATGAGCAGAAGCTTTTCTGTTTCATCATCCTGGGGGTCAGCTATTTTACTTGTAGTGGATGAGCAGTCTAGGGACGGTGGCTCTGCACTGTCCTCCTGCGAGCAGGACTTTGAAGTCTGCCCCAAAAAACCACGTGCAGTATATAAATCATCATTTCCAGCAACGCTTTCACTGTCTTCTTCATCGGAATTGTAGCCACATACTTTTTTTTTACTTTCTTGGCTGACCTGAACGGTGTGCACTTCTTCTGGTTCTGATTTAAAAAGGGAATAGTCTAATTTTGGCATGATGCTCTGAAAAGAAAAACAATTTTGAATTTAACAGATGGGAAAAATAAAATAGATGCCTTCAAAAAAGATGGGGGTATGATACATAGTTGAATATTAATATTAATAAATATTAATTGGATGTCTATAGTTTGGCATTAATTTCTGAAACCCTCCACAGATGTGAGAATCTTTTGGCTTTCATTGGGATTTGCTTCCATTTTCAATAAAGGGGTTTTTGTTGAAAAAGCCCTGAACAGTCTGGTTCCTTCTTCATTTATTTATTCCAGCTTTTTATGGTCTTGAGGCCAGTTACCTGGGACACAAGGCTAAATGTAAAAGTTGTGGTGCTGTTGATTACAAGTACAACAACAACAACAACAACAGAATATTCAAACACAATAAACCATCAAACATTAAAAACTTCCCTAAACAGGTCTGCCTTCAGATGTCTTCTAAAAGTCAGACATAGTAGTTGTTTATTTCTTTGACATCTTATGGGAGGCCGTTCCACAGGGCGTGCGCCGCCCCCGAGAAGGCCCTCTGCCTGGTTCCCTGTTACCTCACGTCTCGCAGTGAGGATCAAGTGTTAATAGGATAGTGAAACTGGTCAGATTATTTGTCCATCACTGACAGCAGCTCTCCAGGCAGAGAGGGCAAACTTTCATATCACCTGACCCTATGTAACTGGCATTGACCCTGGGACTGACCCTTAGGTCTTTTGAACAATGAATGTTTCATGAAAAGAAAATAGAAAATAAATAAAATTATACATACATACATACATACATGCATGCATGCATACAGTACAGCTTATTAATCTATTTCTTTAAAAAAAAAAATCCGTCCCAAGGCTACATACCAAGACGCTTGGCCATTTCCTCCATCTTAAGCAAATAAAACCCGTTTTATACAGGACAAATGGAATGAGTACTACTGCCAACGACATTAATATGCCAAATAACGCTGGTAATATAATATGACCTGTAAGATAAAAAGAACGTGATTAAAGAACAGTAAATATGGGGGCTATTGTGAAACACTCTGGTTTTATTGGGCACACAGAGCACTAGATTACCAGAATTCATATAATTTTTTTTAAACATTATTTGAAATACTAAAATCAATAATCTATTGTTAGTGTTTTTTTAATTAAGAAAATAATCATTTTAAATGAATTCTCTGCAACCCCTCCCCACCCCTTAATTCATTATACCTGATATATTATTGGAGCTGAGGATAAGGCATTTGGGGACAGATGGAGCGCACTGATTATTTAGACTTGTTTTCACATCAACAGCAATACAATAATTTGTATTGAAACTCAAATCTCCAATGACAGTGTGGAAACTCTCTTGTCTGGTTGTATTGACAACACGCTAGAAAAGAAGAAGAAAAAGACTGACAATTGAGTATGTCATATGAAGGGCAAATGCAAATATGAGGGCTGATGAAGTCTCACCTTTCCATGAGGTCAATACACAACCTTGCACACTCTTTTGCAGTCAAAGCCCAGCATCTGCAATATGGGGGGATAATTACACTAGCCAATGTCATGGGCTATTGTAAGGATACCTATGAAAATGTTTCCTAAAGTGCTCTGGAAATACAAGAAGCTATATATAAGTAACATTATCATTTCTGTTCATCTGCTAAATATTTGCCTTGCCAATTCTTCTTGCAGCAACAGTGCAAAGGCACAGCAGTACCAACGTGGCCTTTGGACTCTGCTGGTTTAGCTGCTGCTATGCCCAGTCCTAAAGCACTGGCATGGGAAGTGGTCTACCCTACTAATCCAAAACATCTCAGTCCAGCAATTCCTTCTGGTCTATCTGAATGTCAACAGCAGCTGAAAGAGCAAAACGTGGGGAGCTGCCCTCTCCATTGAAGTGAATGGGTGAAACCCACCCAGACAGGAACTCTAGGCCTGCCTTGGAGGATAGACAGGGCTATGGATCAGGAAGCAGAACCATTAAGTTTGGATATACCTGAACTAGAAACAGAAATAGCAGCTTTCTTACAGATGAAGTGAATTACCATATTTTTTGCACCATAGGGCGCACCGGACCATAGGGCGCAACCAGTTTTTAGGGGGGGAAATCAAGAAAAAAAATCTTTCCCCCCCCCCAGCCCCAAAGAGCAGCATACAGGCTGCGCACAACCTCTCCCTGCCGGAGGGGTTGCGCGCAGCTATGGCACAAGCCAAGGCAGCGAGCAGGATGGATCCGACTCGCTGTTTTGGCTTCCTCTTTAGCCCCGTGCAGCCTCTCCTTGCCGGGAGACACTGCGCAGGGCTAAAGAATCCATAGCCCCGTGCAGCCTCTCCTTGCCGGAGGGGTTGCGCACAGCTATGGAACAAGCCAAGGCAGCGAGTGGGATGGATCCCGTTCACTGTTTTGGCTTCCCCTTTAGCCCCGTGCAGCCTCTCCTTGCCGGGAGACGCTGCACAGGGCTTTCCTGGGAGGTGGGAGGATTCCCTCACCTCTCCCAAAAGCCCGCAGAAGCTGCGGAACCCCTTTAAAGAGATTGCGGCTTCTCCTGGCTTTTCTGGGAGGTGGGAGAAGGAACTGATGCGGCCAGTCAGTCCCTTCTCCCTCCTGTGGAAAAGCCCGCAAGAGCGCATGGAGCTTGTGTGCGGCTCTTGGGGGCTTTTCCCGCCTGCCTCCCCCCCCTGCATTCGCTCCATAGGACGCACACACATTTTCCCTTGCTTTTTAGGAGGGAAAAAGTGCGTCCTATGGTGCGAAAAATACGGTAATTTTGTTACTGTCTTCCATTTCACTTTAAATCATAAGCAACCAACCTTTTCCTTGACATTGTCTCTTATCAATGTGACCGTGTAATCAAGCTCTTGGTATACATGAAGTAACAAAGCTGAAAGTTTCACTGTCACATTTGCGCAGCTTGGACAAGCAGAAATCTCGAACTGGGGTGGTGTTAGGCAGGCTGTTGAACAAAGAAAGGAAGAAAAGAAGGAATCAATGTGGTTGGGAAGCTCTGCCCTAGAGAAATTAATGTTATTACAATCCAATTCACTACTAACTTGGACATAAGATCTCAAATGAAATGATACAACTTTCTCCCAGGTATGCTTCTTTCAGATTTAAGGCTAAATAGGTACGGCGGGGCTTCTATTGATTAGAAATTTCCCCAAACCGACCTTTAAGCCTCTTAACTTGTTGGCCTTCAACCTTCTTTGATCCTCATTTCTGCTCCCGAAAGCCTGCTCTGAATACGGCACCTAGTCCTGTGTTCTGATCTTAGTGGGGTGTAGTTTGCCATTCATTCCATTGAACTGCAAGAGGATGCCCATAGAGAGCTGGAGATAAAGCTTGTCAGGACCTCGAGACCTCTTGGCACTTAAAGAATAATGATCTAAATAACTGAAAATAATACACTGAAGAAGGAGCGAGTCTTGGGGGTTTGGGGGGGCTAGAATTGCATGAGGTTCACTCTGGAAGAATGGCAGATGCAAGTAATCGACTATATGGAAATGGCAGAAATGACTGGCAGAATCCGAGATCAGGGAGAAGAGTCGGTGGAAGAAGATTGGAAGAAATTTAAAATTTATTTACAGAAACATTGTAAAATGTATGAATGTTGATGACATTGAAATGAAATGAAATGAAGGGGTTCTAGCAACAAGATATAATGTAAGACTGGATTGATAACAGATAAAAATTTGAAATTATAATTTGGGAGGAAAAGCAATTAAGGATAAAGTAATAGGATATGAATTTGCTGAACCAATTTTCAAAAAGGGATACAAAAAGGGAGGCGTGAGGAAGTCAGGAAAAGAAGTTAATCAAAGATGAGAAATTAAAAAAGAGGGATTTGTGTTTTTCTTTTTTGTGTGCTTGTTTTTTTTTGTTTTCTTTTTCTTTTTCCCTTGTTAGGTTAAATGTTTGTATTTTTGTATTGTGTAATTTTGTATTGTTGTGTTTTATATTTTTTGTGTTTTTATTGTTCTCTGTTTGTTGTTTTGGAATTTCTTTATTGTTAAAATTTAATAAAATATTATTATAAAAAATATAGAATTGCATGAGGTTGCTGGTGCCAGGGCTCTGCATGCTCTGGCACCAGGGGGCGGTGGGCAGGCGGAGGCGGGGCTGGCGCACGTCCAGGGGCCGTGGCGCACTGTTCGCGGTGGGAGGGTACGCGGCACGTGTCCGGGGGGGGCAGCCATGATGGTACCCCCCTCTCCCATGGTGCCAGTGGTAGTGCGTTCCCCCCGCCCCCTTCCTCCGCCCGTGGGGCAGGGCAGTGACAGCTTTGGAGACTGCTGGGAGATGACCTAGAGGGGGTTGACAACTGGCCTCTACCTTCTGCCTTGGCCAATGTGAAACCTGTGTGGTTGACAAGGACTTATAGGAAGCATAAGGCATGTGCTTCAAACATAAATAAGGAGCAAATTACTTACTGTCAGCATATGGACTGAACTGAATAGCTGAATAATGTACTCCACTTTCTGTGACCTGATCCACTACAATTATGTATGCCTTGCAGGGATCTGTAAACTCTTTTGTCAAGTTACAGAATGAACGTGTGATATTGGAACACTCTGCGACAATCTTCATATTCGGTCTGGGATAACTGTAAATGGAAACAAGAAGGAGCCAATCAGTACTTCCCAACTGGATATAAAGCAGAAATTCAAAAGCGTCACATGAAAGTTGTCCAGAATGCCGGAGTGAGATCAAGCATATATTTACTCACCCTCATCCCCTAAGTTGATATGAAGTGTCCCATTCTGTGAGAAGGATGTCAGTGCAAATGTACATTTGGTGACTTTTCAAATATAGTGGTACCTTGGGTTAAGTACTTAATTCGTTCCGGAGGTCCGTTCTTAACCTGAAACTGTTCTTAACCTGAAGCACCACTTTAGCTAATGAGGCCTCCTGCTGCTGCCACGCCGCCGGAGCACGATTTCTGTTCTCATCCTGAAGCAAAGTTCTTAACCCGAGGTACTATTTCTGGGTTAGCAGAGTCTGTAACCTGAAGTGTATGTAACCCAAGGTACCACTGTATATGCTTATTTTTCATATGTAGTCTATTTCTGAGATTCACCCCCTTTTCATTGTTGAGAATAACTAGGTTTTTTTTAGCAACTATAGCTAATCTACCATGTTTCATTGCTTTTTTTAGTCCATGTGACAGTGAGAGGAGCCAAAGGAAGCAGGACTGAGGAGGAAGCAGGGCCATGGCATGATCCCTCCGTGAAGTCATGGGGGAGCTTCCAGTTGTATTTGCATCAGCAAGCTCCTCCCATTGGTTGTTAACCCTGACATGACTCCCGGCTGTGTGGGGTAGAATCGTGTACTGCTGTTTCATCCAATGCCTAAGCCGCTACTACTCACATGCTGTAACCAATAAAAGTTGTGGCCTAATTTTGCCCATTAACCTAAAATAATGTGTCTGTGTGTCTTATTATAATCCTATGTGAGTGGAGGGTCCTCAACTCACAAATGCTTCCTTTGGACTCCTCTACTGCCACCTCCAGTGATGAGAAAAGGGCAGAGGGCTGTATTTGTGGGTGGGCAGAGTGAAAGAGATGGCTTTCAGGTCTGTGGGAAGGCAATTCCTCTCTTAGCGTGCAGATGACTCAATATTTATCCAGTTTATGGGTGCATATCCCCAGCCCAAACAAAGGTCTTGTCTATCTCTAGAACCAAGTTGTTGACCTTTTTTTACCCCAGGAAATAAACTGCCCACAGGGGCCAGATTAAAAGGCCCTCAAAACAGACTTTGGACATGCCTGGATACGACAATGTAAAACTCTAAGGCAAATAGAGGTGTATCTTTTTCTCGTGCTGCACCACTGGGACTTTGGCTCCAGACAAGACTGAACACTATGGTTCAAGTTAGTCTTCTAGGTTGGAGTACTTCCTGAGTATTGTCAGCTGGACCCAAAGCCAACCCTTGTGTACCAGGCCACATTAAGGCACAGCCAAGGACCGAAGAACCTGGGGCGCTCCACATGCTGTGGAATGTCAACTCTCATCAGCCCAAGCCCACACAGCAGATGGTACAGAATGATGGGTGTTTGAATTGAGCAAGATGTGGAGGGCCTCAGGTTTCCTGCCCTTGCCCTAGCCTCGGAGTCTGCGTCTCAGCCCCTGCATCTCATCTTGTGTGAGGACTGTGCCTAGTTCCTACATATTGCCTTGGATCTCAACATCTGCTTGCCTTTGAGTGCTTACCGGTCTGTGCCTCTTTTGGACCATGCACCAGCTGGACAAACGGCCAGTTCCCCAGATACTGGAGCCTCATTTTGCTGGGACCTGGCAAGAAGGAGAAGAGAGGGTGTCTGTCAGAAGCAAGTTCCCAGGGGAGAGCAACCCCCAATCATAATTTCTTTTCCAGGACCAGCTACCAGTTGCTCCTAGAATTCAATTACTTGTGCTTCCATTCAGAAACATGTTAGATTTCCCCTGGGAATTTGCCCCAAAGTTTGCCCTGATTGGGGAAATGTCACAAGGACAAACATATACGTACAAGTACTGACTACTAAAAGATGCCTTACTTACTTGGACTTACTGAAAGAAGAATCGTGCACCTGGTTTCTTCCCGCTGATTTTGATAGCCAAGGACAAACTGAGCTTTCAAAGGGGAGAGAAGCATATTGGAGGATTAATTTATTGTTATCTGTCTCCTGTGAGGAACTCTGTAGGAAGATCAACCTGTGACTCTTCCCTTATGTTAGTTTATGTGCAAGTCAGATAATGTGCTTTGTTAATTGACCAAACAGAGGGGTGTTTGCTTCCTAATGGCTAAATGCTGTCACCTCACCCAAGTCCAGGTCTCGTCTCTCTTACCTTCCTGAGAACTATGAGGCAGACTTGAGTAACAGCTGGTTATTATAGCTGCATCAATAGGAAACACAAACCTGAAATGGCTGTTCTCCTATGAGGCCTCAGCACAGCTTGATACCTAAATAACAGTTAATGCAGCCTCATGTGAATGTCTGGTTCTGGATCTTTTCTATTTTGTTTCCATGCTGACCATTTCAAGACTGCTGTCTTAAGACTGCAGTCAGATACCCACTTGCCTGGGACTCTCATTGCAGTGAGACTGACTTCTGAGAAGATGTAGAAAGGATAGCACTGCAGGTCTATTGCAGCAAGACCAACAAAGAGTCTTGTAACATTTTGGAAACTAAGTAAATTACTATGGGATAAATTTTCATGACTGAGAAGCCACTTTACCAGAGGCATCAAATGCCGGCTCAGCTACCAGTCAGATGTGGAAACAGACCCAATCCAGCCCCACCTGTTGTTCCAAACTGGAGTTGTCACAGCAACAAAACACAATTTTCCTGCCCCTTACCCCACCTTCCACCCTAGCTGCTGAAATCAATGGGACTCTGGATGTGGTGTGGCTTTGTCACTCTGCCAAGCCCCACTGCCATCCCACTGGGGTCCGGATTGCACTCTTATTCTTGTTAGCGCCCCCCCCATTATTGCTGCTAATTTGCATCCATCGAAGCTTGGCTTGACTTAGCACGTATTGCACTTAATGATCATGTGACCCCACATGTGCAGGTTTCCCCCTCTACAGCCATGTGTATATATATCTTCTGAGGATAACAGTTCATGCCTCTGATAAAGTGGAATGCAGTCTGCAAAATCACATGCCATATCAAATCTGTTAAGTCTTTAAGCTGCCAGACAACTCTTGGTTTCTGTTCTTCATATGACAGGACCGTAACTAGATACAACCAAACCAATAATGCTCTTGTACCATATATCAGTCATTCATAATAATAACGTGGGAATATTTTTTAGGAAAAGCATAGGTACCTTCTCTCTTTATACATCACATTGTAGCATGTGGCTGTCCCTGTATTATTTCCAGCTTCCCATGTTAAAATGTACTCAAAATCCTCTGCCTTCATTTCCAACTTGAGTTCAGCAGATGTTTCTTGTGGGGCAAAATAGAATATACAAAGTTTATCAATCATACGTGATGAAATAGCTGTGTATCTTGCTGCTCATTCCCAACAAAATACAATGTGAACCTGGCAGCAAATGTTAAGTACTTTGAAAATACTTACCAATTAAATTGCACACAGCAGAAATCAGAGCACCGATGTACACTATAAATTAAAACAATATATACATGAGGGGGGGGGAAATAAAATCTGTTCAATGTAGAAAACATACATAACACTGTTTGTATGCCGAGTGGAATGTACTTCCTGGGAAAAGAACTCAAAAGACAAGATTTGTTGCTATCACTCCAAATGGGGGGGGGGAGGTGGAAGTGGACTTTTGGAGAAGTTTGAAAATGTGTGTTAAGTCAGGGCGACCTTGAGCAGGCCTAGTCACCTCTATTCCCCCTCTCCTCCTCTATGGCTCCTAGTTCTAAGCAATCTATACTCCACCTCCTTCCAACCCCACATTTCAATCTTTCTCCTTCCTAGTTTTTACAACTCCAATTGTGTCCAAAGTATTTCAAGTCTCTATATATGCAGCTATCGATATAAGCCATGCCAAGTAAGTACAATGTAAATTAGCACAATTTGTTCTGCAGGTTCAAATTTCTGCTTGTGTGGACCATGAGGAGGTGGTTGTTGTTGCAATCAGAGCAGACAGATCCCACCCACAAAGAAGTAATAGAGCTTCTGCATGGGGACCCCCATAGCTGGTTGGGGTGAGAACATGCACAGCATCTGCTCAGATAGGGCGAAAAGTATACACCCAGTGTGGTGTAGTGGTTAAGAGCAGTGGATTCGTAATCTGGTGAACTGGGTTCACGTCCCCGCTCCTCCACATGCAGCTGCTGGGTGACCTTGGGCTAGTCACACTTCTCTGAAGTCTCTCAGCCTCACTCACCTCACACAGTTTTTGTTGTGGGGGAGGAAGGGAAAGGAGATTGTTAGCCGCTTTGAGACTCCTTAAGGGGAGTGAAAGGCGGGATAACAAGTCCAAACTCTTCCTCTTCTTCTTCATACATATCTATGAGTTGCTAGTGCTAAGTCAGAACCCTTAAAAGGTGGTGGCCTTTCTCCTTCCCCAACATCACACTTGTAACAGAAGACTTACTAAATATTGGCCTTTCTGCTACTTTCTGTTTAGCTTCATGCTGCCAGATGGTTGTTAGGGTCCTTCACCAAAAGCTGTTTTGCCTTACTCGTTTTACTATTTCTATTTAAGCATATGGACCAACAACCCTAGATTTTGAAGAAATATCTCTGTCTGTCATCAATGCTTTAAAACAGGGTAGATGTGCTTTTGAGAAAGTTGCTGAAAGGGGTTACAACGGATGAGATACTCAAAGGATGGTCAAAGGGTGGGGAAGAGGAATTTCAGTCTGACAGGGTGTAAATAAATATGGGTAGCGCTTCAGTGAAATGACCTCCATTTCTAACTATAGTATCTCTATATACAAAGTTTATTATTTGTAGGACGGCACATATCACATTTAATTTATAGGATATTTTCATACCAGTTCTCCATTTGTTGATATGTATTAAACAATATATTGATCCTCCAAGCAGTATTTTTTGGAAATGGCACACAAATCACCAAAAAACAAAGATCCAGTGCAATACATGTTAAAGCCTGATTTGAACATGCCCTTCCTTTTCCTCATTCTTTTTGCAAAAAGAAACATCATAAACAGGTGTAAACAGCATTGGCTAAGAGGACTATGTGAACCAGAAGCAGGACTGCAGATCTATTTAGATGGGACTTTTTACCTTTATACTATCAGTACTGCAGTGGATCTCAATTTGAAGTACACCTTTAACAGCAGTGTTAATTCTGTCAGTCCGCAGAATCAAAGGGCAATAAGTGCTGTGTCACCTCAGGGGCTGAGGCCACCATCCCACAAAGCCGTGTTGTGTTTGCTTAAAGAGGAGAACTGTGCATACAGCTGAAGGCGCCATTTAAGTTTATACTACAACTACATATAAAAATGAGCAGGGAAACTAGCTGGGCAGTTCAGCTGTGAAAGTAGTTGCATTAAAATCACAAAATACAACCCCAAAAACGAGGTGCAACCACCTTATTATGCCACTCATCTGTAAGACTGCAACATAATTAATAGAAATGGGAGAGGAGGGTCATTGGCTCTAATTCGTCAGATGGAGAATGCTTCTGCCTAACATAGCTCATACTGCAGTTAAATTACTTAAGTCTCTCTTATATTATTTTAACAAGAGAAAGTCCAAAAACTGACAAAGAATGGCTAAAAATCCTTTCAAAAACAGGAATGCCATTGTTGCAGGACTCCTGACACAACCGTGATGTTACAGGTGTTTCCTTGTGGTTTCAAGCAAAAACCACAAATTTAGTGAAACTTGCTTCTGAGTAAACAGGCACAGGATGAGGCTGCACATTCCATTGATCTAAATGGAATTTTTCAATGCTTAGTTTTGGCTTCGTGATTCCATCTCTTTTAGTGACTGAACACAAGTACATTTCCCCCTTATGTCAAGAGACTCAGGCAGTCTTGATGTATTTCACTTCTTGGTGAAAGTTGTCTTCACTGAGCCATCTATGATTAGCAGAAGTTAATAATCAAATTTATTTGGCAAAGAAAAATAACCTGTAGCTGAGACAAGAAAGGAGGGTTGGGAGCCTAAACTATTAAATTATTTCAAGACTGAACTCACCAAATTTGTAGAAATGTAGTGGTCCCATGAAAAATGCCATTATAGTTTAAAACCGCATCCTAGAAGCAGGAAGAGCACAAACAAACAGGATGCAGATGCATTTAAGATCAATGAGGGGCAGTACAAAGCTTAGAATACAAAGAGGATCTTCAAATTTTAAAAACAGGCATTCAGGCAGGCAGTAAAACAAGCTTTCTGCTCTGTACGAGACAGAGTTCTTTTCTGCTTACAATGGGAAACAGCTTTTTTGATGAATTCTGAGAGCACACTAAAGGATCCTCTTTCTTCTGTTTACAGTCTAGTGTATTAGCAAATCACAAGTACAGTTCCCTGAAAGAGCTTATACAATATCTGCAGAATAAATGTGTGGCGCAACCACAGGTGCAGAGTCAGCAAGTTCAATGGTTTGCTTTCCATGTCTAAACTTACAGCAAGTCTAAGGATATGGGGGCAAAGTCTCCAACCTTCTCTCCTTTTGGAGGGGGGGGTGTGTGTTAAAATTACCCTTACACAGTTTTCACTTAATACTCACCTTCAGCCATGATTGGGAGGGCCAAAAGGTGGACCTAACCCGATGGCGGCAGCATCACCACCAAATATCAGAATGGTGTGGAGGCAGGTGGAGGTCAGGGTTGTGCAGGAGCCCTGCCAGAAACATCTTATTGTTTCCATTTGCGTACCTCCACAGCCGTAGCCTTGCTACTCCCCTGCTTTGCCCTAGTACCAGGCAGTGATGCTGCTGGGAGGCCAGGCCCACAACAGCTCACCTCCCTGCTGGCTACTCCTGGATTCAACTGAGTAAATTTGTTATTGGGAAAATGGCAGAAGTTGAGAATCAAATTTATTTGGCAAAGAAGAAGCAGGAGTCTCTGAAGGCAGCTCAAATAAGAAGCAAATGAAGTGATGGGGACCCAAAGAGCTAAATTCTTTCTAGGTTTAACTCACCAGGTTTGCAGAAATGCAGTGGTCCCATGGAAAGTGCCATCATAGTTTAAAATCACATCCTACTGGGTGATCCCTACTGCTGACGTAACTCTTGCATCTGCAATCAAATGAAACTCTCTTCAGATAAAAACAATGTTCAGCCTGAACAGTTAACACTAAAATACAGCGTTACATCTTTAGTCTGACTTCTCAGGAGGCAAAGTTACTGTCAGGCTTGGAGTATTCTTGTACACACAATACAGTTTGGGATTTTCCTTAAACAGGTACTCCTTTGTCAAATGGGAAATCAACCTTGTGCCTATTCCCTTCATAGGGTTCAGGAACAGCTTGAAACACAGCATGTAAAAATAACCAACGAAACTGGACAACAGGTAAACACATCCACATTCAGAAAGAATATTAGGTCATTAACTATGGTTAAGCAAATGGTCCCGTACATGGTATGTCATATGTGCCGGCACTCATAGGCTCAGCTCTCCTGCTTTACTCCTCATTCAGTCAAGTGAGAATACAAACTATGGTGTTACTGGCTTTGTGTTACTTTTGAACCAGCACTTGTAGTTCTTTCCAAACCATGATCTGCCACTAAGCTTTGTTCTTGGCTTCTGAATGTTGATTTGCTTGTGATAAATAAATCTCAAGCACGGCTTTAGATGTGGTTTGTGATCCTACTCATTTAAGGAAGGAGAAAACAGAAGTGCTCTATTCACCGGCATGGAGCTTGTGCACAGAGTTTATTTAATCATAGTTAATGGCTTAGCATGACATCTAAATTCAGCCCATATGATAAACAGGTATACTTTTACTGCTGTCAAGTGCTGCAACTGCTGACACACAGCAAGCTGCAACACCTGTTAACTGCAGCTACACCATCATGCAATTCCTGGGAAAGACTGAAGTGGCAAAATAAATGTTTGTCTCTCTCTCCCCTGAACTGTTCCTAGCTAGAAGCATAGTCCAGTTTTAAGTTAGCTGTACATGTGTGTAGATTCCTTAGACAACCCAAGTGTGTGCAGTAATGTTTTCTCTCTTTCTGTGAAGTTGTGAGAAGGGAGAAATTCCACACTCCTCCATTCTTTCATCAATGCAGCTAGACTTGGTTCCAGAATCCCTCCTGCCACTGCAAATCCCTTCCCTAATCTGAGACTAAGACAAGTGGGGGGGGGGATTATCTACCGCATGATTGCATCCTGACCCTTAACTTGCTTTGCCCTTTGCTGGTATGCTAGTAGATATGGTAAGGGAAACTCTCTGTTGTGCTTTTTTTTTTTAAACTAACGGACTTTTCTAATAATCTGAGTGCCCTGGATTGTGTAAACACCATTTTAAATATCATTTGTGGATGCACCCTGACAAAAGCTTTGTCCTCTAAATCAGCCAGTCCCATTTTCTTTTTAAATCTGATCAGTGAGTGACCCCCACATTAAGAGAAGTTAGTAATTGCAGCATAAACTACACCTGCTCATATTTTGATGTCTGCAGAAGCATATTACGAAAGGAAGATGTCTAATCTCTGCTTCAGATGTCAGAGAGAAAGAAGGCAGGGAGCATTTGGAGATTTCTCTCTCCATCGACCTTCCACCATTCAAATCTCTTCAGCCTTAATACAATTGAGCTGCATCTCAACACTTCTAGCATAAGCTATTTCTACAGATATCCCTTCTACTACAAAATGAGTCCTGTCCTCTGTTTGAGACTACACTTAAGAAGGCATCAAATTAATTAAACACCAAGCTTACCTTTAAAAACTTTCACATGAGGTGCTTGGTATAAGGTTGAAAACATCAGGAAAATACCCTGGTTTCTGGTGAAACTCACACATCTAAAGACAATACTGTAATGTTTAAGTAATCACAATTTCCCTTTCACAAGAAGAGACATAACAGGAAGTGAGTGGCAATGAAACCACAGGGCCTCAATTTTGAGTACAGTAAACACATTTAAAATTGCACTATATGTCTTCCTTTCACATGACAAGCCAACAGCCCCTTGAGGCAAAAGGAATTGTGGTCCCTTCCAACTCTAATAATTCTATGATTTTGTGAATATAGAGATTGAACGAAGAAAGCTGTATATTTCAAAAATCTCCGTAACGACTTTTAGGATTAAATTAAGCATGATGGTAGTTGCCATGTTTTCTCATTCACATAAAGCAGAGATAGGGATCCAGGCAATGGCCACTCTGCCAGGAGGGCAGGGCCATAATGTCAGGTGAGATAACTTCCTTCACACAATGGCCTGAATTAAAACCAGCCCACAAAATAAAAATTCAGCCATGCAGGAAAGATGCTGAATACAAGCTTCTCTTCCCAAGGAACAATCCAATGCTCACTTAAAGCATCTCAATATTTTCCTTTGCAATGACAACTTTGCCTGTGCCACATCTGACAGCCTATATGACATTAAGTGTGAGGAAGGTGACCATGGCTTAAGGAAAACAGATTCCTAGACCTAACAAGGCACAAAGGCCAGAGGATCTACACTGTTAACATAAAATTCACACAAGATTCACTGACGTCTTCCCATTAGTGCAGGTCCATAGGTAAGTAGCATGATGCACAAAAACCAATAAGGTCCTTCCCAGCCTTTTAGCATAGCTATCCATCCACCAGATTTTTAATGCCTTCCCAACTATCAGCGAAGGGGGAAATGGGGGCAGCCCCCAAAATCAAAGAGAGAGAGAGAGAGAGAGAAACATGGTACTGTACTGAAAAATCCATCTTATTTCAAATAATAACAAATTAAAATGCCTCACACATTTGGTTGAATTAAAACAATTAAATTAATTAAATTAATTAACAATTAAAACAATTAAAATGCCTCACACATTTGGTTGATGACAACCTTCTTCAGCAGCAGAGATTAAGGTTACCATGACAAGCTAACTTCTGTTTAGCCTTCTTCAGGCATTTTGGGCAAACATATGTGGGAGAAGGCTTGGGAAGTACATGTAAACCCTGTCTCCAAATCTCTGCGCGCACCCACAGCCCTTTGGACCTTCCCTTGTTGCAAAGAGAGGTCTGAATGCTTGAACCCTGATAAGGCAGTTTGCCAAGATGATTCTAAGCGTCTTCATCTGAACATATGAGGATGTTTGGGGAATGGATTGTGTGTGTGTGTGACCTGTTCCTTCCTCATTATCTGCCCATGGGCAAATACCAGACTAGAATTTCTGTTGTCAGCAGAACCTTAATCTTATACCCCTGAAGAAGGCTGTCAACAAGCAAAAGGCTTGGGCACAATTATTACTTGATAAAGATTCATTTTTCAATACTGTTTCCAGGCTTCTTTTTTTCCTTTTGGATTGCTAGCACAGCCAGAATTTGCCTAGAAGCTAAGCCACACTTGCTAATAGAATAAGAGACTTCTTTAATACCAAATTTATGAGCCGTCTTGTGGCTTCATCCTAGCAGTGAGGTCCAATCCACTTACTAGCACGTCTGCCTTTCAAACTTAAGCTCACTGAAACCCACTGAAATCAATGGGCTTAAAAACAACAAATAATCTTCTAGGAGGAACTGTTTCTTTGTTTCTTACACAGATTTTACACCTTGCCCTTCCCTCATTATAGGTCAGGGCAGCTCACAAAACAGAATACAATACAAAATCCAGAGAGACTTTAAACACAAGCCAGCAACCACAAATAACCAGCATCTGGATGGATCATCATCATTAAGGCTTCAGCTCAGGGGATCAGCCCGTTTATTTCAGCTGCCATTTCCTTCGGAAACGGGTCTCCCCACGGAGTTCAAGCAGAGTCCTGCGTGGGGGCACTAAATGGGCGCCCGTTTCGTCCCGCAAGGCGGAGCTAGACGACGCATGAGCGCCGCCATCCCTCGCTAACTTCCTCCCCTCCTTCCCCTTCCTCGCCAGCCTGCAAGGCCCGAGCTGTGCGAGGGTCGGCGGAAGAGCGCGGCTTGTCCCGGCCTCCACCGCCTCGCCGAGAAGCTCCAGGCTGCGCGGGGGACCCGCCGAGGCGTAGCCCCAGCCCCGACCCCGCCAGCCTCGCTTCCCCCGCGGACACTCGGGCGCCTCGTCCTCGCCTGCCTCCTTCGAAGTGGCTCACCTGGCCGCGCCCGAGCGCCCCGCCGCCGCTCTCATCCCCGCCGCCTGCGCCGCTGCAGCGGCCGAGCCCCCGAGGCTCTCCTCCAGGCGGATGCCATGTCCGCCGAATCCGAAAGCGAAAACAAAGGGGTCGGGCCGTCAGGGGGAAAGGCGGGCCTTTGTCTGCTCCTTGCAGGGGGGACGGGACTGACTGGGGCCTGGTTGGAAGGAAGGGTGGGTTTTTTTTAATTCTTCCTCCTGTGTTCATCCCCCTGGAAAAAGCCAGCTTAGTTTAGCGGTCAGGTTTGTAAGAGGTTGAGCGACCATTTTTAATGCACACCCTGCTTGCGAGTAACGTTTGAACGAGGTGGTGCGTGTCTTGCTTCTGTTCCCTAGCATCTTTGCCCCGTGTCTGCTAAGCCCGGCTGAGTTCAGGGGGACTTGCAACCAGGTGGGTGATAGGCTTGCAGCCTAATGCCGGAATGTAAGCCTTGTCGTGCGGGTCTTACTTTCATTTATTTACCGATTATTAAATTTGAGCCCAGGGCAGCAAGCAACAAGCGAGGAAACGGTAACAACGGCTTAAAGCAATTCTAATACAGAGGCAGACTGGGAAAGAGCTCAGGTTAAAAGACCGGTTGAAAGTGGAAAGGCATCAATAGGCACCGAAAAAGCACCCGAGGCAGCACCTTGTATTCAAGGGGAGAAAATTCAAGGTCTTGATGCCACAACATTAAAGACCTGATTCAGTGAGCTTCATGCCTGAGTGGGAACTTGAACCCTAGTCTTCCAGGTTCTAGTCATACACTCTTAAGTACTACCCCACAATATGGTACAGTATCTGTGATTAATTTATTCTTTTAACTTTTATTAAATTTATATACTTCATTTGAAGATTACAGGGTGGTTTATAGCATAAAAATACAAAATGAAAACACAAAATATTATAATAACCAACAAAAACCAGTAACCCCCTCCCACAAATACATTTTAAAAGCCATAGATTGTTTAAGCAGCCCGAGGCCTGGCTATAGAGGAAAAATTCTTGCCTAGCGCCTGCAATCTCAACTATGTGGTATTCACCATAGTAAACCACTTCCGTATGGACTGCCACCACACAGAAGCCTTTTTAAATAGTGCTCACTGCAGTGTTTTAATCTGCCTTGAGTCAAAGTTCCTGCACTTGCTTTCTCAAACTGCAGCAAAATCACGCTGCATACAACTCCCTTTTGGATGCCCTCCTTGCGCAGTTGTCATTCACACCCAACACCCTGGCAGGGCCCACTGCTGATGCCTCCCCTTAGAAAATTTTTGTCCTAGCATTCCAAAAAGCACTAGGAGGCTGAACCTAGCAATCCTTTGAATTGCCCACAATGCCCCTGGCTTAGCATCATCCTGTGCTGCCACAGCTGCAAGAGCCCACTGAAAGGAAGGGCCCACCAGAAGGCACTTTCCCCTGCCCCCCTTCAAACCTAGACAAAGCCCTGCCTCCTGGGTTTCCATCAATTAATTAATTAATTCGATTTGTATACCACCCTTCAGCTGAAGATCACAGGGTGGTTCAAATGCAATATGTCAGCCAACAGGAAATTGGATTGGAGAACATGGAACTGGATGTGAATTAATGAATATACAGTGGTACTTCGGGTTACAGACGCTTCAGGTTACAGACTCTGCTAACCCAGAAATAGTACCTCTGGTTAAGAACTTTGCTTCAGGATGAGAACAGAAATCACGCAGCGGCAGCGGGAGGCCTCATTAGCTAAAGTGGTACCTCAGGTTAAGAACAGTTTCAGGTTAAGAACGGACCTCCAGAACGAATTAAGTTCTTAACCCGAGGTACCACTGTACAATAAATAAATAAGTAACAGCCATGGATCCAGAAATACCCACAAGCTGAGTACCCGCCTCTTCAGAGGAAGTGAAACTCCAGCAAAAAGCAGGCAACCTTCCATCCATGTGGTCTGCAGAACTAACAGTGCCTCAGTCTCATCTGAATTGAGCTTCAGAAATATAATAGGAGGTAGAGAGGCAAGGCAATCATATGATTATTTGTGTGTTGGGGGGGGGAATAGTGCTTTTATAACTTACTGGTGCAATAAGGTTCAAGGTAACCCACAGATATTGCTAGGAACTTTATGAAACTCATACTTTATTTGAGTGTATAACAGAAATTTTAAATATTTGTATACTTGTACTTTTGCCTGTTTCATGTTTACTGGATTAACTGTAAATAATGCAAATAACATAAGTACCAGTTGCTTGGCTGGTATTTTCATGCCCTGATTGTGGTCTTCCTAGAACCAGATTGCCCACTGTGAGAAAGAGGATACCTGACAACATGGAACTTTTGTCTGACCCAGCTGGGCTCCCCTTATATTCTTCTATCCCCAGAATTGGATATTCTATCTCTGGAGAGGGATTATTAATTTCATTATTCTGCCTAATATGGCAGGAGGGACTTCCATTGGCAGTATTTAGACAGAATTAGCTTTCCATGGGTGGGCAAAGGAAAATGTCTCAAGAATGGCTTGGTAGGCTAGGCAGGTTGTTTTGAACACCACTTCTGGAGTGAGTCCCACTAGGGCCTTTCTAAAACATCCTGTAAATTGAAACTTTAAGAAATCACTGAAACTGAATGTTAACTGACAATATCATGTCTTTGAGAAGGGGATTCTTTTTCATCGAAACTGTATGAACACTGATTCTTGGTGAGAATATTTGTATTTGCATCTTGTGAGTTTTTTCCTAATCTACTGCAATGCAAGTTGTCTGAGTTTCTTTTTCAACAGAGCAGCTGGTTTTCTTTTCCTTTTTTAAAAAAATCTGTACTGAGAAGAAGTTGTTAGATACCCGTCTGTCTCACTGCCTCCTCAAGGAAGTGCGGCATTAAGTTCTCACATAATGCTAAACCAAAGCAAGGATTAGTGTGTGAGCATGCATGTGTGCAGGTTTCTGGAAAGGAGATAGTGGACGTTGCATTTCTCCCTCGGTCCTCCTGCTGCCACACTACCTAGGCTAAGCCATGGTTTGACTTAACACGTCATTCAAACATGGTAGTGGAGCAGCAGCAGGACCAAGTGAAGAGTGCAGTGACTGTAGTCTTCTGTCTGGGATCCCACATGCGTTTGTGCTAAGCCATGGTTTGGCTTAACGTCATGTACAAACCAAGTCAATTTCAAGGCAAAGCAGAACGAATTTTCTTCATGCCTGCTACCCTGTTTGTAATGGCACAGATCTTCTGGTCTACAAAAAGATGACACCCTCATCTTTTCAGGGTTTCTGTTCCTCAAATTAGGACTCTCAGAAGAAATTCTCTGCACAAATTCAGATTGCATTTGTCCATCACAATTTTTCTCTCAGGTATATAGCATTCAACACATAAATCTGCCTTAGATTTGTTAGGCTCAAATTTTGTTACAGTGGTTAAGACTGTTGTTTGGAATGATGAGTGTTGGAAAAGATGCAGTAGAAAAGGTTTAATAATAGGATCCATGGAGGGGAGGTGGGAAGTCCAGAGATTCAGAGGAATCTGTAAATGTGGATGTGAATGGTTGTAATGGTTATAATTATATACTTGTAAAATCAAATAAAAACTATAAAAAAGACAGTTGAACTAGGACTAGAGAGACCCAAGTTTAAATTCCTCTCATCCACCATATAACTCAATGGGCAACTTTAGCCTGATAATTCTTTCTGACAAATCTACCTCACAGGGCTGTTGTGAGGGGGAAATCAGGGAGGAGAACAATGAGCTCCTTGGAGTAGGGATGGACTAAAATGGAAATAAATACAAGTAAGCATGTGGAGTTCTATGCTTACGTCAGAAGGCATATGAGGCCACCACCTTGCTGAAGCAAATAAGATCCGGGTCTGGCCACTGTCTGGATGGGGCAACATGTACATTAACTTCAGCCCCATGATGGGGGAAAAGGTGGCATATCAATGTAAGAGAATCAGGTAAATGAAAGAGTGAAAACAGACATTTGCAGCAAACTTACCCAGCATGCACTGAATGCACCAAGTGCAATATGCCAGCCAAATCAGCTTTTTATCCATTTATTATACACACAGAGCAGCAGTAGCAGCACATGTACTTGGCTGCGACTAGACTAGTTATCCCCCTGGATGAGAACAAATCTGCGAGAGGGCGATATATTTTTCTGGGTTGCTGGCGCTGTGGTTATTTTCCCTGCTGAGTGGTCATAGTATCCGTGGATCAGTAGAGTATGCCTCTGAACACCATTCACTAAGAATCACAAGTGGCCAAAGTGTGGCTGCAGTTGGTTCCTTTTTGTGAGCTGCTCATTGGGCTTCTGGCTGAGCAATGTGAGAACAGATGCTGGCCTTGGGCCTGACCCAGCAGGTCTCTTCTTATGTTCTTGATTGAGGACGAATTGGTTTTAATAAGTTCAGTGTTGTTTATTCACGCGGGATTATCTAATTATGAGGGGCTTGTGATGAGTTGGCTATGAAAAACAGTCCCCTATCTTAATTTGGTCCCTGCGTTCAGAGAATGTGATGGCTTGAGGCAAAAGAGGAATGATTCCTCTTTACAGCTCCTGGCTGCCACAACACTTCCTGAGCGGGCTTCATAGGCCGTAGGGACAAACAGCAGCAGCAGCAACACCTGCGACGTTTGCTGGGCGCTGTTGGCTTGCCAGGGGCGCTGAGGGCGCGGCTCCGTTGCTGCCTCCCGCCTCCCAGGGCAGCGTCGGGAGGCGGGAGTTCCCGTGCGTTTCGTCCGGGGAGCGAGGTTCACCTGGGCTGCTTCCAGACAGCGCGCGCGAGGAAGTGGTCGCGCTGGGCTGAGGCCACGCGGTTTGGGCGCTATGAGGGGAGCCAAGCGCAGAAAGGAGAAGGGAGAGGTCGGAGGAGGAGGCGCCCGGACGTGACTGAGGCGCTCCGAGAGAGCCGTGCGGGCGCCTTACGGAGCAGTCCGCCCAGGCGAGTTCTGCAGGGGTTCGGGGGGCATCGACTGCCCCCTCGGGAAGCGAGTCTTCGTGGGAGATGGACCCACGAGGCTGGCCCTGCCTCATTTGCAGCTGCCTCTTCTGGTCAGGTAAGGAAAGGGCAGCTCCTCTCGTCCAGGGCTTCCCGGGGTTACTTCTGGGAGCGGCCGGCCAGAAGCTGCTGTTTTCCCTCGGAATTCGGACGAGATTTCTCTGCGCCTCCCGCGCATGTGTCCGGCTGCTGCCCGCCATCAGGCGTTGCTAGATTTCGAAAAGTAAAATTCCTGACACAGCCGCAAAGTTGTTGAGGTTTTTTTTAGGAAACCACCCAAATTGTTTGGGAACAAACCCAGATTTTAAGCTACTTGAGCTGTTTCGCCATCGGGGATTTTCCGGACCTATGGCAAGCCTGGAGTCATCAGAAGGCGGGGGCGAGGGAACCAGTGAGATTTATAAAACATTAGTAGAAATGGAAGATCAAGAAGATCAATTAAAAGGGGTGTGGGGAAAGGAGATGACAGGGCAGATAGTCAAAGCTGGAGGAAAATATGGGTGAAAGTACGTTGGAAATGTTGTCTATAGGAATAAAAGAAAATTATCATAAATTGAGAAGGTATTTAACACTGGTCAAATTAAATCAAATAAGGAATATTCGATGTTATGTTGGAGGGGATGCTGGGAATTATGTTCACATGAGGTGGGGGTGTAAATATGTACATTTTTGGGGGCAAAGGGTGTTTAAGGAAATAACAGGGTTATCACTGGGTTAAAAGTGATTGAAAGTCCAGAGGTAGCATTACGATGGGGTGGAAGGTTCGCAGGCTATGAAGCATTTGCTCACAAATTTATTGACAGCAGCACAAATTATTATAGCTAGGAAGTGGAAGGGGCAAGCAGAATATAAAATGGAATACATTAGTACCTCGCGTTATGTAACCCTCTGTTTAAGTAAACTTTAGGTTGCGAATGCAGCAAACCCTGAAGTATTTTTCTGGGTTTTGCAGAGCTTGCATGCGCAGAAGCGATCCACAAGTTGCGGAAACCTTGGGATCCAACCGGACCTCCGGAACGGATCCCATCCGCAGAGGTACCACTGTAATGGTATAAAGAGGTATATTAGTATGGTATAAGGAGGTGTAATGGTATGTTAATGATAAATTAACAAATGCCTTTAAGGTAAGACAGGGAACATGCAGGAGAAATGATTCTGAGGAGATATGGAAGGTGTTTGTAGAATTTGTACTGTTAAAACAGAAAAAGATGGGTGGGGATGAGATCAAAGGCAGATTGGAGGCTCCCAGGCAATGGTTTGTTGTCGTAGCCTGCTGTGCACACATGTTGATGCACACCGCTGACAGTGTGTATACACGGAGCCTCAGAAACACATAGGGGGGTTTTTGCACAGGGCGCTTCTTCTGTGGGTCTTGCTGCTGCTGAGAACTAAGCCATAGTCTGGCATAGCGTTGCACCTGAACTCAGGTTCTGGTTTGTTTCTTTCCCATGAACCATAACCAAGGTTTGTTCTTGACTCATTTTTTTTTAAAAAAAACAATGAGCCTGGATTTGGAAGCAATGCTAAGTTAGACTGCAACTTGTTTCCTGGAAGCTCATCAGGAGCAGGAGAGGAGTGAAGCACCAGCAGTTTCAGCTGTGTGCACCAATACGTATGCAGTGCATTCCCATTTAAACCATAGTTTAACTATGATTTAAGTTCATTCAGACCAGTCCTTCAAAGTGAAAGACATAGGATCTGGTTGCAATAATGAAACAAAAGTGTAATAATGATCTTTTTCACTTTTGCGTTGGTTGCCATAAGTGACCAGGCATTTCATGCAGGCAAGTGGACTTGCTGGACAGGTTGCTCTGTTCCTCCTTTGTGCTTGGCAAATAAACCAAATAGACAGCTGAAGGAGGGAGTCCTCTTCCATGCCCAGCATAGGAATGCAGTTTTATATCCCTGCCCTGCCAGCTCTCAACAAGGTAGTTTGCATGTCAGTAACTTTTGTTGGCTTTTTTACAAGCAGCTGCGAATTAACATGGTTTACAAGTCAGATTGGCACCGTTGTTTAGGAAACATATAAAGAAGTATCAATGGGAAACTGATTTAAATTGGTCTCTCTCCTCTCCCCCCCCCCTTAGAGATCTAAATAATTGATCTAAATCAACCCACTCGGCTTAGACAGTGACCAGACACACCCTATAGAAACTCCAGTGCCTGTCATAGTTGGATGGAACAGCTGTAGCTTTCGTGAAACTTAAATCAGTTTTTTAGGTCACACTGTGCCTTACATTAAACACAATTTTAAAGAAATGTATTTGACACTGTCACAGTACGTTTGAAGAAAAAGCAGTTCACCAGCAGTTGTTGCTGGTGCAATCAAGCAGTAAATATGAGTCTCTCCTCACTTCCTTTGACCTGCACTGGAAGCTAGAATGATGCAGGTGAGGGGAAACACACACAGCCACGAAGCCCCCTGGAGTACACACTCACCCTCCCAGTTTTTTCTCCTTTGAGCTGTGCCGCTTGGTAGGGAAGGAAGTTAGCAAACAAGACAAGTTACTACTCAATCCCATCTCTCGCTCATCCTCTTTGGACATCAGCAGTGAGGGTGGGGTGCATGGAGCTGCCTAAAGAGAGTGCAGTACCTGTGCCCAGTTGCTTGCCCCACCCCCCACCCCGCCCCAGCAGTGCAGCATAGCTGGTTGGTTGTGGAAATCTCATCTTTGCTGGCTTCCCTGTGCTCTCCGTGTTAGTGGTGCAAGAACAGGCACGGATTGGGCCTAAGGAGCCCAATCCTCTTCTCCATCCTCTTGTTGCCCAGTGAGAGAGGGCAGGTGATCAAGTAGTCCTCTTTTCTGGAGTAGCTGCTGCCTCCACATAGTTGCTCAATGTTCCTCTTTCACTTGCAATCAACACTTCCTCTGATGCCTTACCTATTCTTTCCGACTGGAAGTCTCTTTCTGATCACACATCCTCTCTCTTTGGGTAACACAGCAGGAAGGATTGAGCTCAACGGTGTCATTCACAGTGAGCAAGCAAAACAAAACAGTTGGTGGCTGCTCCTCAAGAAAGTGCCGCCTCATTGCCTTACTCACCCATGCTTCGTCTATTATTGGATGGCACTGGGTTCATCATGCCTCTGAATGTCAGTTCCTGGGGATTACAGGTGGGCTGAGTGCTGTTGTACTCATGTCCAACTACTTGCAGGCTTCCCACACATCTGGTTGGCTCCTGTGGGAACAGGATGCTGTGGATTAGATGGCCTGACTCAGCAGATTAAGTTCTTATGGAAATACAGGTGGTAAGAGAGACTTCCCTTTTGCCGAAGTGGCATACCACCATTAATGCAAGTCTGGATCCAAGCCATAGTTCAGTTTATCTGATGAAACTAGAAGGAAACACACTAAAATATGTGAAAGAACACCAAGACTTTAAGCAATAGAAAGCTGTGATTGATGCTTTCATAGAAATGTTACTAAAACAAAGTGTCTTTTTTTATTACCAATATAACTGTAGGTGTACAGCTCGTAACTGAACAGCAGCGTCAGTAATTAGAACGTATTTTCTCATTGCACTATTTGGGACAATATAGTCATATAGAAGTTGTGTAGAACATGTGAGATTGCACACAGTACTGACTTCCTTTATACAGTTAAGATTCAGGTAGTATATGGGCTTGGTACCTCAGGTTTTAAATGGGTTAATTTTTGGTTTCTCCCCATCTTTTATGCACCTGCATGAACCCACACTTCCTTTCTTTGCCATAGTCTGGATGAAGAGTTCTAGAAAATCTGAACATTGGCACACTATCTTGTGATAGTTTGACTGGCTTAATAAAGATGTTGCCCCAATATGGATTTTGGAATTTTTCTTATGGGCTACACAGCCATCTGTCTTTCTTTTTTTTATTAATCTTAGGGTTGTTAGTTGTGATGCAACCATCCATTTCTCATAGATAATAAAATTTGACAACACACCCCCTGATTGATAGTTGTGAAATTTTCCTATAATAGGCGGATAGATGCTGTTTACAAAGTGATTAAACAAATTCATGGAGAACAAATCCAGTCATGGTTCTTCTCAGTGAAGTCAGCTGAATGGAATGCCTGTGTAAAGGAATGAAAGAGGATTGATACTTCGCTCGTGCTCTGATTATAAGGTTCTCAGAGGCACCTTGTTGTCCACAGCTGGAGACAGAATGATCAACTCCCTGTCTGATCCAAGAAGACAGTTATTATGTTAACAAATCAAAGGCTGGAGTGAGATTAGGACTGCTTATTTTTTCATAGCCCAGTGTGTAAACTGGCAAGCACCTAATGGTTGATTATAGCCGCATGCTACTGAAAGTCATGTTGAAAACATTGCTGGCTCCAGGGTTTCATAGGGTTTTTTGAAGGGAGATGGGGATTACTGGTTTGTTTTGTTTTTGTTCATGTTTTTATTATGTATTTTGTATTTTTATCCTGTGTTTTTATGCTGTGAACCGCCCTGAGATCTTAGGACGAAGAGTGGTTTTGTTGTTGTTGTTTAGTCGTTTAGTCGTGTCCGACTCTTCGTGACCCCATGGACCAGAGCACGCCAGGCACTTCTGTCTTCCACTTCCTCCCGCAATTTGGTCATACTCATGAAGAGTGGTATACAGATTTAATAAATAGTGGCTTTTGGGCAAGATGCCTTTCCAGAAATGGGCATACCTCCTTCTTGCCACTGCCCAGTCATCTGTTGTCTTCCTCTGTGTCCAGCCAGTCAGTCCAACTGGTCAGCCCAGTGGAAGAGTGAAAGATGAATGGAGGCAGTGGTTCCTTCTCATTCAGTCAGTGCTTGGGGAGGGCATGAGGATAGGCAGCAACAGCAAGGAAGAGAACCAGCAGGACAGGGAGACTGTGATGCTTGACAAGGGGCTCCCTGCTAGAGTGTGAGCCTCAGCAGGTACCAGACAATGCTGACTCTTGATTCCATTCCCACTTGTAAGGCAAAACAGATGAGTTTGGATCTCTTTATTCTATGCAGATAGTGGCATAGCATAGTCCGTTCTGCATCTTGCATTCATAGTTGTAGAAAGTTCTTTCATATGGAAACTTCTAGAGCCAAACATCTTTGAATCCCACATTCTTGTGTACATTACATTGCAATTGCTTTTACCCAGTAATTAAACCACTGTGAACAAAAATATTGTATAATGCTTTGTATTGTTAATTCACAGTACAGTGGTACCTCGTGCTAGATACGCTTCAGGTTACATACACTTCAGGTTACAGATTCCGCTAACCCAGAAATAGTGCTTCAGGTTAAGAACTTAGCTTCTGGATGAGAACAGAAATCGTGCTCCGGCGGTGCAGCAGCAGCAGGAGGTCCCATTAGCTAAAGTGGTGCTTCAGGTTAAGAACAGTTTCAGGTTAAGAACGGACCTCCGGAACGAATTAAGTACTTAACCCGAGGTACCTCTGTACTTACTAAAAGTGGTCTTTCACTGCAAAAGTAATGTAGTTGGTACATTTTGTGCATTTAAATCCTGCTGAAATAAGTGGAATTTCAGCCTTCACCGGCTTTCATATATCTTGGATTACAACACCCATCTGCCCCCCAGCCAGCACAGCTGTAAGTTATAGTCCAATCACCAGGTTGTCAGAGGCTAACTTAAAAATGCCAAACTACTAGATTGTGGCAATGCTTCTTGCTCGGCTGGATAGAGGGTAGCTAGGGGTATTTGTGTAGAAACTTGACTACTGTACAAAGGAAGAATTCCCATTCATTGCTCTGTTCACTTTTGCCTCTGGCCCTGCCCACCAATGGCATGTGGCCCCTGGGAGGTTGCCCAGAAGGGGAGTGTCGCCCTCAGACTTTAAAAAGGTACTCCAGCCCTGGTTTATGCCACACTTAATGGTACTGATCAGAAAGATATAAGGAGGAAAGTGAAATTGCTTCATAAGATCAAGGTAGTAGATATATTTCTTTTGCTATATTGTAATGACCTGCAGTTGTTATAGGCAACGAATCCAAACTGAGAGCTGAAATAATGAGATCAACATTAAAATACCTCTTGAAGATCATTTTTATGCACTGTGAAAATAATGGAACATTTTCTAGTTTCAGTTTTGTAGCAACTAAGATAAGTTGAAAAACATACAAAGAACAAGGAAGGATAGCCATGCACCATGAACTAACTGATGGGTGTAATATAATATGATTCATTCTCGAGTCATAGCACTTGAACAATCATGGTATTTTACAAGATTGAGTAAACTGATACTGAAAATTCACTGCTGATCAAATGCATTTTCAGACTGCAATTGAACTATTTCACAACATATTTTACCATATATTCTTGTATTTTACTTTTTAAAAAAACCTGTTTTCTAGTTAAAAAACAAAAACTTCAGCAAGTATTGACAGAAATCAGCTCATAAATCATAAAAGGGAGTACAAGGAACTTCAGCCATCTACGCAGCCATTGACTCTAAGAAAAATGCCAAAGTTTCACAAAGAGATGTTTGTTCAGCCCTTTCTGGATAACCGCCAGTTGAAGCCTTTCGCAGACCACTTTCATGATGAAATCCCCCCCCCCAATATTTAATTTAACCAAATTCCATTTTCCTGTAACATATATTGATTCGTCACGATTCATTGGTCTCTTCTGAGTATGCTTCTTCTTGCTTCTCTCTGCCTAATGGCAGGGCTGGCTGCTCTGCGTTTTGTATTCAGTAATGCTGGTTAACTACTTTTATATTCTATATTTCTGACATCCTTGATATGATGCTTTCTTCCATCTTTCAATATTCCTTATTACATATCCCTATGTTTTCTTCCATCTTCCTTCAATCCTTCTCTGATTTAAATATGACCTTCCTTCCATACCTTCATTTTCTGAATAAATTTATCATGCTGTAAATCTCAGAACCAAAAATAACACAACAGGTGAGGTGATACAGTTGAGGTTGTATCTTAATAAAGAAGTAGCAACAATGACAAATGGATGGTGACGATTTAGAACAGCCTTTGCCAACTTGGTGCCCACCAGATGTTTTAGACTACAAATCCCGTCAACCCTAGCCACCCTTGCTGGCTGGAGCTGATGAGAGCTGTAGCCCAAACATCTGGAGGGCATCAGGTTGGGGAAGAGTGCTTTAAGAGTAGGAGGATTAATAAGCTTTGTATACAACAAAACAATTGAAATGTCCCCTGCACTAGCACTACTTGGGCTTAGGATCCCGTCTGCTCGTGATTATTCTAAAGATCACCTCTTAGTCTTTCTTTTGACTGCTGCAGTTATGGAGATAGCCAGAGGTTGGATGAAAACATTGATTCTTGGTATAACAGACTATGGTCAATAGCATTGGCTGAGAAACTAATGTGCCAGGTGAGAGTGGCAAAGGGCAAACACAATCCATATACCTTTTATAACATATGGCAAACGTTTGTTGAATACATCAATTGTTCAGACTGTGGCAGGAATCTACCCAGTACTCATGGGGAAATGTGGTGTGATCTCTTAGAGTAATCAAGCAAAACTTTAACACATGGCGTGATAAAAGTCTGTAATTTTATCAGGACAAGTTACTTGTTGTTTACTGTTGTAACAATTGTTTTCTCAAAATTTATACTCTGTACCATGAAAATAAATAAAAAGCGTAGGAGGAAAGAATAAACCACATTTGTATCCTCAATTGTTTAAATGTATTTTCCCAACCAATGAAAGAAATTCAAGGCCACATACCAGTATTTAAACAGCATGTCATGTTTGTATTTACAGTGCATGGGATGGTACCAGAACCGCAGAATGTAAGACTTCATTCAGTTATGTTCGACACTTTTCTCCAGTGGGATCCACCTCATTTTCACAAAGGAAGCATGACTTACACAGTTCAGTATAAAGTGTATGTGTGAGTGAAATGGCTTATAATTTTGATAGTTTATTTTAAGGGCACAATCATATGATTTATGGAAGGGCATCACAGAGGCCATAGAACACAGCACATCTTCTTTGTCGACAGCTAGTTCCCCGCCCTCCCCCCCCCGAGGCCACCTTCTTGTAGTTGTGGAGACTTCCACGGCCACCCCTTCCCCTGTCTTAGATGCTTTGGTGCAAGGGAGGGAAAAGGGAATGTGCCAGGGTCAGCTCCAGGTTTGTGGAGCCCTTGGCCAAAGTTTCCTGTGTTGGGCACCTTTCTCTATCAGTGGTCCCTGGTGACTGCTGTAGAGGCAGCGCTTTAAAAAGTGTGGTATGGCTAGGTCTAGGCACCCTATTAATTTCTCACTATGTCCCAGAGATGCTGGGGCAGGGGGATAAAGTGGAATTAAAGGATAGCTTGATGCAGCCACTTAGCACTGTGGAGGCTAGCCTGGGAGTGGGGAGATAAGGGCCTCCAGAGCAGTCATCGCTACTGGGCTCTGTAAGGGCACTGGGAACTGCCCAAGGATACCGCATGATAGATGTTTCAAATGATGCATTGATTATACAAGAGTAAGAATTGAAAATGAATTGTTGCCTGAAATGAGAGAGAGAGAGAGAGAGCTATTCTTTCCTCAATAACACATTGATTTTCTTTCCATTTTTACAGATATGGAAATGGGTTCACTGATTTATGCCAAAGAACTGACATCACAAAGTGCAATATTTCAAGTATCCCTATACATGGTAGTTACATTGTAAGAGTTAGAACTGAAGTTGAGGAGGAGCGATCAGACTGGGTAAACATCACCTTCACACCATTCAGTGACAGTAAGTGAAGATTCAAGTTCACTGGAATATTATTTTTAAAGGTTGTGTTGTCTGGCTTAACAATATGGTTTCTTGGTGAAGGGTTAGTTAAGACCAATTAGAGCAAAGAAAAAGGCACAGGGTGATATCTACCTAAGTATGCTCAGAGGACTCAGCTTATGTTGGATACTGTGCATAAGTTCCAAGACCATGTTCAACTTAGTAAAATGTCTGTTTTTCATAGACTATGAGAGTTTCCCATGGACAACCTTTGCTCTGATTTGGCACACTGCTAGGATTCCGCTCCTTTGCTTGTACAGCTTTCTGTGGGCCTCTTTGGCTCGTTGTGCCCTTTGGAATAGTTTCACTTTTCATTTTAGTTTCAATTTATCTGATGTACCTGGATTACTTCATCCAAAGTACTCTTTCAGCAGCTAGTTTTATAAGCCCACAACCACAGGTTCCCAATTGGTGTTCCCAAAGGATTTATAATTTGAGCCCATTTATTTGTCCACTTAAACAGTTGTATGCTATCTGCAAACTTTCTCTATAGATCTTACCCTGAAGGCAGTCCCCTTCCTACACCCGCTCTGAATAAAAAAAGCAGGGTATTTCCCTGCTGTGTTTGAACAATGCACTGAGAAAGGCTTGTGAAAGCTAAGTCAAAATAGCTATGTCAAAATACTGGAGGGTTGGGGTGGGGACATGGCCCCACAGTCATTTTCACATTCTGTCTCTCAAGCTAGTGTTACTAATTGCAGTTTCGGAATATTATGATGGTTAGCTTGTTGGTGTGCACAAAATGTGACACGCATTTGGACCTTTTTATAACCAAAATAAATACTTCTGAAACCATTCAAATGCTATTGGAGCCAGAGAATAAGTGGGCCTGTATATATTTTATTTCTTCATTTCTGAATCCAAAAAGTAGTTGCGGGCATTATTTCTTGGTAATCGATTCGCAAGGCATCCATTAAGAAACAACTAGAGGTAGCTGAGGTGCTTTGAGAGGACGTGCAGATCATTTATGATATAATGAGAAATATGGTATGCTTGATTATACTCTGTCATAAAGCTTCAAAAAACATATGTAGACTATGACCCCAGACCTTTCCTGGGAAAATCCACAGGAAACCTGTTCTCAGTCATGGACATAGAAATTTGGTTCAGTAGCCATAGCAATGAAGCTGCTTATAACTAGAGGCATTTTGGTAGAGCACAGTCGATTAATGCATAAACTATCAGTCCCTCAAAATTAAGCACCATTCTTATTCATGTTTAACAAACTGAACCTGCATCCATCTGTTCAACAGAGACGATGTAACCTCAAAAGAAGTTGAAAAGATGAGGCAATGAAAACATTCCATACTCCTGCTTTTGTTCTTAGCAAAAGCAGAAATAACATAGTGTTCTTATGGTGCCACAACTAGTCAGGTGCCACTTCCTGCCCTCATCCTTGGTCTTCCCTAGTGTTTCATTCTATATAAAATGCTTTCTCGTGCTTTCTCATGTGAAAAAAAAGCAAACTTTTTATATGATGTACTGCATATTTAAATGGATCTAAGAGCAAAGTAAAAACAAACAAATTTGTTAACTTTTGTTTTCCTCCACTTCATTTAGCAATCATTGAACCACCTGCTGTACAAGCTGAAGCTACAACACCCGGGGTCTTGATTGTACAAATCACAGACCCACTTGTTTCTAGAGATGGTGGCAAATATTCCATAAAACATTTTTATGGCCATGGTTTTGTGACTTACAAGATGCGAATTTGGAAGAAAGATTATGATGGTGAACAGGTAGAGTGAATCTGTTATGGTGATTTAAATATGTTGCTACATAAACAAGTACAGGAAAGCTTTAGTGAGTTCTGTGTCTCAAAAACTTAAACTTGATCATTAGATAGCACTGACAGGGTCAACCAGGCTACGTTAGTTTCTAAGTAAGTTTTCCAGTAGGAGTCTATTCTACTAGCATTCTATTACTGGTACAGAAGTGTGCTGCTGGTAGCGATTTGTAATGAGTGATTTGTAGAATGGGAGAATCAGGCCTCTCTAAGATAAGGATTTAGCACCTTATTCTTTCATCACTGGGAAGGGTTGAAAAGGGACAGCATCCTTTGCCATATGTTTTTTGATGTACAGAAACCTTAAGCTGTGGCACAAAACAATAAGAGGTTTTGTAGGAAGTGGGTCAGAGCCAGTAGGCTCCAGCTAGCTTTCCAAGCATAGCCTTCTGATTTAAGGGAAAGGGCAGGACCTAGAAAGGAGGATAGGATTGTGCTGTGAAGATTCTCATTTGTCAATTTCCTACTTTCATACTAGGTTAGATATGTGAATATAACACAGTCTTCTAAAACATTGCCTGATCTGGATCCTGGGACAACATATTGCCTTCAGGCTCAAGCATTTATTGTTGAATTAAATAAAAATGGGGACTGGAGTAACGCTTTATGTATCACTACAACTGACAATGGTAATATTTAATGGATTGAATACCTATTCATAAAGGACATTTTTAAAGTCTGTTCTCTTTCTACACCCCACACCCCACTTATGGATTGAATTAAAGTGAAACCTCACTGATTTGTGTTTAGATTTATTTAAAACATCTAGGCTAATCCTATGCATGGTCGGTCACTCACAAATAAATCCTTCTGAATTTCATGTCATTTACACTCAAGTAAGTGAGCATGAGCTAAGAATCTTGGTTTTAATACTTCAGTTTTGTGCTCCTGAAGCACATCCAAACTAGGAAGAACTAGGGCATCTTCCTATTGAAGCAAAAACAAAGGTCTGATTTGGGCCATAGGGTCAGCACTTGCCATTCTGAGATTTTGACCAAGTCATGTTTGAATACACTTAATGGCTACTAGACACAGCGGCTATGTTCTTTCTCCACTGTCTGGCAGTATATCTCTGAATGCCAGCTGCTGGGGATCAAAAGTGGGAAGAATGCTGTTGGGCTCATGTCCTGCTTTCAGGCTTCCCATAGGCATCTGGTTCGCCACTATGAGAACAGGTTGCAGGACTAGATGCCCACTGAGCTGATCTAGACTCTTGTGTTCTTAATGCATATGCCCATTCACATGCCAGTGGAATGTTAACATGCAGGTGTCCTCATACTGTCAGCAGTTGAATGGACCACCCAGCACACTTGGTAAGTGCAATTAGGTTTGTCCAGATGCACATGAAAAGCTTACGTGCATAAGGACTTTACCCATGGTCCATGTCCTATAACATGTCAGGCCTTTCAGACTTTGATTTGAAGGCACAAAAAATTATTATATAGAACAGAAGAACTCTACATCTGAAAGTGGCTGGCTAAAATGAGACAAGCTGACAACAGACCAAATTTTATTTTCGTTTCTTCTGTGCCTCTATCAACAAATGTAAATATTGTCTTAGTTGTAATTTTTTTATTGTGGAATGTCTTAGAAGTATTTAAATTTTCAAACAGGAAAGTGAGGGGTTGGGGAATATGTACCTCTATGATATACTCCAAAAGGAATTAACAGTTTCTTTCCCTCCCCCCCCCCCCGCATGCAGGTATAAATACAGTGCAGCTGACTATTATCCTGCTATCAGTGTTGGCTTTGTTACCTTTCATCTGCTTTATGATTTTACATGTTTATCGATGGGCCAAATACATCTTCTTACCTTCGTATTATTTACCACAACATTTCATAGAGGTTTGTTCATTTGTACTTTACAGTTTACTTAAGAATCTGTTGCTAAAACTAATTAAAAACTCAATCCATCCATTAACCAATTATTCTCCATGGAGATCCAAGATATGTAAATATAAGTACAACCCTCTATAGTTTCGGTTTGTTTAAGCCCAATTAAAAAAAAATCATGGGAAAGCTGCAATAATGTGGTCATTTTCCCTCCATTGGTGTATCATAATCCTTTCTTCTGAATGTCCCATCAGATGGTGACACTCACTGAAGTTCTCTATGGTGTCAAAATGTACCATTATCTCACCAAATTGCTCTTTGTGAGGCACAAAGAAGCTGCTCATTTCAGATATGACTGAACAGCGCACTTTGACTATGTGCATACATCTGGGAGCCAGTGGGGAAATGGGACTCCAATGGCTTCATTGAGCCCCATGCAGATTCTCTTCCACATATGGATGAATAATACCTACTATTTATTTGCCCACTGTACTTCAGTTTAAGAATTTCTTCCATGATGCTGACACCTCAAAAATAATAGTTTATAGGGCACTATCTGTAGCTTGAGGGTAAGAAAAAGCATTGAGATTTTGAGATTCTTAGAATTGTAATGGACAGTTAGTCACCTGAATTAACGTTTTAGTCTTTCCTGACAACCAGAAAATAGGAAATTTGTATGCCTGGTTTAAAGCGTCTCTTAAAAGCAGCAGGAATGATCAGAAAAAAACAAGTTCCTTCATCTTTCTTCTCTTTTTTTCCCTCCCAGTTTTTAAGCAAGCCTTTTTACAGTTCTCAGTTTCTTGCATCTCAGTCTCAAGGAGAAGAACAGTCCTACGACAAGATAATTGTCCTTTCAGAGGAGTCAAAAAACGATAATGAATCTGAGGAACAAATGAGAAATGCAAAGCAGCTACTCCAAGGTTCTCATGAAGAAATCCTTAGGCCAAAAGAAGTTTCAGATTTTACGCCTCTGGTACACTCTTAAAAGTGGAAGAAAAAAACGTGGAAAGTGTGTTTTGAAGGCAGTTGGTGGCACTTTCAAGGAAGCAACAAACACCTTGCACATTACAGATTTAAAACTGTTAACTTTGTGAACATTATCTTTCAAAACTATATTTATTCTGTTATAATATATTTTTAAAGAATCTTGTAAATACAAATTATCTATTTTAAAGATTTATTTTTATATATATTGAAGCCTTAATTTTAGAACAAACCATCAGTGAAGTATTAGTTAAGCAAGTTCACTCATATAAAAATTGTGAAGTTCCAAATCTTTTATTACAAGTGGATTTGTGCATTGTGTAGAATAGTTCAAATTCATTATGAGAAACAAACTGGGATTTATAAAATAATGATGCTCCCATAGTATTATGTTTTCTGATCCATATTTGCTTTAAACTGTGTCTGTATTCAAGCAACACCATCATACATTGTATAGCTGGCATCTATCTACACAGCATTGTTTTCAATGCGATTTGCATTGCAAGATGCTTTCCCAACCTTATTCTGGTGCATCCAATTGCATCTTTTAAAGGCACAAATAGAGTTGGGTTGGGATTGCAGTCTTCACACCATGATCCAGCTAGATACATATGTTCACAGTAGCATGTTTCCATATGTTATGAATGTTAGCTATATAATGAACACCAATTAGTGTTGCGCGTGCAAAGCCAGGGCCTGAGAGGAGTGAAGGCTGAAGTCAGCCAACTATCCACTGTCCCCTCTCACTATGTCCCTGAATAAGATGATTTTTGGCTATTGCTGAGCCCTGGAAACATAGCTCCTGGGCTTGGCTTTTCAACCTGGGGATACCTGTGCAACGGCTCAGTTTCTCGTATGTGTAGCTGGATTTTTTTGCAAAGACATGCCTAAATCCCTTTTCAATAGAACCTAGGGCTCATTCATACTTCTGCTTGTCCCACCGGTTTCCCCGGAAAACCCATCTGTTTACTACTGAATTGGAGCAAATTGGGTTTTCTCTGGATTGACATTTGTTCCGATCTAGCACGAAAGAGCAGGGTTTTCAGAGAAAAGCAGTGGAGCAAAGGCAAAATCACTTGGATCCGTGCCTAGAAAGCACAGGACAAGTGGAAAACCACTCAGACACATGCTTTCTATACATGGGACAAGTGGAAGTGTGGACGAGTCCTTAGTCATTACGAACTTCCACTGGATTCTTTCCAATACACAGAAGTAATCTCCATTTATTTAGACTGTAGTACTATGCACCTGTGAGATGCAGGTGGCGCTGTGGTCTAAACCACAGAGCCTAGGACTTGCCGATCAGAAGGTCAGCGGTTCGAATCCCCGTGACGGGGTGAGCTCCCGTTGCTCGGTTCCTGCTCCTGCCAACCTAGCAGTTCGAAATCACTTCAAAGTGCCAAGTACCTTCTGGCGGGAACGGCGTTTCCGTGCGCTGCTCTGGTTCGCCAGAAGCGGCTTGGTCATGCTGGCCACATGACCCGGAAGCTGTACGCTGGCTCCCTTGGCCACTAAAGTGAGCACCGCAACCTCAGAGTCGGTCACAACTGGACCTAATGGTCAGTGTTCCCTTTACCTTTACTAGGCACCTGGGAATAAGCCCCACTGATATTCACAGAATTTACTTCTGAGTGGTTGTGTAGAAGTGCACTTTGTATGGCATAGCTGCTTGATCTTAATTGTTTTTTTTACCGTTTTAAATGGTTGTTTTTAGCCTTTTTACTGAGAATTTTATTGTTTTATTCTTTTTGTAAATAACCTTAAGGTTTTATTACAACACTTATATGCATATAAGTGTTCTGAAATAAATGCACACTGCTTCAGAGACAAAGCTATGTTTTATGACAAATGTGCAGAAGAGGACATTTATTTATTTTAAAATATTTGGCATGTATTTCAATTTTTAATGATGGTACCTGACCTCCTATTTTGATTGAATAAATGTATGGAAGCCTTTCAGAAGTTCTCTCTCAATCCTTCCTGAAACTGATTAATAGTTACATTTGGGATGCAATGCTCAAATCTAACAAATTTAACAATTCATACCCTTACTCATACTAATGATTAAAGTACAATCAATATAGTGCTCTGATCTAGCAGGAAGATTTAACCGTCTACTTATATTTGTATGTATTGCTATTGACCTTTGAAATTAGATCAACTACTTGCTATGCCTGTATTGGAGACTAACTTGAGAAACTTGCAGGTGTCATTTGTTTTCCAATTATACTTTCATCACAGAATAGACAGGCGAAGACAACTGGTGCAAGAAAACTTATTGGGAAAATACTTTGAAACTCCCCACGATTCTTAACATGTTTCATGTCTGTGTTGTTCCCCATGGGTAGCAGAATTATATGTAATTTTTATTATTATTTAAATTTGCATTGTGCTTTTCCATATAAATGTACGGAACATATTAGAGGGAGCTCAAAGTTCCCGCTACCTGGAACACTTGTGCATTAGTTACTGTATGTCGCTGCTATTTTTGTAGCCCCAGTACTCGGTGGCTGGAACAAAGTTTCTTCCTGAAACCAGTATCGGTCACAATGCAATGAGATCTTTTCCAAAAATGCCAACACAGGCTTCCTTTGCCCTTCGACTTCTCGCTCATTAGGGGTGCTTTCGTCTCAAAGGAACCTTCACAGAACTCTCAAATGTATTCCAACTGAATGAGGACGTTTGGTTTATACAGTTTTCGTGGTGTTTCTGAAGGATTTTGGGCTAATTGAATTGAATTGAAGAATTGAACTTCATTTAAATTCGAGCCGCGCTCCCTTTCTGCGAAGGGAATCCCCCTCTCATACGAAACGCGCCTTTGCTGCGTCCAATGCAGTTAAACCTAATGATATCCCCGCCCTTCTCCCCCACCTGCACCCTTCCAAAAGCCCCCAAATCAGCTTCCGTCTAACCCACAAAAACGAGGAGGGATCTGCTCTGCGAGGTTCTATCTCTACGAGCTCGAAGAGTTTTGCGCATGCTCCGCGCGGAAGCGACGCTGCCGGGGGCGAGCCTCCTTGTTGTTGACCGTGTCGCGATCACGTGGCAGGGGCCGGCGTTGGGGCAAGCGGCGGTGGCGGAAACGTCACTCGGCAGTTGGGACGTCTCGCTCGCCCCGGGCTCGCCATGAAGGCGGCGCGCGCTCTGCTTGTAGCCGTAGCAACGCTGGGAGCGGCGCCTTTCTGCACAGGTGCGTTTGCAGGGCCTTCCTCTGTCTGTGCGCCGCCGCCGAGCCCGCCTTTCCTCGGGACTGAGGACGGGGCGGCGGGACGCCTGTGTGTGTGTGTCTCTTTCTCCCTCTCCTTCTCTCAGAGGAACTGAGGGTGGGCGCGGGCGTTCACCTGGGCTCCCCGTTGCTCGTGGGTGACCCTCATCCCTGGGGCGGGCGAGGGTAGGCAGCGAAGCTGAGGGCTTTCGCTTTGGTGCAGCCTCGCGTTGCCGGATAGGAAGACGCGCTTCCAGGAAAGGCGGCGCGAGTTCTCTCCGCTCCGAGCGCTGGCACGCGCTGATAAGGCAGGGCTTCCAGGAATCGGGCTCGCTTTCCGCTTCGCTTGCGCTCGTAGATTGGCCTGCGGTGGCTTTGGGGGGAAGGGCTGTGGCCCGGTGGAAGAACACCTGCTTGGAATGCAGAAGGTTCCCCCGTCCCCCTCAACTCCGCTCCCGGAATCTCCAGGCAGGGCCGGGAGAAAACCCTGCCCGAAATCGCGGAGAGCTGACCTGCGTGCTGGTCAGTGTAGCAGACAATACCAGATGAACCAATGGCAGCTGCTTGGTGGGATCATACTGGGGACACGGGTTAAGTAGCTTGGGTGGGCAAGTTAAGAGAGGTGTGTTTCATGTAGCTTGCAAAAACGCACAATAATAGCAAAATAAAATAGGTGCTGAAAATATGGATAGCTATGGGCATACCCTGCTGTTGTGTTTCCCTTTGCTGTAGTTATCGGGGTTTTGACCTTTACCACAAGCCCAAGATGTGAAGGCTTGTAATCAGTGGTTTTTTTTTCTTTTAAAAATTTTTTAGGGGTACTCTCGTTTTCCTACTCATATTGAAATACTGCCCCTCAATGAGGCCAAACTGAGATTCACAAATTGTTTAGGGGTATGTGTACCCCTGCACCCCCCCCCCGAAAAAAGCGCTGCTTGGAAGTAGTAACATGCATGAAGGAAACAGCATTCTATATTTAGTCCTAGAACTTTATCCTCATGTGTGTGTTTTTGAGAATAGATATTGCACCCTGTTATGTTGCTCGGTCCCAGCGCCTGCCAACCTAGCAGTTCGAAAGCACCCCCGGGTGCAAGTAGATAAATAGGGACCGCTTACTAGCGGGAAGGTAAACGGCGTTTCCGTGTGCGGCTCTGGCTCGCCAGAGCAGCTTCGTCACGCCGGCCACGTGACCCGGAAGTGTCTGCGGACAGCGCTGGCTCCCAGCCTCTAGAGTGAGATGAGCTCACAACCCTAGAGTCTATCAAGACTGGCCCGTACCGGCAGGGGTACCTTTACCTTTACCTTTATGATCAGTACATAAGAAAAACCTTGCTGGATCAGACCCAAGGCCTATTCAGCACAGCATCTTACTTACCACTGTGGCCAACTTGATGTCTATGGGATGCTTACAGGCAGAACACCTCCCTCATTGGTGTTCTCCTGTGACTAGTGTGCTGCCTCTGATCTTGGAAGCTGTATGGACCCATAATGTAAAACATACAGAACTTTGAATCCTGCTTTTTAAAACGTGTGTAATATCTTGTTCTGTAGATACTTGTGTATCTATACTATAGCACTTATGTACCTGCCCCTCCCTAAATATCTGTGATACTACCTCTCCCCTTCAGTGCTCTTCTCAAAACCCACACAACCTTTGCTATATTCACTTAATCCTAATTCCAAAGCAGCCCAAATTTTAAGTGTGTTGGAACTGCATTTGACTGCATTAATCTTCTCTACCCTCAACCCTCCTGGTGTTGTTTTCCCTTCTTGTCTAGTTTAAATTGAAAGCTCCTTGGAACAGGGAGATGCCAAATTTTCCTTACAAAACTTTGAAAGGTGCCATGTATGCTGATGGCACTATATAATGACCAGAAAACATGTTGGAACAGGACTGAGCTTTCTTTGATCAAGGAGCCCTCTGCATGTCTTGGACTACAACTCCCACTGTCCCTAACCATTGACCATGTTGGCTGGAGTGGATGGCAATTGTAGCCCAAAACATCTAGTTGGCGAAGGCCATTCTATGCATTGGCATGGCCAACTGTAGAATTGTACAATAATGTCCTCATCTGTGGTATCCTGTAAGGGAAGCTTGACAATTAGGAGCAATACAGCTTTTAAACAGTACTTTGGGTTGCTACCTTAAATACAGTAAAAGAATGTCAGTCTGTTTCTTATAACCATCACTGAAGGGCTCTTCAGGTCAGTAATATGCAGCAAACAATTTTCCAGTGCTTTATTTTTGCATTTCCCCCCGTTGTATAAACTCTTTAGTAATAATGAATGGATGCCAATTGAAAATGTAATACGGAAACTTGGCAGTTTCAATACTTTGAGCATTTACTAATTGCAAGTTAAATAAAAATGCTAGATTAGATCACTCTCTAATTTCCCAGTGCAAATTATCCTATTAAGATGGCCCTAATTGGAACTGGAAATGTTTCCAGGAAGTTCACATCACAGCTGTAGGTGTTCAGGTTGACTGTATGAAGAAGCAAACAGATGCAAAAGGGGTAAACCACAGATACTGTGTGTTCCAGCCAAAGTATTCAACCAATGCATGATCAGTATTTGTCTGAGGGAGGCTGCACAGTGTTCCCAAAAGGAACAAGGATTGCCCTGCCTGTTCCTGCTTGTGTCTTAGCACATTTAGACGGGAAGGCTAAAGAGGATTCAGTTTCAATAAATTGGAGAGGGTACAGATGTATTTCAGGGTATGGTGTGGATGTAATAGTAAATTGCAGAGATGATTTGCAGTAGCTGCTGGCCGGAAGCAGGAAACAATTTTAGAACGTTATGGGGAAAGGATTGGAATATAACAATAGAAAAGCATTCTGTCTCTGGGATAAATTCCTGTATAGATCAACCTCAACCATGTTCAGAGAAACATCCTTCCAAATGGTTCAAAAATTGTATTTAACATTTTTGAGACTGTCATGTATATCTAAAACCTCCTCATCAATCTGTCGGAGACCATGTGGCAAAGTGGAGTTGTTCACCCATATGTGGGAAGACTGGGAGGTCTCAGAGATAAATGGAACACCATTACAAAAGACACCAGAACTTGCTTTTTGAAATGTGTTCAGTGGAAAAAATCAAGATGATGTGAGAAACTGGTCAGGTTTTTATTAGTGGCAGCAAGAACTCAGATTGCTAAATACTGGAAAGATTTACAAGGACTTCCCTTATTGAAGTGGCACAAAAAAGACTGGGGAAATACTTCTTATGTAAAAGCTGACACAACAGTTATGGATCACAAGAGGTCACAGGAAGAAAAGTTCTTTTTCAATGTATTGATATAACTTTATAACAGGAGAATCACACAGCTATTAAAGATGCAGAAGCCCTGTCCCCTTTTACATCTGGGTATTCTATTTCCAGCAAGAGTTGTCAAACTAGATGGCATTGGTCCTCTTTTAGGCCTATTCTTTGAATTTTTTCTTTTAAATACATGGATATTGGGGGGGGGGTGTTTTTTAAAAAAATGTGGACTTCATAAATAAGTGAAGTCCAATGTTTCATTAGATCCTTTGTGTATTTCCCCTTTAATGGCATTAAAAAGCTAATGCACTCAAAGTCTTATTTTCTTCTCTGGAATTAGGGGTGAGCAGTAAGGTGGTCAAGTTTGCTGATGACATCCAATGATTTAGGATGGTTAAAACAAAAAGGTGTATAGCAAAGAGCTCCAAAAAGATCTCTCCAGTCTGGATGAATGGGAATTAAAATGACAAATGCAGTTCAGTGCAAATAAGTAAAAAGTGATGTATATTAGGACAAAAAAAAAATCCAGCTTCACAGATATACTGATGAGACCTGGCCAGTGACTGACCAGGAAATGGATGTTGTAGGTTGTGGTGGATAATGTGATAGAAATGCTGACTCAATGTACAGTTGCTGTGAAAAAGGTGAGCTTCATGTTAGAGATCATTAGGAAAGAATCAGAAAACAAATACTGTAAATAACATATTTTCTTCATACAAATCTCTTGGAATAAGGTATGCCAGAATTGTGGAATTTTGTGTGCTCTGTGGACAAATACCGTATTTTTTGCTCTATAAGACTCACTTTTTCCCTCCTAAAAAGTAAGGGGAAATGTGTGTGCGTCTTATGGAGTGTATGCAGGCTGCGCAGCTATCACAGAAGCCAGAACAGCAAGAGGGATCACTGCTTTCGCTGCACAGCGATCCCTCTTGTTGTTCTGGCTTCTGAGATTCAGAATATTTTTTTTCTTGTTTTCCTCCTCCAAAAACTAGGTGCGTCTTATGGTATGGTGCGTCTTATGGAGCGAAAAATACGGTAATTATCTGGTCCTAGCTGTGCAGGCCAAAGTGAACAGATGGGTGGGACCTCCCACCTGCAAATCACTTGATGTCCCAATGACGGCAGATGATTGGGTGCTTTGAAGTCTAGTAGTTGGGACCTCAAAGCACCACAAAGGGCCTGCAGATATCCTGCATAATGCTTTAAAGTGCCTGAGGCTTTAGTAGAGCTAAAGTCTACTTTCTGTAGGCATCAGTTTCAAAACCTACTTTCCCAAGCTGTATATGTAATAATAATAGGCTTCCAATTGCACAATACTGTTGAAAAAGCAAGTGCACATTTGCATGGGTGTGCTTTAAACTGTTCTGATGACTTTTGCTGGAGCAAACATTAAAAGCTGACTACTTCCTCAGAAGACTTGAATAGAAAGTACCTTGTCCAGAAAACATAAGAATCAGAAATGTTGTCAATATTATGCCACCTCAACACAGGGTTACTCAGAAAGAAGGTAAGGGAATCTCCATATTTCACTTCCTTTTCTGCAGATATTTATGATCTGCTTACTTGCATTTCATGTCTGTTTCCTGTTGCTCTCTTACTAAGTTCTTCAGTAAAGTGCAGAAGGTGGTTAATGGCACACTGCATGCAGTTGTGTCTATTATAGCCTTGACATAATTCTTTTCATTTTTCAAAAATATCCATAGGGTTGACATGTTTGGAACCACCTCAGAACATTACAGTTTTCATTGTTGATACGAACATCACTCTGAAATGGCTATGGAATAATTCATGTGGCCTCAATGGAACCTTTTCAGTTCAGTACCAAAGGTAAGTACTCAGTTGTACTGTGACTCACATCAACGACTTGTAACAGAGACTTTTGAAATGTTGCTGGAGCTTTTCTTCAGTATGTGAGTTCCGTCCTAGTCCATGAGTTGCTGTATCTGCCAAAGAAAATGTTTACAAGACACCAGATAGACAGAACAGCCAGTTGTGCCTGTTGGAGGGTTAAAACTGCAAATGCTATGATGTAGCATATATTTTGGACCTATCCCAAAATTAGAAAATTCTAGAAAGACATTGCAATGGAAATTGAAGCAATAACTGCCTTTACTTTACCCACAGATCCTCTAATTTTGCTATTTGGATATGTTAAAAAATTGTACTAATAGAAGACATGGGATTAATGCAGCATCTCTTAACTACTGCCAAAATTATTTATTTGTTAAAATTGGCAGGGGCAGGGGACGGACGGAATGAGAATACCATCCATGAACGAGTGGACAACTAAAATCAGGGGCATATATGTATGGCTCGGCCGATGTATATGTTGAGAACTACACAGCAAAAAGACTGATACTGATGAATTGGAAGAATAAAAATGCGGCTCCCTTTTATTTTGCATTCCGGGTGCTGTGGATCAAAATTGAAATGAATTTTACACAAAGATACTATAAGGAATGCTTACTGATCCATAATGTCTGATGACTGCTTTGCTTTTTTCTTTCAGTGAATCAGACAGTGAAGAGAGCAATGCTGAAAGCTGGTCACTTATTCCCGAGTGTCAGGCTGTAAGAATCACAGAATGTGACCTTTCATCAGCTATAACAGAATATTTTCAGCTTTATAATGTGAGCTTAAGAGCAGACGCAGGAGAAGAGCACTCTTCCTGGGCTTATTTAGTATTTTCTCCTTATACAGAAGGTATGAATGTGTGCCTAGTTTATTCAAGTTACGCTTTATGCAGTTGTTAAATATTGGACAGGTAACCAATTGCAAATGCCTAGTTGTTTCATTATCTGAATTCCAGACACCAAACTGTTCATCTCTGAGGCTTACTCCCTAGTAAGTGTGTTTAGGATCACAGCCTCCATCCACTGAAGGTGGCAAACAGTAGCTGTTCAGAATGATGGGTTGTTTTTTAAAGTGAAGGAATCTCTTCTCATAGAGGAGGGTGGCACACAATTGAGTTCTGTTTTAAAGTCCGGGGTGGGGTGGGGGAACTCATTGCTGCTCAAAAGGTTGAGAAACGCTGGTGTGAAATGTTATTTTTAACTGTGAACGATAATGAGTAAATTCCAACTTCACAGTATTGGTTGCTTCATAGTTCATTGAATAGAGTATTAGTTTCAAATTTCGACGGTGGTGTTAGCATTCCAAGCAGTGCTGGGTGGCTTTGACTAGCCACCCTTTTAATTCTCTACGATGCCCCAGAGTGGTGCTAGGTCAAGTGTATTGTGGGAAATTAAAAAGCTAGGTGCAGCCACCACCTGACACTGCTCAGTCATGGGGCCCTGACAGCTGCCCAAGAATGCTAGAGGCTGATGCTAATACTGCTTCCACTCTCCTTTCCTGTCTGTTGTGGTGGAGGGGTGGGATTAGAATCGCACCAGCTGCAGGAGGTAGGAGGAAAGGTGACCAAGGAGTTTATTGTTTCTTTGCCTCCATAGGGCCAAACTAGAGGTGACATATGCTATGTAATTTGCACTCGTGTAATTGTTGGGTGAGCTGGAGTGCATCTGTGGCACACAGGGAGGGTACTTACTCTTTGACCCTGCTATGGTCCCTGTTAGAATGAGACACAGCTACCTCACACCTGCTGTTCACAATGGAATAAAAATTCTCATTGTGTATAACCTGCAAGGAGGGGCCCAGTTTCAACTGGGACTGGCAGGGGCAAAAGTTAAAGCCCCTCTCTCTTCCTGCCACTGTCACGGTCTAGTTTTTCTATTCCCCCTGCACTAGCTATTTATTTTTTAGGTAAAACAGCTATGCAAGAGTGAACTTTGTGGCAAACATCACTTAGGGAAGTTTTTAATATTTAATGCAGTGTTGTTTTTAACACTCGATTGGGAGCCTCCCAGAGTGGCTGGGGAAACTCAGCCGGATGGGGGCAGGATATAAATAATAAATTATTATTATTATTATTACTATTATTACTATTATGGCTATTATTATTGTGGTTGGGAGCAGAGTCACCATAATCAGAATGTATGCTGCTTCATCAAAAGCACTATGAATATGAATAGTACAAAGTTTTAAGTGTACTTAAGTTATGTTGTTATCTTGGTCTGCAGCCCAAGTCGGTCCCCCAAGAGTTCAGTTAGAATCAATATATGGAGGAGATGTGAAAATCATCATTTTCAGTCCTGAAGCAAACCAGCAAAGAAAAATGTGGGACCTGTCTCTAAGCTACAAGCTAACTATCTGGAAAAACTCATCCTATCCTCAGGTGCTAAATTTCTCTACACTTAAGATTTGCTTTCTTTGCAGAAATATTCCTTCACATTTAAATCATGTGTTACACGTATTCACTTCCAGAACAAAAATGCTAAACATCTAAAACTGCACTCCTGTAACCATTTATTTAGAAATCCCATGGAACTCCATAGTGCTTTCGCTAGCCTGCAAAATGGTATGGTAGTGGTTCAGTTTGTGTTGAGAGCTCTTTGCCAGTATCTCGGCTTACTTGTGTAACCTGAATGCATGAGATGCTTAGTTGCTTGCTTTCAGCTTTAGAGGTGCCAGGAAGTAGTCTACAGGCTCAAATCCAGACATGGGAACAGCTCCCCATCAGGATCTAGATCTATTTACATCTGGCAAGGAATTAAACCTTATATCAAAATGCAGGAACAGAATTCCATAGAATAAATAACACTAGAAATAACAAATGCCACATTTTATGTACATATCCTATTGCATGTTATGTTTAAACCAATATTATTACTATTTATTAAATTTATATACCATAGGGCATTTTACAGTATAAAAACACACAACATAATAACAAATGAAACAATAACACCCACCAACACACACTCACTTTAAAAGGCTATACTGTAGATGGTTTAATTAGCCAAAGGCCTGGGGGAAATGTTTTCCCCCCCCCCTGGTGCCTAAAGATATGTAATGAGGAGAGCATTCCACAGACCGGGAGCCACTGCAGGGTATTGCCACCCTCCAGACCTGTGTCAGTTCATATGGAGAGAAGTGGTCCTTAAGGTATTGTGATCCTGAACTGTTTAAGGCTTTATAGGTCAAAACCAGAACTTCAAATTGGACCAAGAAGCTAATTGACAGTCTGCAGTTGGGCAGTCTGCAGTTGTTGTATACTCAGACCATTTTGCCCTGATGAGCTTTTGTTGTACAGATTATCTTCCTGATAGTAATATTTTTTTAATACAATATAGTGATGGATTTCATTGCAGAAACTGAAAAAGAAGCTCTGTCTTATGCACAATGGTGCCATTTTTATGTTGTGGATAAAATTTGACCTAAGCAGATACTCACTTTGCTGAGTATAGTAAAACAGGAGGCAGACCAACATGTTTTAAGCTGGATTTCTTTGCATCCCGAGTCCTTTAACTGGCATTGAATGATTGAGCATGTTTTTAAAATGTTCAAATAATAATAATTTATTATTTATACCCCGCCCATCTGGCTGGGTTTCCCCAGCCACTCTGGGCGTCTTCCAACAAAATATTAAAATACAATAGTTATTAAATATCAAAAGCTTCCCTAAACAGGGCTGCCTTCAGATACATAATAAAATACAATCTGTTCATTCAAGCTATAGATGTCATACTGTATATCTGTCTTTCTGAAATAATGATACCAATATTAGTATTGTTGACCCAATAAAAGATCTTAGCTTTTTTTTCTGGATTCACATAAAAATAACTGCCCATGGAAGTAATCAACAATCGTAATATGTTACATGCAACTGTCTGTTTCTGCAGGAAAAAATCCAGGATATTTTTCCAGGACAAACCATTCAAGACCTTGAGCCAGAGACTGCTTACTGCATGAAGGTTAAAGTACATATGGTTGATCACAATGCTTTCAATAGTCCAGACATTTGTATACAGACACCAAAAGGTATTTATTTTCTATTGATTTTAACAATTCAAATCTGTTCTAGTCATAGCTGTCAACTTTCAGATTTGAAAATAAAATAAGGGATTAGCAGCCTCGAAAATAAGGGATCAGCAGCAAAGCTGTCAACTTTCGGATTTGAAAATAAGGGATCAGCAGCCTCACCTGTCCTGGGGACAGTCTACGGGATATCTAACAATCTGGGATAGCAGCGGGAAGCAGCAGGAAACGGCGCTGGAATATGGGAATTTCCCGCAAAAAAGGGAAGGTTGACAGCTATATGGTTCTAGTGTGCTGGGCGGGGGTGGGTGGGGAATAAATCTCCTTGAAGTGGGTATTCTGTGGTCAGAATCGAGCAGGGTGCTTCTTGTGCTTTCACAAGCACCTTCTCTCCCTGCTTTTTGTTTGTAAACAACATGTCTTGCATAATATTAGTGGCATTTATTTGTATAATACCGTGAAGCCCTGGGCATGGTTTGCTGAGCAACTCCTGGGGTTCTGGTTTCAGAAGCTTCATGACATTTTGGTTCTGGCCTCTTTATAGGATTGGAGTTTCAAACTATTAACGTGTAACATTGTTCATGAACCTAACTAGATGGATTGTTTATAAATTTTTCTTTCCTCCTTTTTATAGCTTGGGCTGGTCTGCCTCGTCCTGAAAAGCTCCAGGTTCACGCACTGAATACAAACTTCGTTTTGCATTGGGATAATATGTACGATGGAAATGTGAGCTTCATTGTACAGTTTCTCAAGTAAGAATCCTTGCCATGCCTGTCTTCAGTCTTGGCTTTTTACATTCCATCTAATTTATGCTTAAAAAGCAAGCCTGATAGGTAACTAAAGGAAGTTGTGAAGCTTTGAGCAGGAGCACTTGAGAAAATGAGCAATCTGCTTGGACCAGTTAGTAAACCATTATCTGATGTGTGAGGAGCTTAATTCTGCTTGGATGGTATCTCCCCCCATCCCCAAGGGCCAATTTTCACAGGTATGTGGGCCAACCTACCTGCCAAGCACATGATGTCAGTATGATACGTAACTAGAGGATAGGCAGGTGGGCCAATGGGCCAAAAAGGTTCCCCACTATGGGCTATATTTCTGAGGGGTTATCCTTCCATTGCATGGGCTGGAACACTGCAAACCAAAGGATTCAAGCAGGTCATTGATTGGGTGAAGTATGTGGTGGTTACTTGCTGTCCCTTCTATGAAAAGATGACATATTCAATGACAATTAAATTGCCAATTGTGTCAGATCAATTTGACTGCCAAGTCTGATTAAGCCTGCAATCCCATGCAGCTCACATGAGGCTCAGTGGAGCTAACATTCAAGTAAACATCAACAGTTAGGAACTGTCTGCTGGTACATGTATTGTGCTTATTTAATCAACCTTCTGTTGTTCTAATAGTGGTTTTGAAGCACAGACGTCTCATGATATCTCAAAAAACTGGCGTAGTGTATCTGGATGTGAACACATTACAACCAAATACTGCGATTTATCACGTTCCGTCAACTTCATTGGAATTTACTATCTCCAAGTACAGGCTGTGAATAGCCATAGTAAATCACCTTGGTCTAAAATGCTAAAATTTGAGCCTATAGAAGACAGTAAGTGTCACCTTCTTCTGATATGCGTTATCATTTATAGGTGCTGTTTTTGTGTATGTATTTGTTAATTTTTGCAGTCTTGTACAGCAGCCTATACATCATCACATTGTTACATTTTCTTCTTGTGTGGTTAGAAAAAAGTAAGACCTTCACAACATATAGCTCACAACAGTTTGAAAGTTCAGCAAGCTCTACTGCTGTGCAACCTCTTGTGTACCACAATGGCACCAGGGCCATTGAAATGAACTGGAGTTATCTATCACTAGTTCCTGGTGGCTGCTTGCTAAAACTCCCAGATGTCCTCAAAAATATGTGTTTAGATTTAGAACTTGCCCCCAGAACCAATAGTAGCAGCAGCAGCAGCAGCAGCAGCAACAACAGTGTGTATATATGTTGCAACTTAACATACCACAGTATCACAATTTCCATCAGTTAATTCATTTTACATTCTACTGAAGCAGAGATTTTGCCTTGTGCTTGAGCTTTAGCGACAGCATTATATTGCAACATGTTTTGTTGAATTCAAATGTTTTAACACATGGTATAACATTGTTTTTAAGCTAAACTGGGTCCACCAAGTGTCAAGATTAATGCCAGTGAAAATTCACTTAACATTTTCATTACTGCTCCGGGAGAATCTGAAAAAAATCTGATGAGTAAACACTATAAGAAGTTGATTTACCAAGGTTGGTACTGGGCAGACTCTTCACCACAAGACAAGGTATTTTATTTTATTTTTTAAAAAAAATAAAACATAGATAAAAGCATGTATTTAAAAATTGACTCATAATGTAGCCCTCCTGTTCTTTCTCTAGGCCATCTATAAACCCTTCAGGTTTATGCTGAATATGGTGTCTCTGGCTAGCTAATTCCATGTCAAATGTACCTGTATGTAGTGAAGTGCTCCAGCATCATACGAAATACTAGACACACACTGTCCCAAATGCACTGAGGGGTGCCCATCTGACACAGATAGCCAATCTCTGGCTAATCCTATAGGTGTTGGAGGTTGAAAGAATGCATAGCTCAGCAACATACAACAACCAGGCCTGCTGCAACTGGTTGGAGTAGTCATAGACACTAAGGTTCTAAGGATCAGTGCCCCACGGGCACCTGTCAGTTGTTGCCAAGCCCTGGGCTGTAATAATAATAATAATAATTTATTATTTATACCCTGCCCATCTGGCTGGGTTTCCTCAGCCACTCTGGGCGGCTTCCAACTGAATATTAAAAACAGTACAGCATCAAACATTAAAAACTTCCCTAAAGAGGGGACAGCCCTGGGCTGTATGTTTTCTTGACCCTCAGTACAGTATACCTGGAATCTGCAGCGCATATAGTATAGCCATTACAACTTGCACCCAAAGTCAGAATGTCAGTCTTCAAGCTTTGTTTTCAATAAGTGCTTGCTCTGGTTTACATTGTTATGTATTTTGTTGTTGTTGTACAGAAGAAACTGGAAAATAAATCTTCACAATTTATAATCCCAGACTTGAGCTCTTCTACTTTATACTGCCTAAAAGTACAAGCATTTGCTCCAGCATATAATAAAAGTAGCGAGTTTAGCAGTGAGACATGCACTAAAACTGCCAAAGGTATGAAATACTTATTTTTAGTGTTTGATTTTTTAAAAAATGATACATTGCTTTGTATTTTTAAAAAAATCTAAAGTGATGTGTTTTTCTGAAATCCTATGTTGTACAACAAAACAACAATTCCGTATAAAACCATAAAACAGGAGTATGTATACAATCCAATCTCTTGGTTGTATATGCAGGCAACATCAGGTTTAGAATATATTAACCTTGGCTCATATTTGATTATTAGTGGTATTATTACCACTAGTGGTAAGATTTATACCCTGCCCTTATTACATTATCAATACAGATTATGTATATAACTTTATATGAAGAATGGAACACAAATTTGTAAGCTTAGTTCAAGTAACTGAACAGAAGTTAGTTGTAAACTAAGACTGGCACATTGGGATAATTATGGAAAATACCCCCAAAAGCATGCACTTTTATTTAACATGGAATGTTTACAAAGAAAGATTTACAAAGAAAGGTATCTTATATGTAAATTTGACAATTATTAGCGTGCACTTTTACTGGAACCGATTTAATTTTTGAGGTTTTGTATAGGGAAGAGTGAGCAAGTGCGCTATATCTCCATCTCTCCCCCCTTCACAAAATCTTTTCTCGCCACAACAACTTTCCAAGTGCCATAAGTTTAAGTTGCTGGCTTTAAAAATAAGCTTAAGAACGTGGTTATTGCAGAAGTTTTTTCAATATATAACTCATTTTAATTCCTTTTTCTTTGCAGGAAAATCTTTAGATCCAATCATTTTTAAAGTCTTTGGAATTACTCTTGGTGTTATTGTTTCAATAGCGGTCTTAGTTGGTGTTATATATTATATACGCAAGCAGATCAAATATGCATTCTTTCCATCATGCCATCCTCCACTGATCATAGAGGTATGTATATATGGCTTTTATTACTTTGCTATTTGCAGTAGTAAAATTATAGGACAAGTATTCTAGAAATTACATCGTGGGTGCTTATTATGTATGCAGTGCTTACAATAAGCATACATTTGCCATTTACACAGAGAGAAAGAGAATGCGTGCGCAAACTGAGATATTCCCAGTGTTCTTCTAAACAGATAGGTCGTTGCAGGCTCAAAAATGGCATGCCTGTACCTGGAGTTCCTCTTCATGCAAGGAGCTCTGGACTGGGGTGTATATATTGCATTACCCTTGAATATATTGTGTAGTGAATCTGCCTGACATATTACTTGGGACGTCCTATAGATCTAATAGCGGGTATAGAAATGGCATTTTTATTATATCTTGCTGTGTATAACATTCAATAGCAGCTGGCGTGGCTGTGCAGTTTTCTCATCTCCCGAATGTGAAAGTTGACTTGCCCTTACTGAGACAGAGAGGAGCAAGGCAGCAGGAATGTGGTGCAGGCACAGTGCAGACACAGCAGCAGAAGCAGCAGATTGGTTCCACTGCAGCAGCAGCACAGGGATCCTGCTGCCTTGCTCTTCTCCCTCTATTGACTACAGTGGGTCTACTCTATGAATAACATCGGATATCACACAATGCATTCAATAATGTATTTACAGCATGAGTGCAGAACTTCCGGCCCATGGGTGTTTTCATTATTTAAATGTACATGTCGACCTTCCTTCTAAAGTAGCCTGGAGCCATAAACACACAATGATAAAACACTCCAGACAGATCATATGGGAAAACTTTTAACATCGTTGTCTCTGAAAAACTTGCTTCTCATCTAAAGTTCTGAGTAGTGATGCTGAGCCTGAGGACTTTGCTGTTATGTAGTGAACCTTTTTCTTGTATAGGAATAAACATCAAATAGACCCATTATTCTTGACAAATAGGGTTTTTGTGGGGAAATACTTCAGACATTTTGTTAATGCACTTGTCCATCTTGTATATCATCCCCTTGGGATTTAGACTCCTTACATAATTTTAGTTTTTCCTCTTTTGTTTAATGTATAATAACAATAGTTAATAATAAACAATAAACAATAATTGGCCTAATTACTGGCATAGGTGCCAGTTTTGCCTGCAAGGTGACCCCCCCCCCATTATACCCACCTCTCTCAGACCTGAAATCTTATGTGATATCAGGTGAGGGGCAGGTGGAAATGTGGCTGTCAGTGCATAATCATAGAATCTTAGAGTTAGAAGGGACCCAAGGGTCATCTAGTCCAACCCCCTGCAATGCAAGAAACTCAGCTAAAGCATCCATGACAGATGGCCATCCAACCTCTGCTTAAAAACCTCCAAGGAAGGAGAGTCCACCGCCTCCTGAGGGAGCCTTAAAGGGTACTTCCAGTTGCACATCAGGGATTGAAAGTAAACCTCTCTTGCCAATCAGCAGATAGGCACTGATCTCAAGCTCCTTGGGAACAGATATACCAATCTTTGAAAAGGCTTGCAAAAGAGCCTTGCTCAGCGCAACAGCCTATTACCTGCTGTCACTGTGACTTTGGGTGATGGACAGGTGGGCACCCTGGCTGTTTGTACATCAGAAGGCTTTTCCAAGGAATCAGCACTTGAGTAATAATGCATCTGGCTGTTGCTAATTTAGTCAATGGGCAACAAGCTGAAACCAGATTCATCCTTCACCACATAGCAGTCAGCATGTACAGTCTTGTATTGCAGCCTGAGCACAACTCTTTCCTGTACTAATTCCTTTTGCCTCCAATGTGTCTCTTTACCACTACTTCTCTCTGGAAAGAAGCAGCTGCTTCTTGAAAGAAGCAGCTGTTACCAGAAACAGAAGCTGCACAGTTAACTTCCCCATCTCCCACTAGGACATCTAGGAGAGCTTAACTTGTATACTGATGTTACAAAATTCTGTGTCTCACTTTTCTGCATCTAACTGATTGTCCACATCTCTACTTGTGTCATATCAGTGACTGGAGGGGTATGGGGAAGTGTCAAATGTTGTGACATCAGGGCACAAGTTAGGAGCCATTATGGATGGGGAAGCAGAAGCTAAATATGTGGGTACAAACTTTGGTGTGGGCAGCCATGCATTAGACATAATGTGTACCGTGGTTCTAAATCGCTTGTTCCTAGATCTCAGACTGTATTCTAGTGACTGGTGTTGCCTGTTTAATGCTTCAGAGCAGGGGTTTTATTATCTTTTTCAGTGTTTCATATGCCAACCATACCCCCATCCTTAATAAATATTAATAGTACATTATTCTAACCAAACACAATAGCTTTTATAGCACCCTGTATGTAGACATCAGTAATTCTCATTACTTTCTGTGTACTTTCCCACCTGCAGAACATTGAAGGAAAAGATTTGCGCAGTTCCTACTTGCTAACTTCAGAAGAGCCAACAGAAAATTGTGTTGTCATAGCTGACAGTAGCATTCTAAATGAAGTTGATCTGACCGACTTTAAAGACCAGAAAGAGTTGGAAGAGATCAGCCAAGACTCAGGAAACTATTCCAATGATGATGGTATCTCTAGGACTAAAGACTCCCATTTAATCCAAGAACAGAAAGCAGAATAACTCTGTAAAATAATGGGTAGAAGCCATTATTATGGGTAGATGAGGGGGGTGCATAAATAACAACTTGCAATTTATGCATCTTGCTGTTAGCTTCCATATAAGAAAGACTTTGTGCCAAGACATGACCTGACAACTGGTTCTTGCACCATAGATTTTGAGTGTTATGTATTGCTATTGGCACAAAGGCTCAGGTATGGAGAACACTTGATTTCACTACCAAAATGTTTACTTCATTTTGATGGGAAGCTGGTGCTTAAATGGAAGTTTACAAACATGTAATATATGTTTATGTGTGAGTGTGTATGTTAAATACAAAAAACATCCTAAGACAATTCTAAAGCTAGACTTTACCACTGTGGATGCTGTGTTGGTAAAGCATAAATAACTGTGAGGATTACTAGGTTACAGCAGAGTAACACAGACTACAGCAGTTTCGAAATGTACTGACAGGATGGCTTTTCACAGGGAAATAATTTTTGCTATAACCAAACGCATGTAAATATTGTTACCATGTTGTTGACTTTAGGTGACTGACAGAGCACAGTTTTAACACAATGCCTTCTCTGTGTTGTATTTCATTGTTTATGTGACCTTATTCAAGATCACATATAGTTTAGCCAGTATTAGTTTATACCAAGTATTCAAAACAGATAAAGGGTTTCAGCCACGTGGATACTTTGGAGAGTAAGTGTAAAATGTCTTTCTCTCAATGGTGGTCGCACTTACTATATTGAACAGCCTTCCTTCAGAATTTAGATATTTGCCACCTACATTTTTTGTTTGCCGTATGTTAAAAACATGTTGCCTGACCGTTAGTGCATTTCAGTTTTAATGCAAATAAAGCAAACTCCTTTTGAGAAAGGTTTTTTTAAAAAAAGAAAAAGTCTTACCTACAATTTAGTTGTAATAAAAAGTACAAAAAATCTTAGAAACTAAGTCTTGGAGATTCAAAAAAGTCAAATGGTAATTAGGGGGTCACCAATAAATACTTGATTTGGGGCAAGGAAATCACTAGCCAACTCTCAAAAAGTTAAGACTTTTTTATAGGATGAGCAGAGACATCCTTAGTTAAATTACTTTCTGGGAACTAGTGTAGTTTTTACTGTGATTTCTTCATTTAGTCCTTGCCAACCAGGGAAACAAACTGCAACTACTGACCAGGCCTTCAGTATTTCTCAGAATATATTTACTTTCTAACGTGTTTCCTTTTTATAGGATGATGAAAATTAATATATACTTGGGGGGAAATGGGAACACAACGTTTGTGAACAAGATGGATTTGTTCTGATAACTACTCTCACTAGCATCCTCCAATAGCAATGTGAGAAATGAAAGCATTTTCACTCGCATTAAGAGTGTGCCCAAATTTAGTTGGTCTGTATAGGTGTCTAGCAAGCTAATGCTTATGAGAATGTGTGACTGCAATTATTGCAATCCATTGCTACTGTTATTTCAGTTAGTTTGTGCAGTTCAGTTTCACAATTCACTATCCTGTTTAGAAGTATCCAAATGGCAGCATAGCGTTGTTTATTCAGTGTTAACACACCAGTGTACTTAGCCCCATCAGTGAATACCTGTTTTTGCTGAAATGTGAGTTCCTAAGGCACAGTTATACTGGTGTCATCTGGCTGTTCTTCTGAGTAGATGGCTAGCTGATGTGGGAAGCAGAGAAAATGTTTACAGAGCACAATCTCCATTTACCAGTAGAGCCAGGACAAAAGGGGGGTCCGCACAATGCTTAGGTGCAGGCCCTCATTTAGCTTTATGTTTGATTTGGGGGGATGTGTGTACAAGCAGCATTGCAACAGGTCACCTACCCAGCATATTATCACCCAACTGCCTTGGTAAAAAAGAAAACAAAAATGCCTTTGTGTAAATAGTTGTTTTTTTAAAGTGAAGTGTGTACGATGATTGTATTGCAGTATTAACTGTTGCTGATAGTTAATGGAAACTAAATTAGGAAGGTCAGAATGCAAGTGTGTTTGTGGGTGGGTGGGTGGGAGAGAGAGAGAATTTGGCATGCCTGCACCATCTGTTTTCAGGTAGACGCCTCCTTTCCACATATAATGTGGAGACAGGGGCTTGATATGTTTTCTATAACTATGAAGGGCTGGGGAAGCAAGTATATGCTTACATATGTTTATATGTGAAATAACTCCGTGTTCTCACTATGGATGTCAGGTAATTCCAACAGAAGCGGGAGTGGAAATTGCCAGTTTGCTTTTTTGTCCCCTGTCCAGAACAGAAATCAATCCAGCAATCAATGTTCGCTTTTGTTGCTGTTTCAGTCCACAAATGATATATACTTGATCACTGTTTTTCCCATTTGCATAGCATTTCTTTTACATTGAACTGAATAGTGTGGAATAACATAATAAGATCAGAATTAATTATGTAAAATTGCACCAGAGCAGACAGCAAAACAAGTAACAGTGGAATGAATCTTTATTTGCATCAGCTACCAGCCGTAGCAATAAAAACAAATAAAATGCAGTATACAGAGGATAAAGGTAAAAAAAAATCAGTTATATAAACATTTGGGGAGATTTGGATAAATAGTCAAATAGTGGATCTTATTTTAATTGCCCTGGCTAAGAACCTTGCAACCTTTGCTGTCACTTGCTCCTCTTGGTCTGCTAAGAGAAAGGAGACTGTGGCGGTGGTTGGGAGCACTGCATGTGATGAACAAGTTCTGAAGGGGACATCCTGAAATGTTCCTGTCAAAAGTAAGGATGTAAGGAGTCAGCCATTTCCATCCTGTCTTCAGTTCATTGAAATCAATGCTTTTCCCATTCTGCTACATTTCAGCTTTTGCTAAAACCTATCTTCATCTCGCTAACCACTATGGCCAAAACTAATGTAATTAATTAAGTAATTGATTATGTAATCAATTTCAGTGGAAGGAAAAGGTCAAAAACAATTCAGAAAATAACATAGTTATTTACATAATGTTTGCCAATTAAGAAAAGAACAATAGCAAACATAACTCATATTCACATTTCTGTTACTGACCAACAAACATGCAACTTGCAGCAATTTCTGCTTCCACTTCTGTTTCTGGTGGAATTCTCAGACAACCCTAGTGTAAAGGGCTCACTTGTGTTCTGGCATGTATGTCAACAGGATCTTATTTCTGTTGTGTTACTAGGGTTGCACTATTGACCAAGAAACTATAATGCCTAAACAAAGTTTCCCATGCTTAATTTAATCCTAAAGATGCTGATATGTAGTGCCTTTTAAAGTTAAAAAGTGTGAAGTCCTTCAATCCTGATTTGTATGGTACTCTAGTCTTTATTTAATCTACTCCATCATAGCAAAAAATATTTATTCATACTTCCTCATATTGAACTCAATGGGACTTGAGTCTGAGAAGGCATTTGTAACACTGTGCTGTATCCCCACTCCCACTCCGTGTCTTTCTTACTTGTTGGGTTTATAGTTATCTCAGGACTTAAAACAGGAAATACATCAGATTTGAAACCAACTTGCTGTAATAACTAAACCCACATGATGCATGACTCATACTCTCACCTATCCATAGATGCTGTTATGACAAGCAACAATCAATGCTATTCCTCTGCACACATAACTGATTATTTTTTATGTTTCCATGTATTGGTACTTTGTGGACATTGTATTGCATTTACATGTGGAGTGGGACTCCTCTGCAGTGTCCTTAAGTTCAGTGAGCAATTGTATCCGATTGTGAGGATAAAGAGATCTAAAGATGTACTGTTAAAATGTATAAATATAACATATTAAGACTCTGTGTTTTGTTTTTTTACCCTAGTGGAATTTTTATCCTGTTACAATGTACTCCACTTTTCTATTATGGCACTTAAGAGGCCAACTTTGTAGGAGTTTTATTTATAAGGAAATTTGTGTTGATAAATAAAGAAATAATGCCAGATACAACCGATTCTGCTCTGATCTTTGTTCCAGGCAACCGGGCCGTTGTAACTTGATCAACATATGTGACACAATCTCTCATAGTTGAAATTTAAAATCAGCCTGTACCAGGAAACGAGGCTTTTCAGGGGCCAACTGCAGTCCTGCAGGCCTCTCTTTATTTGGTGGTTGGGACCCTCCCCAGACCACCCCACTTCTTCACCAGTCCTGTTTTGCCACCTCCTTGAGTGTGCATACCTGGCTAGAATGTATCCTGGAACGCTGATTATGCTTCTTGTTTGCCTGGATGGAGAATAGAGAGGGATGTGCAAGTATGTTTACACCTGTCCCATCCACTTTTGGTCCTCACCTGGTGCACCACTGGCCTATGCCTCTAGAAGGTTGTCTATAAGAGAATGTAGCATTTGGGCTGAGAGGGGTTCCCCACCCTCTGGTCTATACCTATAGTATGAACATATAATGCAACTTCTCAGGAACTATATACCACAAGTCCCAGGAAAAAGCTACCCTAGAACCATTCTCTAGGCTAGTTTGGAGAAGCAAACACATCCTGCCCTGCTTGTAGTCTGGGGCTTCTCAACAATCCCAGAAAAGCGTTATCACAGGTTTCTACTGTATATGTAGCCTGAAACTGCCAGCAGTAAGAGTAATGATCTTGTAGCACAGCAAAACTACGTAGATTTTTAGCTCCTCAGGATGGACAAATGCATTGTGGCAGAATCTGACATTGCACATAGGGTGATACATAGCAAAAAGTTACACCAAGCATGAGCACATCCATGTCAACGTGACCATAACCATCGCCTTGCACTAGGGCAATAACTAAAGCGTTACAGTGGAATACAAATATGAAAAACCTACACCGAGTAGACAAAACCGGGCTGTCTTGTCAAATATGTGTTACAATGACACAAAAAGGGAAAGAGAATGGAAAACCTTGAAACAGAAGCTCGGATCAGGAGGAAGCGTTGAACAGTTGAAATGAAAGAGGATGGGGGCAAGAGACAGGACTCCTTTCAGTTCCTATCCTCTCAAGTAAACCTCCGTTTCAATATAATAAAATGATAATTTGCAAGGTCCATCTTCTGCTCACTCCTGAATGTTCTGTGTCCAAGAGACATAGGTTCCTCTGCTGGGCTCACCTCTCCAGGCTCACCCCCCTCTGGCAGAGACACCTCCCCCCATTTTTGATGACAGTCTCTGCAACAGCTGTGGGGTGCTTGAAGATGGCTCTACCTTGGTTGGCCATCTTCCACATCCAACTCCATGCTCGGTTTGAAGTAGAGATGCACAGGTAACTCTGCCAGTCCCCCTTCTACAAATAATGAGGTGGGAGAGCATGTCAGTGGCCTACGCAGGTCACTGAACAGACTAAGGAAAGAAGGTATGAAATGCAATGAGGGGCCACACGAGGAGCAGTTGCTCTTGCCACAACTGCTTTCTTTACTGCATCTGGAAGCTATTGGAAGCGTCTCCAGGAATTTAGAACCAGCTAGTGCAGGTGTGAGGAACCTTTGGCCTTTCAGGTGCTACTGAGCTACAACTCTTGGCCATGCTTGCTGGGGCTGATGTAAGTTGGGTTTCGCAACAGCTGGAGCACCAAAGTTGGAGCTAGTGCAAGGGTTTCTCACAGCAACCACATGTTGCTAGTGCTGTGTAAAATGCACACCACATATGTGGTTGCAGAATAAAGTGACAACATACTGAATTCATTTTGCCTTTTTTATTCCCACTTTCACTTTCTCTAGTCTCCAAATGATTTGACTCATGCAGTGAACTAAAGATATGAGCAAGTTCTCCGAGTTTCTTCATAGTCACAGGTATTGCTAGAGGGTAGGGAACAAGAGTGTGATCTCTGAATCATGATGACCCAGCCCTACATGGAAATACCAAGAATTGAACATGAGACTTTTATAATAATTATATAATATATTTATTATTTATACCCTGCCCATCTGGCTGGGTTTCCCCAGCCACTCTGGGCAGCTCCCAACAGAATATTAAACCAAAATATTCAGCCCAGCATCCTGTTCCCAGCAAAGCCAACCAGATGCCTATGAGAAGCACACTATCAGGACCTGCACACAACAGCAGTTGCCCTTCCTGCAGTTTCCAGACATCATGGTTAGTAGCCACTGATAGCCTTTTCTGCCATGAATTTTTCTAAGCCTCTTTTGAATTCACCCAAGTTGTTGGTCATCTCTGCCTCTGGTAGGAGCAAGAGAAACAATGGGAAGGAGGGAGCAGAACAGATGGACTAAGGGAAAGGGAAAGATCCCAGGGCTGCTGCTGGGACTTCTAGCTCCATGCTTCACATGTCTGCATGCACACACACTCGCCCCCTAGTTCTTCTGCCTGCCTGGTCTGCTACCAAGTCAAGAAGTGTCTTCTCCCTCCTCTGGCAGACAAGGCCCAGAGGTGCTGTTGAAGGAAATAAAATGTTAATATTTTTTTTTTTTTTATAAAATTTTTATTTGGTTTTCTGCTTTTATAAAGACAAAACATACACAAAGAAAAAACAAAGACAAAAACATGTATAAAGTCAGCAAATCCCCATTTCATAACCTTGTTCCCTGACTTCCCCCCACCCCCCCTAATGCATCCCAGTTTCAAGATCATGTCAGCAAGTTGATATTTCTCCTCTTAACAATCTTATTCATCTTATTTCCTTTTTTTTATAATAAAAATTAGTTTTCATAAGTTGGACTTAAGTTCTCTTCCATCGATTTTCATTTTATCTTAATTAAAAGTCATCTTAACCAAACCTAAAAGTCTTGAGAGTTTTTAAGAGTCTCTTCTTCCCTCCCTCCCATCCCCGGTTTTTGTCCCTTCCCAATAAAAATCCAAATTCGAAGTTCTCAGCCTGGGTTCCTCACGTCCGAGGCTTTCAAATCTATTTCCGTTCCTCTCCGCCTGTCCTGTTGGTAGTCCTTTACAGCAGTCGTCAGATCTGGGAAAAGTTCTTTCACCATCAAAGTATGTCCTCCTCCAACAAAAAGATTCAAAGGTGGCTGCTGAAGTATTTCCACAAAGTCTATCTCTTCCAAGTCTAAGTCCAAACGGAGACCCCAATCATATTTCTTTATTTTAAATTCCTGTACTCCATTTTGTCTTGGGGCCTCCTCCTTCTTCTTCTGTATCTCTCGCAGACTTGTGGTGAATATGTTCCCAGCGTCTCCTTGCTTGTATTCCACAGATGTCAACTTTTGGTTATTACTTCCCAGGATTACTTCTTCTTTTTCTTGTTGTTTAGTCTCTTCCAGCTCTGTAGATATTGTTTCCCAATCAGCTGTGGATTCTTTCTCATTGAGGTCCTCAATACAAAGAGCAGAGTTGCCTGTTCCCAAGGTCATAGTCTCAAGTTGTTTGTTCATGGCCAAACTCTGCTCCTGTAAGATTCCCACCAATTGAAACATCCTTTCGATTTCCACTAGTAACTTTCCTTCCACAGCCATTGTATCCATTGTAGTTTCACAGAGTTCCCCCTAGGGGGAATCTGGTTACTTATTTGCCTTTTCACCAACAATCCTTAAACTAATTATTATTACTTTGTTTCCAACAGTTTCAGCTCAATTATAACTCGTCTTAGTCCATAAAAATCTTAAATGGCAATTTCTCGCTTTAAACCGCCCGTTTGGCAGCTTTGACAGCTGTCAAACTCCGCAGCTCTAACGCAGGCACGAAGGCAGGACGTTCCCGAGCCCGGGAGGGGGGGTTGTTTAAAACAGAAGGAAGGTTTCCAAAACTCCACTCTCCTGCACAAAATTTTCCTTTAGTAAAATCTTGAAAGTTAGTGTCCTTTTTAACTCACCCCACCAAGGGTAGGCTCTCCAGCTTATCTCTTGTGTCGTTGCTTAGATGGTCTGCAAGGGGGGGGGTGCGGACTTCCTTTTAGCACACCCCCCGGTCGTCTCCAATTAAAGGTAAAATTTTTCAAAAGTCCCAATCCGTCTTACTCACGGGTAATTCTTTCAGTCCAAATTTTCAAGGAAGGAAGTCAACGCTCTCCGGTTATGGCTCGCGGCTTCGCTCCACCGAGGTAGCGATCGACTCTCAGTGCCACGCCACCCCCGTATCCCCTCCGCAGCCTTTAAAAAGGCTCTTTGCGAATCAGGGGGGGCGCTTGAGGCACCCGCCGAGTCTTCAGTCCGCAGGCTTTCGCGCCTGCGGTTTTTAAGGGTCCCCGCGTCGCCGGCGCGGCAAAGACCCATCCTCATTGGAGCCGATTCCCTCCGGAGCTCGGAGGGAATCCGCCATTTCCAGATCGCGTCAACCCGGAAGTCCTCATAAAATGTTAATATTTTAAAATGTAATATTAATAAACTGTAAAAAGAGAATTGGAAGTTGGTGGCACTGTGGTTTACTGAATAGTGTTGGCAGATTATCATATGTTTCGGCCCCTCTGGTAGTTGTGCTGTGAGATGCCGTGGACCACAGTTTTACCCCCCTTATGCTAAAATATGAAGCTACTGGGAGCAGTCATCAAGAGATTCGGGGCACGATGCCAGTTCTATGTCTATTACATCTGAATCATCCCTGGCTTCACCCTTACTTAATTTACATACTTCAGATATGGGCCAATTAGGAAGCCAGAAATTAAAAGCACATTTATGAACAGCAGCTAGAACGGTAATAGCCAGAACTTGGAAAACCTTGCAATTAATGAATATTGATCATTGATATAATATAGTCCGGCAAACAGCCATAACAGAAAAGTTGTCGCAAAAACTGAAAGTGGCAGGGGGAGAGAAAAGAACAATATAATTTTTACACTGTATGGTGGTTGCTGGCATCAACCTTTGACTGTTTAAGATTTTTACCCCTCTAGTGTCCCATTTTTTGTGAGTCATGTCATGGTTTTATGTGTACACAGAAATTATAAAGCACGACATGACTCGATATATGACTCCAAGGGTCAGACCATCTCCCTACAATTCAGGGATGTGTCGTATAACTTCCCCCGCCAGGTGGACCTTGGCATCACTGAATTCCTGTGCTCACAGCAACTTTTACTGCTGGGGTGTGCGTGTCTCCTTTAGTGAGACCCAACTTCCTTCTCCTTGATCCCTTCTGCCCCCCACCCCAGGGGCTTCAAACCTTCCAGGGGGCACCTTTTCCACTGCTGGCAGTGGCAGTAAAGGTAAAGGTAAAGGTACCCCTGCCCGTACGGGCTAGTCTTGCCAGACTCTAGGGTTGTGCGCCCATCTCACTCTATAGGCCGTGGGCCAGCGCTGTCCGGAGACACTTCCGGGTCACGTGGCCAGCGTGACATCGCTGCTCTGGCGAGCCAGAGCCGCACACGGAAACGCCGTTTACCTTCCCGCTTGTAAGCGGTCCCTATTTATCTACTTGCACCCGGGGGTGCTTTCGAACTGCTAGGTTGGCAGGCGCTGGGACCGAGCAACGGGAGCGCACCCCGCCGCGGGGATTCGAACCGCCGACCTTTCGATCGGCAAGCCCTAGGCGCTGAGGCTTTTACCCACAGCGCCACCCGCGTCCCCCCCCATTTTAGGGGGCAACTCCTAAAATGCTGTGGCGCAGGCAAGTGACCTCTGACCCTGTTGCCCCTGCATTTATAGCCTACTTTTCTGTTTACAGAACCATCATTCAAAGCAGCTGACCAAAAAGCAATGTGCGCCTTTCAGAGGGAGGTTCTGTATTTAAAGGCCTCGTCCCCTTGGAAGAGCTGCCTGCCTGTCCAAACCTAGTTCAGAGCGGAGAGCCAGCGGGGCCCCCCAAGGGCTGTTTTCCTCCCCTTTATGGTTCTGCCCGAGACCCCCAGCCTAATAGCAAAGGCGGAGGCCGGCGCCGCTACTACGTCCAGGCCGCGGCCGGCTCCTCTTCTTCCTCCTTCTGAGGGCGTGCAGCTTGTTTCGCGTGCGAGGGAGCTGCCGGAGTAGGCCCCGCGGCGGCGGCCCGCCCCAACCTCCCAGGCAAGTCCGGGAAGAGGCCGGCCTTCGCTGGGAGGCGTGCAGGCCAAGCAGAAGGCGAAAGGGCGGGGCGGCGTCAGCGTCTAGTCGGAGGAGGCGAGGGCGTGAATGGCGGGTGAGGCGAGCGCGGGGCTCTTCCCCCAGTCAGGGGGCGCCTGAGAGAGAGCGAGAGACCGAGACTCCAGGCGAGGCCGGAGCTCAGCTGCTGCTATGCAGCCCCTGGGCGCCCTGTGGGTGCTCCTCTGCCTAGCGAGGCCGCTGCTCGGCGTGGCCGCCCCAGGTGAGACCCGTCCGCCGCCGAGAAGGGCGAAACGAGCGCGGGGGGGGGGGAGAGGGGCAAAGGTAACTCGCAGGGCCCGTGGCGGCTTAGTTTTTATTTTTATTAAGGCGAAGTGGAAGAAAGACCCTCGTCTCCCCGAGCCCCCCTCTTCCTCCTCTAGCTTCCTTCCCCGGTAAGAGGTGAGTGGGTTTGGGTTCACTACCCCAGGAGGCGGTGGTGGCCGCCGCGAACTTTTTAAAAAAGAGGGCTAGACACGTTCTCGTGAAGTTGGCGGCTGTGCTTTGCCTCTACGTGCTTCTGAATACTAGTTGCTGGAAACCCCAGGAGGGGAGCGGGCTCTTGTGCCCAAATCCTGGTTTCCCACAGGCATCTGGTTGGTCCCCGTGAGAACAGGGTGCTGAGCTAGATCTATCAGGTTCTTCTTACAGTCCTTCAGATTTGAGTTGCTGTCTCTTCCACCCGGAAGGGTTCCTTGGTGTTTCGGGTGTTTGGGTAGGATTTCCCTGGCATAGAGATACAGTCGTGGAAAACCCCCGCGCCTGCTGTACTTTTCTGTACCGTTGTTAAAAGCACAAGGGGGGCTCCAAATGTGGTCAGTCTAGTGTGGAAGAACTTGCGCTCTGGGTATGCTCAGAAGACTGGCATGGCTTAGGTTTGACGTTGGAGCCGTGTCCTTGGAAACGGTTCCCGGGCCTCATCCCTGGAGAAGTTGTGACTAGAATTTCCCTTGCGCACTTAAGGGTGCACTGAAATGGCCCACACTTTTGCATGTCTGATATGTGGGAGTGGGAGGTGTATGCACAAGGCTATCACAAACGAGGGTGCAAAATAGGTACAGTGGTACCTCGGGTTAAGTACTTAATTCGTTCCGGAGGTTTGTACTTAACCTGAAACTGTTCTTAACCTGAAGCACCACTTTAGCTAATGGGGCCTCCTGCTGCTGCCGCGTCGCCAGAGCACAATTTCTGTTCTCATCCTGAAGCAAAGTTCTTAACCTGAAGCACTATTTCTGAGTTAGCGGAGTCTGTAACCTGAAGCGTATGTAACCCAAGGTACCACTGTAGCGGGGGGGGGGGGGCGTTGCTGCTGTTGATAGTACAATGGTACCTCGGGTTACATATGCTTCAGGTTACAGACTCCGCTAACCCATAAATAGTACCTCGGGTTAAGAACTTTGCTTCAGAATGAGAACAGAAATCAGGCTCCGGTGGTCCGGCGGCAGCAGGAAGCTCCATTAGCTAAAGTGGTGCTTCAGGTTAAGAACAGTTTCAGGTTAAGAATGGACCTCTGGAATGAATTAAGTACTTAACCCCAGGTACCACTGTATTCTGCTGCTGCATACTGATGTGATTCTGGGGTATAGTGTGTGAATGCCAAGATGAAAACAGTGTTGATTAGGATTGTGTGGTGTTTGCGTCCTGGGGCTGAGAAGTGGCATACAGTGGCCTGGTATGGAGAGCAAAGCGTTGTGAAAATAATCTGTGGTTGTGGGTGCTTTCTTGATAATGGGGCAGGGGTTTCTAGGCCAGTGGATTGAGCTCTGGACTTTGGAGTTGTAGAATTCTTGTAGGATTCCTAAGAGTCCTGCTGGACCAGACCAGATGCCCACCTAGTGCAGCACCCTGTTCTTCGGGGGTCTATGGAAAGCCTGCAAGCAAAACGTGAGAGTAAGAGCACTCTTCCCAGCAACTGGTCTCCAGAGGCATACTGCCTCTACCAGCAAAAGTAGAACAATGGCTAGCAGCCATTGATGGCCCTATCTTTCATGAATTTGCCCAATCTTTTAAACAGATACAAACCAGAGTAGGTGTTTCCTGACCAATACTACTACATGCAAACAAAAAGACAATGTAGTCAGTAATTAAAATGCAATTACAACTTAAAGAGCCACTTGAAATTAACAACTGCAAACATTGAAGGGCATCCACTTGAGCATGAGACAAGAGGACATGGCCATGTTTACAATTTACTGCAACAAAAATAATTTACTAATTAGAAAATGTAGACTTTATAGTCATCATAAATACAGGAACAGCTAGACCCACATAATAATTTATTATCTTCAAACAATATCATATAGATAAATTACTGACATTGTTGGTTGCCTTTTTATGAATCCTTTTCAGCTCTATATTATTTTGAGTTGAGGCGATCAGAATTGTACAGACTTATATAGATTTATATAATTGTATTATGCTATTGGCAATTCTATTTCCACTCACTTTTCTAAATCTCTAGTATGTTGTTTGTCTTTTTCACAGCGGTCACACACTGTCAACACCTTCCCCTTTAGGCAAAATTAGGATTTTTTTGCCCCAGTTTTCATCTCTTCACACTGGCCCACACTGAAGCACATTAACCATTTTGCTGCACAATCATCCCGTCTGGAGAGATTCTTTTGGAGGGGTATGAAAGAATAATAATCAGAAAGAAGAAATGTCCCATTCCACCCTCTTTTGGGTAGACTAGTTTACTTACTGCTTTGTCTAATAGAAGGGTATTGTGATGTTTTCCTTTTGAAGGGGATTAGGAGTGAGGGAGGAAAGCCGCTTTGGTTATGTTAATACAAGCTGATTTTTTGCAATTAGTTTTGCTGAGAATGATTGCCCCCAACCTACTTGGATGACACACAGGAATTCCCACCACAAATCTGGAACTACTTCAGTTGCTGTTCAGTTAATAGCATGGTGGGATGGATGTTCTTCATAAACTATGCAGCTAGCTTTTAAACTGGACCAGGTGATCCAGACTACTTGAATTAGTTATTTCAACATTATTTTCTTATAACTAATCTGATGAAGCAAGCAGTGTATTGAGCATTTGTAAAAACTCAAGCCATTATAAATTAGATTTAGGGTGCCATGGGCCCCTTCCTTTTTCAGAACTGATAGATGAAAAATTGGATCTAGTGAATTTGTTTCATCTTCCTTTTTAGTTTTATTTGCTAATATGCTTTGTCACTTTTCTATTTCCCTGTTATTTCTGAAAGTGTTGTCTGTAGCTCTCAAATATTATAGCTGGGTGGAAACCAAAAGCAGTAAGTCTCTTAAGACACTGTGGCATTCACCAACTCCCCTCCCCTTACTGTGTGACTACTTATGCACTGAAAAGCGATCATCTTTGGAATTCCTGACTGCAACACCCTTTTTATTTCTTTTTTGTCTCTGGTGTACCTTTCTAGGTTTTATAGCAATGGAAGACAAAAAATAGGGGTGCTCCCTTGTACTAGCAAGTATTATCTCTTATTTGTTTGGCAGTATAAAACAAAGACCAAGCTCTGGTGTGTTCATTTCCCCATTTCAATTCAGAGAAGAGAAATTATGTGCAAATATAAATTAACTAGTTACTGCAGTGTTAAATTAATGACTTCTCACCTTCTGAATCAGAAGAAGCCTTCTAGAGTTCCATCTCTGAAGTTAAAACTGGGGTTGGTCAGTTCCTTGGAGGAAACCCCACATATGTTACCCTGATAATCTAGATTGGGGTGGGGAACCTGAGGCCCTCAAGATGTTGTTTGACTCTGACCCTATCATCCCCTGCCAGTATGGCAAATGTTCAGGGATGATGAGAGTTGGAGTCCAGCAACCTTTGGAGTCTTCATCTACAGGTTCTTCATCCCTTAGATGTAAGATTGTATAGTAATTTGAACATTTTGAACCAATAATGCCTGACCAAAAGGGCAGTGAACCTGTATGCAGCCTCTGTGCAGTACTTAAACTGGATGGTCTGTGCATAAAGGTCCAGGCCAAACTTTATTGTGTGCCACACCAAATTCCATTCTCATGGTCACTTGCAGTTTAGCTTAGCTATGATTATACCTATTCATATTCTACCTGCACTAGCATCAGGGCCCAACTCACTACTGCCACTATCAGTATTTTTATTTGCCCTGAATTTTGGAGGCATCTACATTAAACCTGTATTTTTGTTAATGTGTATTAATACTCTGTTGTTAATGTCTTTATAGAATCTTTCTCCTTATCTGCGCCAGAGAATGTGACAATTCAGTCATATAATTTTGATAATGTATTGAAATGGTCTCCAGTTACAGCGATCAATGGTTCAGTGACTTATAGTGTTGAATGGAAGTTTAAAACACGCATGTAAGTAAATGGTTCCTGTATAACTCCAAAATTGCATTCTATGGTATATAGTGTTTGCTTTTGTAAGATCTGTATATCAGTGTTTCCCAACCGGTGTTCCGCGGCACACTAGTGTGCCGCCGGACGTTGCCTAGTGTGCCGTGGGAGTAGTGGCGTAGCGTGGGGGGTGCCAGGGGTGCCAGTCGCACCGGGCGCAACATCTGCGGGGGGCGCGAGTCCAGAGGGAAGGGACAAGTTCCTTCCTCCGCCGGGCTCCCCGCCGCCACCGCCAGCCTTGCGCCCTAGCGCGCGCGCGCCCCCCGCCGCCGCTGCGGCTGCGCTCCACTCACTGCTCGCAGGAGGAGCAGCCACTGCAGCAGCGCTGACACCGCCACCGATGCCTGGCCGGGCACGGGCAGCCTCCGCACGCCGACGCCATCCCCTTCCCCCTTTTTTTCCAGAGCTGGGGGAGGGGGAGGTTTTAAAAGGGGGTCTTGCATTGGCGATCCTGCAGCACTTTGGGCCGCACGACGCGAGCGCGCAGCACGGATCAGCCACGACCCCACCCCGTGCATTTCCCGGGGAAAAGTGCTCCACGTGGGAGGCGCGTTTCCCCTTCATTCCCTCTCGTGCAAATCCTCCTTGGGTTCCCTCCCCCGTCTTTCCTCTCCCTACCTCACAAAAGCCTCACCTCGTCGCCTCCTCGCTGCCTCTCGCCTCCGCAGGAGCGTTTCCCTCCGCGGAAGAAGGAGCAGGGCGCTTTTGCAACTTTGCCTTCCCCGCCCCACCACGGAGCACATTTTCCTCGCCCCCCCCAACCCCCGCATGTAGAATAGAAGCCCTCCAGCCTCCACGGTGCACAAACTCTCCCCTCTGCAACGAAGCGCTTTGTTGCATATCTTTGGTGAGGTTTTTAGGCAGTCTTGGTGCACCTTAAATCAGCGCTAATTGCGCCTGGACGCAGTATTTACTTCTGAGTAGGCCCCCTTCTCCCCCCCCCCCCCGTAGCACCTGACGTTGCTATTCGTATCATCAGGTTTGTTTGTTGATAATTTAATTGTTTTAAAAGCATCATGCTAAAGAGCTCTCTCCCACCCCCAGACCCTTGGGCAAAACAGAAACACACACATACACAAACACAGAGATTGAGCCCTGCAGGTTTTATGAAATGAATGGATTCTGAATGCCTGTTTCAGTGGCTTGTCCGCCTTAGGCTGCTGGGCCAGACACCTGTTACACGGTGCAGTCCGTAAGCTGTGAGCGCTGCTACCTGCCGCCGAGACAACGTAACGACAGTCTTGAAAGACCTACATTGGCTCCCAGTACCTTTCCGAGCACAATTCAAAGTGTTGGTGCTGACCTTTAAAGCCCTAAGCGGTTTCGGTCCAGTATACCTGAAGTAGCGTCTCCGCCACCATCGTTCAGCCCAGACACTGAGATCCAGTGCCAAGGGCCTTCTGGCAATTCCCTCACTGTGAAAAGTGAGGTTACAGGGAACCAGGCAGAGGGCCTTCTCGGTAGTGGCGCCCGCCCTGTGGAATGCCCTCCCATCAGACATCAAAGAGATAACCATTACCTTCTATGCTGTTACTATTTTTTTATTTTTTTTTTACATAAGTAAAAAGTGACCTTTCCCCATCTGGCATGGTGGTGTGCCTCGAGATTTTTTTCATGAAACAAGTGTGCCTTTGCCCAAAAAAGGTTGGGAAACACTGCTGTATATATTTGTATACAAAATTGGGTTTTGCTGTTTAAACATATTTACTGAAGTTTATTTTAGCAAATTGTGTTGGAAATAATGGAAATTAGAGTGGTGGTTGAATTAAAGAAATGGAAATGTGCAAGTTTTCTTTAAATTAAAAGTTCATATCCTAAGACGAGACATAATCTGTACTTTATTTTAGTCCTTATTGTCCCCTTCTGCTCTAATTTTCCTAATGCAGTTTGAATTGAATTGTGCTTCTATTTCAGGCTTTGCAAAGAGATTCTACTGGAAACCATAGTACTTGCTCCCAAGTAGAGTTTCATTGTATTTATTTATTTCATAAAATTTATACACCTCTTGATTGTAAAAAAAAAAAACCTTTACAAAAACCTTGTAAAGTGGTTTACAAAAGATAAAACATTAAAATCAAGGAAAATTTCTATCCTACTTAGTAATACCCCTCCCCACCTTCTCACTATATAGAAGGATCTGGCAACTTCTGTTTCAGTGTATCTGAAGAAGTGTGCATGCACACGAAAGCTCATACCAAGAACTAACTTAGTTGGTCTTTAAGGTGCTACTGGAAGGAATTTTTTTTGTTTTGACTATGGCAGACCAACACGGCTACCTATCTGTATCCTACTTTAAAATATACAAAAGTTAAAATACTAAAACAGATTAAAATTACCCCAACTTTCTAAGCTTCTGGGTAGGCTTATCTGAACAATAATGTTTTTAGCAATGCCAAGACTGTATGTTGTTGGATGCACACTTGCTCTTGAGTGGTTATGTATAGAATTACTCAGTAAGATAAGCCCCATTGAACTCCTCATTTCTTCTTTCTGACTACAGTTGTACCTCGGGTTATAGGCACTTCAGGTTACAGACTCCGCTAACCCAGAAATAGGTACCTCGGGTTAAGAACTTTGCTTCAGGATGAGAACAGAAATCACGCGGCAGCGGCGTAACAGCAGCGGGAGGCCCCATTAGCTAAAGTGGTGCTTCAGGTTAAGAACAGTTTCAGGTTAAGGACAGACCTCTGGAACGAATTAAGTTCTTAACCCGAGGTACCACTGTAATCATGTTTAGTGTGGGCTTGTTGTTCATATAATTGACAAGCTACTGGCTGTTGGTAAATTTATAGTTTTGCACATAATATTGAGGGATAATGCAATGTTAATCTTACTCAGAGTAGACTTAATGGATATGCTTGTGCAGGATTTTCTGTTTGCACAGTGGGTCTTTGTCTCCCCCCCCCCCTTAAATTTGCTCTGAATGATTAAAAGAACCCCCAGAACAGGGGCATGGGGACATGGCAGGGAGAAGAAAGGGGAAGTTCATTTGGGCAGTCAGAAGACCTTCTGCTAATGGATCCATTCAATTCAATACTGCCCATTGGCTTCAGTGAGTCTACTGTATGACTAATATTATATTGCACCCAATCTATGTGAAGATTTTGAACACATGAAATGTACTATGTATTAAGATGGCACATGCCTGTTGTAAAACCTTGTTGTAAATTGATTGCTTAACTGAAGCTTGAATCCAGTACATTCTTGGGAGTAAGTGCTGTTGATCAAAGAGGGACTTCTGTGTATAGGACTGGACTGCATGTTAGGGTGGTTGCTCTTGAGAATGGGTCATCACTGTATTTTTCTGTGTATATTCTTCCCAAATTTTTAAAGTTTAAAATTGGGGGTCGTCTTATACACGGAATACTTAAAAATATTTATTTCTTAATTTTGGGCTCAAAAAAATAGGGGGCATCTTATGCATGGGGGCATCTTATACATGGAAAAATACGGTATATAGTTGTAAGTAACAGTTAATCAAATTTGAATTTGGCATTGTTGTTTCAAACGTTTAGAAATAGTTCCCATTGAATTTTAAAGAGGCTTACTTCCAGTAAAAGTTCCAGATTGAGGTTTCAGTCATGTTTATACTTACCTGGCTGCTTATCTGGGGAAAGTGACAGGTGTTAAACTAAAATAGCCCTTATTTGTACCTGTAAAGTAGTACTTGATGTAAATGGGAGATAAGAGGACAGGGAAAGGAAGTGTGGCTTCTCTGCTCACCTTTCATGGTAAGATCACATGAAGCCATATTATGGACAGTTCTTTTTCTCAAAATGGGCAATTTTTTCTGTCACTATGCATAACTGATTCATGTATGGTAATGTAACCCCTTTTCATTTTGAGGCAGAGATGTCTTATACTGTGTGACTTTATGGAACTACAGGGCACAGGGTGGCTTTGTGAGCCCTGTCATAGCTATTGCCTTAGCGTTGTTTGGTTTTTCAACACTTGTGCATTGCCAAGCAGCAAGATATTTCTTTACCACTAATGTAGAATGTATAAACTGGTATTTCAAGATTCAGCTAGATATTTCAAAGGAAATTTTTAATTGATCATACACAAATGCAACAATAAGGAGTTCAAATAATGGTGTGTTCTTTGTATTTTTTTGCAGAGCATCAGAAGAAAAAGTATGGAAGAAAGTGAATTGCAAAGATATTACAAAACCTGAATGTAATTTCAATCATGAGAGGAATCATGACTGCATCATTTTACATGTTAGGGCTGAACAAGGGGAATTAAAATCTGCCTGGACTGAAACTAAGCCCTTTCGAGCACGGGAAGACAGTATGTTTCTTTCTGTTTTCATCTACTGTATTTAATTCAGTACCTCTGGGGGAGAAATATTTCTCTTCCACAAAATGATATTCTGAAAAAAAATAACAGCCAAGGGTATCATGGCATCTTAAAGTATTTAAAATGCCACAAGACTCTAGTCTGATGCAGTAAAAACAAAATGTTGCTACTCCTTGGGGAAATGTGTTTATGAACATCTTATATTTCAGTCATCATAACCTTGCTGGTGCTACAATAGCCCTTCTAGATTAGGGTTGCCTTCTGTCATTTTTTGCTTCTACAACTGTGTTGTCCAATTCCCTTTCTCAGCGCAAGAAAGAATGCAGACAATGGCCTGGTTCACACACCATGCAAAGCTTTGGTTTAGTGCAATTATGTGGACTCCTGGAGAGGAGAACCCACCCATTTTGCTCCTCCTTGGTACTGCTGTAAGCCATGGTGTGGCTTAGTGGGTAGTGGTCAACTTTGTTTTACTCAGAGTATACACATTGAACATGATGTAACTTGGGCCCATTAATTTCAATTGGTCTAAACTGAATACCACTCAATATATTGTCTGAAACCAGGAATGTGGTTTAGTTTTCTTCAGAGTAGCCATGAGCTGAAACCAAGGTTTGTCCTGTGGTTTATATCTTATGGTTTATCTGGGAAACCTTAACCAGGAGTCTTGGTTTAGATGATATGCTAAGCAAGCCATTGCTTAGTGCAGCACAGTAGCAGAACAACCAGGGAGCAGCAGCAAAGCAGTCATGATCGCCGCTCCTGGTGCCCACATCCTTGTGCATTTGTGCTCTGTCATGATTTGGTTTAGCATGACATAAACCAGACCAGTGTTCCACGGATGTTGCTGAGTGGTAGTAACAAATGAGAACTTTTATCATTTGCCAGAATGAAATATTCCCAACACATGTAATAAGATTAACTTGTACAGATGTTTTAAGAATACCTGTCATATCACATTCCCTACCAAATTCTACAGAGGTGTAGGGAACCTTTGCACCTCCAGATGTTGGGGAACTGCAACTCCCATTATCCATGCTTGCTAGGATTGATGGAAGTTGTAGTTCAGCAACATCTGGAGGGGCAACAAATTCTCCCCTTCTGTTCTATAGGAAGGTGAATTCTTGGGTGCATGGATAGGCAATCTGATTTCTGCTTCCACTACTGCTTTTGCCATCATCACTTCTCCAGGGTTCATGAGATTTTCTTGAGAGGTTTCTTGAAAGGTATCAGAGACCACCAAGATATTCCACTCCTGCAAAGGCTGCTCCACTTATGTAAATGACAGTAGCAGGAAATGCTGCAGCTGTGCACTCCTTTGTGAATGCAGATCTGCTGCCATCATTGAAATGAACTACAGTGGTACCTCTGGATATGAATTTAATTTGTTCTGGGAGTCCGTTCTTACCCCATAACATTCGTATCCAGCGGTGCCTGACCTGCACAGGCACGTGTGGCGGTAGCCCGCTTCTGTACATGCACGGGTGGTGGAAACCTTCCCGCTACTTCTGGGTATCCTGATCCTGAAGGATTCGCAAAGGGGACAGTACGTAACCCGAGGTTCCACTGTAGTTAGTATACTCAGCACAAGTCCATCCCAGAATCCATGTGAGACTTCAGATTGGATTATGTTTGATCACAATTAGTAGAAAATGTGAATTAACTTATACTTGTTTGCATTTACCCATTTCAGCTATTTTAGGACCCCCAAGAGCAATCAATGTAAGCTCAGACGGTACCATGATTCATATAAGCTTCTTGCCTCCCTTTGAGCCTGCAGAAAATAAAACTGAATATTTTGAATATTTAATTGAATACTGGGAGGAATCAACAAGTGAAATAGTGAGTACTTGCCTTTGCTCAGCAAGCCAGTAATTCCCGGAAAAGTTGAAAGACTAAAAAAAACAAGTAGCAAAAAGCCCTATTTATGATATAGGGGTGGGTATGGGTTTGAATGTGAATACATACACACTTTAGGGAGAGAGGGAGCTACATCTAAAGGGATGTTTCAGCCTGCTATCAATCAATTCTAGTAAGAATGGGATGGGCTATTTGAGTAGGAATTTTCTGAAAATAGTGTTTTGAAAATTTTATTGTTTACTTGAAAAGCTTCTGGAATGCACCTATATTTTCTTCATTTCTGCTGCAGATGTTCAGGTACATTTTGATCATCTGTGTATTGTTTGTATCATTTCTAAAGTGCAAAAATATCTGAGCAGCTAGTGAAGGACAAATGACAATCACTTGGGTGAGATGGGCAGAAATTAGATCACCATGTTTTTTTTGGGGGGGGCAGCAGCTATACTGTAAAAATTTGGGATAAGAAATGCCAACTTTGCAACATAGTCAAACATGGCATTAGATCTCTGTTGCTGTGACATTATGCTAATGGCCAAGGAAAATTGTGGTGGTTTTAACATATTATGAAACATAAGTTTCAGCAGTCCAAAGAAATCCTGGTGACTTTCGTCTAGTTTTTAGTGGAATCAGAGTAAAACTATTTTGGAGAATGGCTTATGGAATGTACATGCAAACTAAAACATATCTCCATATTCTAATAAGGTCTAAACTGTGCAGCTTGTATGAATAGATGTAAAGTCAATTTGCTTATTATTGCTATATAATACCGCCTTACTTTTTCCATCTTCCCATCTGCACAGCTGAGAGTTTTGAGCAAGAATAGGAGGGAAACATTCAAGAATCTGAAGGAAAGGACTGTATATTGCTTTCAAGTAACAGCATCAATCCCACATGTAATCCTAACATGCCAAAAAAGTGAAATCAAGTGCAAAGAAACTACAACTGGTGTGTATTTTCTTCATAAGCAATACAGTTATTTCTGTGTCATGAAACTGATGTGGACTTAAGATGTGAGGTCACTTTGGCTACTTATTTCCTAATGCTAAAATTGTTTCAATTAATATATTATGGAGGAGTTTTGGGCACCTAAATGACTTCATTGAGCAGCTACATTGGCAATAAATATAAAATCAATAAATATAGCTGTAGGTGTGCAGCATTCAGTTTTCAAAAAGCCTTGGGCTCTGCACTTGGAATAAAATGTTCACACTGAGCATGTTTTCATTAAACTTCTGATATTTTTTTTTTACAGAATTGGAAATTCTGTATGCCACATATTTTGTAAAGAGATCAGGGTTGAGAAATGTGTTAAGGGTCATTTCTGCTGTCTCGTTCTGTGTAAGATTTTTAAAAATGTGTGAAACAGATTTCCATATTTGAAGACACAACATATCTATGTTGCTGTATGTACACAGTGCTTTTTTGTCTCAAGGGTCATATCCACTCTTGGTCAGTTCTGTGGGGGGGGTGCATGCTACTGGTGGATGTAGCTTCCCCACACATACACAGGTGCAGACTGCCTGATCCGTGCAAAAGGGGGTCATTGCTTCCCCTCCCCTCATCAAATGATCAAGCTGATGACCACGGAGAGGGCGAGTTGCATCTTCATCAGAGCACTGAGCGGTCTCTATTTTAACTCCCCCCACAACCACCACCCAGATTGGTGGGATCTTTGCAGTGTGTGAAAAATAATTTGCTTGAGGGGGTTGTGGGTTAGCTATCCCTGCTCCAGAGCCTACAGCCATCTGCATCTTCCTAGCACATGTATACTCAGCAAAACAGATGTTAGCAATTATTGGACATGATTATCCTCATGCTGTTTTCATACATTCTCTTAAACAAATATACTTCCTTATATAGGCAATGTGAAGGACGTGGGTGGCACTGTGGGTTAAACCACAGAGCCTAGGACTTGCTGATCAGAAGGTCGGCGGTTCGAATCCCCGCGATGGGGCTCCCATTGCTCGGTCCCTGCTCCTGCCAACCTAGCAGTTCGAAAGCATGTCAAAGTGCAAGTAGATAAATAGGTACTGCTCCAGCGGGAAGGTAAACGGCGTTTCCATGCGCTGCTCTGGTTCGCCAGAAGCGGCTTAGTCATGCTGGCCACATGACCCTGAAGCTGTACGCCGGCTCCCTCGGCCAGTAAAGCGAGATGAGCGCCGCAACCCCAGAGTCAGTCACGACTGGACCTAATGGTCAGGGGTCCCTTTACCTTTATAGGTAATGTGTAAAAAAATAAAATCTAAGTATTTCTAATTGCTACATCTGTCTTTTTTTGCTCCCTTTCCAAATGCGATGGCTAGAAAGTATGCTGCTGTTAATAGTATCTCACATATTAATTTTTTCTGCTCCTACCAGATTATATATTACTTAAAGCTTCACAAAGAGACTGTTGCAATGTAGGTTCCTATGGACTATGAGGCAAAACAAGGTTCCTGCTTCCCTTACCTGTGCAGCAGGTCTGCAATGTGATGCTTGAGAGTAGTGTTCCCCAAATGTATAAACGTGCTACTAAATGTAGCTGTTAATGAATAAATAACTCATTGATGTGCTTCCATTTTAACAAATGTCTAGGCTTCAAGGGCAGACTTGCTGTCCTGTGACTTGTACGTTATACTCTGTGCATTGGTGGTCCCTCTTTCCTTACTGGTTTTTAGGTTTTCAGCCTTTGTACACTGCTATGCTGAAATACTCTTTGGTTATGCACAGGATGAAGCTGGAAGCAGTGATTGCTTCAACATGTTCCATTGAATTTGCTGATAGTCTTCTATTTATTTCGCTACCTCATTTATCCCGCTACCTCATAGAAAAATATCAAAGTGGTTTACCATAATACAGAAAACCATGCAATAAAAACCATAAAGGTAGTAATAATTAAAACCAGAGATGTATTAACTATTGTGGAAAATTGTACAGGATTCTTAAAGTTCTTTGGTGAAATAGAAAAGTTTTCAGAAGGCATTAAAAAGTTTTTATCTTCTGAATCTCTGTTGGCAGAATATTCCACAGGGCTGAGTTGATGACACTAAAGGTTCAGTTTCTTCTTGTTGACAGGTGGGCCTTAGCAATTTGAGGAATGATCAATGACACACCTGCCGTTGATCTCCATGATCAAGCTGGGATATAAGGGTTCCGTCCCTGAAGTACCTTGTACCTAATATAAGGACCTTAAACTTGGCTTGGTAGTAGATGGACAGCAAGTGCAGCTGTTTTAACAGCGATGAAACATATTATTGGCCCCCATCAGCAGTCTGGCTGTCACATTCTGCACCAGCTGGAGCTTCCAAACCAGACCCAAGGGCAGCCCCACATACAGCATGTTACAGTATCCAACCTTGAGGTTACCAACACATGGACTATATAATGGGCAGTATCCAACTAAACAGTTACACTAGCCTAATGACTTTAAGCTTTGCAGTTGAACTTCCCTGTCCTCTCCTCTCCCAGTGCTACCCCTAAGTATTCTCTGAAGGGTTAGGGGGAAGTCCATGACAGATGTAGGGGCTGTACAGGGAGTGGCAAGGGTGGAGAAGTTCTGCTGCACACTTCAAATTCCTTGTGCTAGTGGAAATGTTCAGCTGGATACTGTTCAGGATAGTGGTGAAAATATTAGTTCTAATCCTAACTGAAGGAAGCAGTTCTTTTTTTGGTACAATTGTCATGATCTAAAATTCATTGCTCCCTTTCTCCAAATATAAACTACTAGGGACTGTTTAGTTCAACTGTGAAATTCAGCCTTGCATATCCAAAAGTCCCCTGGCTCCCATAGTCCCCTGGCTCCCAGCCTTGTAGTTCCCTACCTCCAAAGCTCTCTCTTTTTCTGTTCTCCTGTTAGTATACTGCACCTTGTTTTCTCCCCCACTCCAGAGTTTCTTTTTCCATTGGGGTTTTCTCTGCTTTTTCTGCTGTGTACTACCCCCGTACCACTTGCCTTTAACAATCTTGTCTATGGACTTTTCTGCCCACCAGTCCACCTTTTTCTGTCAACAGCTCAGACAGGAAGCACTGCATGCAGTTTGGTCCGGATGGTGGGGTCTTTGTGGAATTTATCTAGATAAACTCACATTTCATTTCCCTCACAGAAGCTGCCTTTGTGGTCAGTGCTGTTGTCCTGATATTGTGAACATTCTGATTGAGAAATTGTTTCATCTATAATTCTTGAGATAAAATTGGTAATAATTGTTTTTTCCTCCAGACTTAATGAGAATTCTGCATATCGTACTGATATTTGTATTTGCAATATTTATACTCATTGGAATATTTGTGTGCATAAAGTTTATTCAGAAATACAGAAGTGTAATCAAAGCACTTTGGATGCCGCCTCTAACAATTCCATCCCACTTCAAAGAGGTATGTATACTGGGATTTCCGCTGATTTTAAAACCAGTGTGGTTAATCTGTAGTGGCATAGACTTAGAGCCAGACTGGCTAACCTGTGGCCCTCCAAATGTTGGACTCCAACTCCCATCAGCCTCAGCAAGCATAGCTAGTGGTCAGGGATTATGGGAGTTGTCTTCCAACATCTGGAAAGCCTTGGTTAGTCAAAGAGTCAACTAAGTGTTTGAGCAGTTCCAGTATTTCTTCACACAACCTACGTCATTCAACTTCTCTTTCTCAGTTCCTTCCTGACTAGATGGAAACTTCAGTTAACATTTCACTGGGTAGTTTTTAAAGGACCTCAGAAGTTAGCCAGCTATATAATGCAATTATGAATATAATTCTTGGGTTTGGCCCAGCAGAACATCTCAGATTTCTTGTTTATTTAGCACTTCAAGTCTTTCCTTGTGTAGGTTGCTGTTGCTGTAGAGATTAATAGGGTGAAATAAAGTGGATAGCCTACAGTAATAGAGTTTAGAAAGTTGGTGGTTGGGCTCCCCAATAAAATAGTGTAGTATGAAGTGCTTCTGTTCAGGATTCCAGCCCCCAATTCCTTTGCATTCCTCCCACATATTTCCTTTCTTTTCCTGTATGTGGTCATTTAGCATTCTGTGCCCTTTGGCACTTTTGCAAGTTGTTGTACAACCATGGAAAGTGCTGTATAGTTGAGGAGTTACCCACTTTTTAGTATTTTCCCCATTATAAAGCAAAAGACTATATCCCTTATAAAAAAGATATAATTTAGTCTGTTGTGGAGAACCTTCTTGATGAAGTTAAGCTGTCCGTGTTTCAGGGAAACCATGTGAACAATTGCTGAGTTACAGTGGTTTAAAACTCTTGGTTCAAAATTCCTGGTGGGTTCTCTTTTTTTACCAGTAAATAATGTACTTCATCAGTAGCTTTTTGAAGGCTAGGATTTCCAGAACTGAAGTATTAGTGTTGGCTTGATGAACATCAGTTGTGTAATGTTGAAGTTACAAAGATGGACTGATCCATTTCTCTCAAAGAGAGAAGGTAGTCTAGGGTGAAGTAGAATTGACATAGATGAGCTTGTTACTATTTTTAGAAGACCTCTGAAGGCAGCCCTGTACAGGGAGGATTTTAATGTTTGAGGTTTTTTGTGTTTTAATACTTTGTTGGAGATCCCTGCTGAAGCCATCAAACTACACCCAAAATGGTGGGCCGGCATCTTGGCCAAAACCTTCGATGCAATCAACGCTTCCGGTCTCATCCCCAAAATATGGAAGGAGGCCATTATAGTACCAATTCATAAAAAAGGTTCCCCAACGGAGCCGGAAAACTACCGCAACATCAGCCTCCTTTCGATCATAGGGAAAATTTATGCCAGCTTTTTGCTGACTAAATTATTGCGATGGGTAGATGAGACTAACCAGATTGGCCACGAACAAGCAGGGTTCAGAACTAAACGTTCTACAACAGATCATGCAATAATTCTTTATCATCTGGCACGGAAGTACTCTTCCCCTCCCCGGGGCAACCTCTGTGCTGCCTTCTTAGATCTAAAGGCAGCCTTTGACAGCGTTCCTAGAAATATTCTTTGGGAGAAACTTGCGAAACAGGGCATTGATAGAAGACTCTTATGGCTCATAAGTCAGCTCCACGAAGGTACCCTTGCCAGAGTGAGACTTACTCCTGCGGGCGACCTCACAAATTCGATACCAATAAACAAGGGAGTGCGCCAAGGATGTATATTGGCTCCCTGCCTATTCAACCTTTTCATCAGCGACATGCGAGCACCCCTAGTTAACTCATCTCCAAGTACACACGCGCCTAGACTAGCGGATTACCGCTGCCCACTCCTTTTATATGCGGACGACGCGGTAATTCTATCTTATACACGTGTTGGACTAACCAGAGCTCTGAAGATCTTTGCCACGTATTGCCAACTCAACCAATTAACCATCAACCATGCTAAGTCCAAGATTCTGATTTTCTCCAGAAGCCGGAGATTATACAAATGGAAGCTTGGTGGAGCAAAAATAGAGCAAGTCCTAAAATTTCAATATCTAGGAGTTATTTTTCAATACAACTTGGGATGGAAAGCTCAAATTCAACACCTACTTAACAAGGCCAAAACCCTGTCATATGCGCTCCTCCGATTTTTCTTTTCGGACGGAGCTCTGCATGTTCCCTCGGCCCTAAAGGTGTTCAAGGCAAAAGTGGTTGCAGTGCTTGCTTATGCTGCCCCGCTCTGGGCCGTGATGACAGATCTTGCTCCCCTTGAGACTCTGCAAAGCCAATTCCTACGCCGGCTCCTAATGCTCCCCCTGTGCGTAAGCAACGCAGCCATGCGACTAGAATTGAAGATCGCATCCTTAGAAACTTGCCTGTGGAAGCAAGTCTTCAATTACTGGTTATCATTGTGGCATAGATTACCAAACCATTACCTTGTCCAATGCCTATGGCGAGATGAATTCTCCAGCCTTTGGACTAGTAAAATTCATGCCAAACTCCTGAGCTATGGAATCTCTCCCTCAGATTCCCTAAAACTAGATCAAATCACTGCTCAAAGACTGATCCGCCAAAGACTGGATGACATCGACTTGCAGCAAAATTATACGCTGGGGGGAGGTGTTTGTTCGCCCCAGAACATTGGTATCACTTTAACTTATTGCGTTCCATCATACCTCTCCTCCCTTTCGACTGTTGCCCATAGACTGGCCTTCACCAAAGCGAGGTTCAACGTTTTCCCCTCCAATGTCCTGAGACATAGATTCTCAAAGGGCCAAGTCCCCGCCACGTGCGAATGTGATAAGGTGACGCCGGAGTCGCTCCAGCACATTATGTTCACTTGCCCCCTGTTCAATGTGCCACGGGCAAATTTGTTGGGATCAATCATACAGAAACTAGAGGGTACCCCACCAAAATTCCACCTTGCCCAAATCTTGCAGGATAAGGATTCCCACACGACCCTGAAAGTGGCTAGGTTCCTGGTCGCTGTCCTCTCCCAAAAGCGACGCCAAGGAGCGCTACAAGCTAATTAAGGCGTAGCATGCCTTTCCATCTTATAGTATTTATTGTTATAGTGGTGTTTTAGCGACTGTTTTTTCTTTTCCCCACGGCACAAGCTGTCACTTATGTGTTGTTTTTACCTGTATGGGCCTATGGCCCATTATCTTATCTTATCTACTTTGTTGGAAGCTGCCCAGAGTGGCTGGGGCAACCCAGTCTGATGGGTGACACATAAAAAATAAAATTATTATTATTATTATTAGGTCCATTTTGATATATATATGGAAGAACACTCCATTATGTGAGCCTCCACTTGTTGCATAAAGGTAGCATAATCCAGATAGATTTACCAACTCAGTGAAAAAGAAGCCTAAGGGTGGTTTAAACTTGCTAGTTTAACACCCAGCGAAAATGTTTCAGGAATAGATCAAACTTATTTCTGCCTTCCTGGTGCTTATCAGTCGGGAGAGATATTTATTAAACACACACACAATTACGGCTGCCAGTATTGCAACTATGTGCTTGAAGAGGGTGCGGAGCTGAGCCAGGAAGGGGTGTGGCCTAGAGAGAGACCAGAGGGCTGATGTGGATCCCATGGCAGGGATGGGATTATGGTTATTTGTTTTTATACTGTTATCTGATTTGATAGCCGCCTTGCGTTTCTTTGGGAAATTAGGTGGGGAAAGTTAGGTATGAAAAAATAAATGGGGGAGAGGGCAGAGATCAATTGATTTTCCTTCTGGAAGCAGCTTGAGAGTAGTGAGAAAGAGGCAATATGTTTGTAATGCATTTTCTGCTTTCAGCCAGGACTTGGAAGTGGCAAGTGAGTTGTTCCTCACTTGTATCTCAAGGCATATAGGATGCTGATGCTTTGGGGCCAGGTCTAGGTCTGGCAAAGAGGCTAAGAGCAATGTATCAAGTGGAGTACAGCATGGGTTTAGGCCTGCTTCTACCCTTGGGAAGTATGACTAGAGAAGGGATTGGAGCTCATATATAAAACCTGGATAAATTATAGGATAAGATGTAACCTACAGATTTTTGAGAACATTGAATTTTTTGTGGAGCGTGCTTGGCAGGAGAAAATCTTAATTACCCTAATTACATTTTGAATACCTTATTAGATCTTTTGCTTGTTTGTATTACACACTCCTGGCTGCTTCAGCACAAGCTACTCCTTTTAAAAAACAAGAGAGCTGAAATTCTGTTGATCAGCTGCTTGGTAGGAATGAATCCACCTCTTCTACTCCCCACCCAAGCAGCTGATTAGCAGAATGTCAGCATGTGTTTTTTTTAAAAAACAGGGTCATTTTCTGTAGTCCCTGCATTTTGGCTGCTCTTGTACCTGAAAATGCTTAGAGCACCTTTGAGTCCTGCACCTTCCCCAACTCTTCAAGCTCCTTAAGGCTGGGGCTTGTCCATCTTCTGTTCAGTCATCTCTAAAATGCATGGGGATAATGGATGAGTTTCAACCCTTTTCCACAGCTTGGAATTGTGGGTGTGCCCTTCACTTTTCCTGCTGCAGCTTTAAGCTTAGGATGTCTGAGTCTTGGCTGTCTCCACTGTGGCACCTCCTTAGTGAGCAAATTTGCAGACACTTGATTTGGCCATTTGGATACCACTGTTTGACCAGTTGGAGATACCTGAATGGATATAGGTTTATGTGCATATTTATTTAGCAGCTTGCTGAATTAGGGGAAATAGTAACATGGGAACATAACCATGATCTGAAGTGCTACAACTTAATTATGCTGCTAAATTTTGCTTTTTATCACTGCATCCACCTCTTTAGTATCGTGACTGATCATTGGCATTTGTATTTATCTGTCTTACAGTAAATATTTTTGTTTTGATGTAGTGAGATAACTTTCAGATATTTGAAGAAATGCTTTTCATAGATATTGAAAACGCCGGCCTTGAAGTTATCAAAATATTACATAACAGCAAAATAAACCAGCTGGAATTTGGAGCACAGTGGAGAGGCTGCAAAACCCAAGTTGAATTAGTAGATATCATGCCATGAAACTTCCTAGTTAATTTGAGGTTTGAACTCCAAAAAAGTCACTCTTGGTTTATTAATCCAACCAAATGAAGATGTGTTTACATGACATTAGATGAAATTCCCATTGACTTCAGTAGAATTTGCCTGAAAGCAAAAGTTCTGAAATTTGCCTTTCTGTATGTGGGCAGTTATAATAGCAAACCATATACATTAGGGCAGAACTAAACCAGCAGAATAGAATTACTAGATTCTAACAATCTAATGCTGCTTTTTTTCCAGGATTTACAAAATCTTCACATGACTGTGGTTGAAGAATTTCAGAACTGTGCTGGAGAAGACCACTGGGACAATGTGTCAGAAATCTCTGAACAAATAGAAACTGTGACAGACAATTTTACTGATCAAAATCAAGAGTTGACAGTGGAAGAACATAGATGACAAGATGATTAAGTGCCTTCAACTCTCATGTACTGATGCTAAACCTCAACGTCAACTTGTGGACTTTCACTACAGAGAAATTGTATTAATGCCCTCTGTTTAAGAACAGTTAGCTGCAAAACACACACACACTATCCATGTGTGAAACTGTGAATGAGAAACCAGCAGTAAAAGCATTAAGAGGACACACATGCTATATGCTGTGACTTGATTATGGATGTATTTGAATACTTGTCAAATTACTGTGAAGGGTACCCCCTACCCGCCGCAGGCTTTTTAACAACCTTGCAAACACATAAGGGTGCTCTGATTTAGTCTCAGAGTGTGTATGTGTGTGTGGTTTCTAAAAAGCCTGTGGCAGTATTTATAGGAATTGACTGCAATAGTAAAGTGAAATTGAATTGTATAATTTATCTTGATGGAATGAGGTTAGCAATTTTACCTGTCTTGGTTGCTGAAAGAGCAGAAAGACAATCTGGAGGTGCCAATTGATACTCCCTTGCTGCTTAATGTACTTAAGTTCTTTCCATGGGCTTTGGCTAATGGAGTTTTTGGGTGGAATTCACGTTAGTGGTAGGAGATTGTTCCACCAGCACAAGTGTTTCTGCTTGCCTGACAACCATCTCCTCTTTCCTCCACTTGCATGCTGTTTGTTCTGGGTGTTCTCCGGACCCTCCAGAGTAGATTTGGGGGAGTAACTTAGGTTACTGTATCCATTCTGGAATAAGGTGACCTTGAAGATCGTTTGAGTACTTCAGCTGGTACAGACTACGTCGGCCCTTACTCAGACTACAGTGCAGAGGAAAAATCCACTGAAGTTATTTGATCTTTTTCTATAGCACTGGGCCGTACAGGTTTTTGCTCTTCACTAGGGCCACCTGAAATGGTTTTCCTCTGCATTCTTTCATTTACTGTAACAAGATCGAAACTGGTGAACCTTTATTTTGCAGCACTTATGTTGTGTGATGCTTTATCAAGTAATTAAATTACACAGAGGTCCCACTTTCTGAATGCTTGCTATGTGAAAATTCACTTATCTGAACAGGAGGAATTAGTACCCAACCCTCACTACACAGCACAGATTCAAATAGCTAAGGAGAGAGCATTTATTATTTCCTTGTTTGCCTTTTTCTGTTTGGCTGAGGAACTGTAGTGATACTTTTAGTAAGGTCAAGAGGGTTTTCCTGGGTGTTTGCTTTTAGGGGTTAAAATCTCATTGTCAAGAACACATTAGAAATTTTCCTGTAGGAATTGCCAACTTGTTATGTGAATGCTCACCTATCAAACTATTTCCAGGGACTGCATTATGTTCAGAAAGGGGGACCTGCGTATTCTGCCTTCACTTTATAATTTCTAGTGACAGATGAAAATGTTTGTTTCTAAATGCATTTGCAATCTTGCACATTTTACATGTTATTGTGGATAAATTTTGCTTGAATTGTGTGCCCTTATTTTTAAATGTGTTTTTGAATCTGTTTTAGTTTTGCCCATTGCCTTGCAAGCTCCATTTTAAAAGCAGAAAATTGTCATACTGTGACAAAACCCTAGAAACAATACTGGGAAGAAGGTATAGAATACAAGAATTCAGTTGCAAGGTATAAAGGGTTAATATATTTTGTCTGAGATACATACTAACCCATTATTTTTCGGCTAGTAACGGGTATTTATCGCTATCAGATCAAGCTGTAAAACTAGTGTACATTCTTATTAATTTAATGGAGTTACTGTATTCTTTTCACTTGTTTTTTTTATTATATGCTATTTTTGTGTTCTGTTTTCTATTTACCACTTTGGGATTCACCTAAAAGAAAATGTGGATTATTAATAAATTAAATGACAATGAAATAGGCCACCTCCATTTCATTTTTAATCTTTAGTAAAAGAAAATAACATAGAAGTGCAGGTTAATCCTGAATGTAATATAAATATTCAGTGGTTTGTGCCAATGCATTCTTTCTGAGAAGGAAGCAGCCATAGCCTACAAACAAGTTCCTGTCCACTTCAAGTAGTGTAAACATTACTGTGTAATCCTGATTGATTTCTTGTGGTTTTCAATCTTTTGTAAAAATTAATTCCTTTAAGAAGAATAGTTACTGAACTTGAAGCATGGGAACCCCCAACAAAAATATATAATTTGGCAAAATATTTGGACTTTATTATATGTATTGGTATAATTTGGAATAATTAATGTGATATGATTGGATTGTTAAATGGAAAACTTAATAAAAAAATATTTTTTTAAAAAAAGAATAGTTGCAGCTACCTTCTTTTTGGAGACCGCTGGGGCAGTATGCTACTGATGTTCAATCACTTTAATGCAAATACTTCAGAGATTGGGGGGGGGGGATGTTGCACTTATGGAATTAAATACCTACTTGAATTGTGAATCCTAAGCTGAGACCAAAATTAGTGAACAGTAGCAAGGACATCAGGTTGATTTCAGAAGACTAATTTGGACATATATGCTGTTATCAAAGGACACTGGCAGGTTTTTTTTTACCAATTAGTGTTAAAATGTTATGTATTCAATCAACTTTAAAGTCTAGCCGCTCAAGCTTTGGGGAAGCAACACTGCTGTGTTTTAACAACAAAAAACCCCAACTCTTCCCTATGCCATGCTGGGCAGCCTCACATCTTCTAAAGCTCATATGCCTATAGAAATAGAGCAATGCGAGGCTCTGCAATGGCCCAGATCTGACTTGGGTCGCTTCACTGACATGAAGTTCAACTCGGAGTTCAATTAAAAGCAATTTATCCAGCCTGAGCAGAGAGTCATTATACAACGGATAGAACTATATCTGTTTTTGTGTGAAAGAGAGAATATTACACTGTAGACAGAATACTGAGCAGTTTTAGCATTTGTAAAACAAAATACATTACCAATCTTTATTGGATTTTAATGTATTTACAATAAACAAACAAGATAGTCTAATGTCGTAACAGGACAACTCTTAGCATAGTATTTGCTTCATAGTCTGTCCTGAAAAGGGCTCTGAAGACAAATGAAAATGGTTTCAGAAAATAAACTAACACAGCTGTATTTCCTAGGTGGGGAGAAAAGTCCAAAAGTCTGAAAGTGAAGAATGTTTGGAAAAGGTCATTTTGCAGGGTCTCCAAAAATCAGAATGTAGAGTACCTTTACCTCATCTGATTCTTCTTCATGCCCCTAGACCCTGTCTTGCAAAAATATTTTTAACATGGAGTCCTTGTTACGTTTTGCAAATGATGCAGTTTGATATGCTTCTCAGTACACAGTTTGGCTTGGGTGAAATAAAATACAGGTAGTTCCAGTTAACATCACAGTACCTTAACATACATATTGTAATTCACTACAATAAAGTTCAGAAAAACATAGAAAACAGATGATAGTCTCATCAGAGAAGCTGATTAGATTCTGGACAAAAGGGAAGAGAAAAATCTAGTGAATTGTGTTTAAATATGCTTTTTCCTTGTATAAAGGTAAAGGTACCCCTGACCGTTAGCTCCAGTCACGGATGACTCTGGGGTTGCGGTGCTGATCTCGCTTTACTGGCCGAGGGAGCCGGCGTACAGCTTCCGGGTCATGTGGCCAGCATGACTAAGCCGCTTCTGGTGAACCAGAGCAGTGCACGGAAACGCCGTTTACCTTCCCGCTGGAGTGGTACCTATTTATCTACTTGCACAGCATGCTTTTGAACTGCTAGGTGGGCAGGAGCTCAGCCCGTCATGGGGATTCGAACCGCAGACCTTCTGATCAGCAAGCCCTAGGCTCAGTGGTTTAGACCACAGTGCCACCCGTGTCCCTTTTTTCCTTGTATAGTAAGCAACAAAACAAGCAGTCCTGTGATGCTTTGAACTTGGGATGGCTCCTTTGTTCTGAATATCGATTGCACAAGCATGTGAAATATCAGTCAGTCTCATGGTAAAATTGGTAATGTCTGACAAGACATTTTGATGGGGGGGTTTATGACAACACACCTTAAAAGGTCAAACCTAGAATTCTCCTACAGCTTGTCAAACACAATACGTCAGTCTTAAATATTTTTCACAGTGCATTCACTGAGAAAGGATTGGCCCATTCCATTTTAAGGCATGCTGCACTATCAAATAAATGCTTAAGATCTTTTGGTTTTTCACGTGAGTTTTTTTGCTAAATAGAATTTCCATACATACTTCATGCCTCCTTTGTTCAGTACACATTTTGTAGTATGGCGTAAAACATTCCTAGTAATTGGGAAGTTAGCGCTAGATGAAGTTTCAGCATATGATGCCAGAGTTCCAAATAACATATTTTTCTACTGGGGGTCATGCATCAATGGCTATTTGGAGATGCCATTCAGATTAATATTCTTTAAGTTCACTTTCTGATCACCTAATCAAAATCTCAACTCTTCAAGAAGCTACTACAGCTCATTTGTGCTTAAGAACAGTATATGATCTTGAACAAGCTATGAGCCTTAATCCTAAAACATTATTCACATATCAGAGCAGAAAAAACCTGCCAAGTGCAATGGAAGTTTAACATTCACTTTTATATTTTACAGGTAGTCATAGTATGTACATATTCACATTACTATCCATTCTATGAATAGATAGCTAACTTTGAGCAGAATATTTAAATCAGTTCACTTTCCAAAAATAAGTAAACATACAAAAGGTGTAATGCAACATCTATTTGGCAAAATATAAAACAGAAATGTAAATTATATTTACATACAAGGCTCGCTAAGCAAGATGAAGAAAAAAGTACTCTTAAGCCCACAGTTCTTCAGTTCTTCCAAATTTGTAGATAAGGGTGCTATGAAAACAAAAGTTTTGATCTGTAAGACAGACATTCTTTCCAATGATGATATGGCAAAATCATCAAAATTCTAGAAGCAGATGACATGATAACTGGCACTACTATACTGGTGGAGCTGTGAGTATGCCCTATCTCTGTCACTTGTGTATTATGATTAATGAACATTACTTGGCTTCTACTAACATCATTTTTCACAGAGATTTAGAACACCACAACGAACCCTCACACAGCCATTTCTATCGTCTGAGTAAATTGTGCAAACCGAAAACATCTGTATCGTTATAACCATTAGACTTTGGAGGCATTAGTTACTTACCTGAAAAATATCAAAGCATTCTGAAAAAACACTGCTAAGCCTGGGTAGACATTAATATCTATAAAATAAAAATGCAATAAATAGGTAAGTATTGAGACAAGTCTTCAAAACTTGTCACTACTAAGTTTATCTTGTGCTCATTTAGCTATGAAACAGCATTTTTAAAAGGGGGGGGAGATGGATCATGATAATTTAGTTCTATCTACAAACAATTAAGACTTGATCTATGGGAGTATGCTATGAAGTCAGACATCCCCCACCCCACTGTAGGTTTCTACACATTCCAGTGTCACCCCAAAACACTGCACTTTGTCACAAGAATATTCAGTACTTTGGAAATGCTGCAAGACTGAGGAGGGAGCAAAGTCTCAAGAAGGGGATATTTGGATTGTGTCTTAAGTATGCACATTTCCATAAATAGCCATCATTCAGCTTATTTACATTAGCATATTGAACATTTACAGCTACAGGATAGGACTGGAAACCACATGGGTTGTTGTTTTTTCTGGCTTCCACACTTTGACCCTTTGCCCAAATTTAATAGTTCCCCCTTTTTCACTGCCACAGAGTAAAAAACAGTCTGTGGGTAAATGATGGAAATACATCTGTTGTTTTCCTTCCAGCAGGTGACAGAAGCCTTTCTGGGTGAAAGGAACCCAGAGAACATTTTTCTTTCGCAGTGTTTGAGAGTTGTGGCTGTTAAGCAGAAGAGGAACAAAGGAGCTTGCAGTTCCCTAAAAAGCTCCCTTGATTCTTTGTAAGAAGCCGATTTATACTCTGTGACTTACAGACATGTGCGTATTTCCATACCGTAGCCATGTTAAGACTGCTGCAGCAAAAACAATATAGAATAAGCAGCAACAACCTGGAGTGCAAAGTGTCGACTTTTCAAAAATCTATAGAGGGTGTTGGTAATTTTGTCATGAAACAATGTATTTGTACACCAAGTCAACTAAAGTTTAGTCACGAGTATTAGGCCAGCAGGATCTCTCTCTTCTGTATAGAACCTGATCCTGCATGACTCACAGCAGTAAGAGGAAAAGCTAGGTTTCTACGAAATACCATGAACAAGAAAAGTAATCACATTAACTCTTATCAAGGCCCTGATCAGACCCATTAAGAGTCTCAAGAGCACCTTTCCACCTGAGCTTCACCCGATTCCCTTAAAGATCTAACAGCCTAGACCCCACTTACCTCCAGGAACATCTCCCATACAAACCTTCCCCATCCACCCCAAATCATCCACAGGGAAGCCAACTTTATCATCGACATTCAGCCATTAGACTATTTTTAACATTTACCAAGACTTCTAATATACTGCCACCTGCTGCTTTTATTTAGACTGTGCTTATCACCACCTCTTTCTTGTTTTAATATTGTGTCTTTTATTTTATTGTTTTTACATCCAGTAATTCTGCCCTTAAAAATTTCTAACAGAAAATAAGCAGCCAACAAAGCAGCTGGATCAGTCCTACATCATTTCGGATTCTTCAGCAAGTGGAGTGGAAGATGTTGGTCAAAACAGCAGGGGCATGATCCAGCCAAAGTGAAGCACTTTTAAGTACCACTGTTTTTAAGAAGATAACTACTTATACCTTGATTTGATTTCAAAATAAGATATTTAATTTTATTTCAAAATAAAATAAGGTATATAATAATGTGATATGTGCATCTCTCTCATTTAACACAAAGGCACTTACAAGTACATTTCTTTCCCCTTGATAAAAAATAAATCATCCTTACTGTGGGTAACATATGCTCCAAAAAGGATCCACATAGAAGCAATAAGTGAGCCGAACATCAACATGAAGCCAATGAAGAGCCAGACACGAGCACCTGCAAGAACACATGAAGTCAAGCACTAGACTAGGGTAATAATACGCAGAAATAAGGGGGCAGTGGGAAACAGCATCCCTCATCATCCCACTGAAGCTTTCTTCAACTCATAAGATTACTAACTTTTTTTTAACGTGAGCATGAAAAGATCTGTGCACCATTGACAGTACCACCAGCACCAGTCTAACATCTTGCTTTTTGTGACATGTGCCAGGACAGAAAGTTTTGTTATGTTTTCTTCGCTGCTTGCACAGCCAAGTTTTGAAATGAGGACTGAAGTGTGAATTTATCTGCATAAATAGGAGAATCCTCACCTGTTCTTCCTAAACATCCATCACCATAGCTGTCTCCTCTCACTTGAGCATTTGATACTGCGTTTATCCTGCAACACATAAAAAACAGCCGCTAAAATTACTTTTCTAAGAATTGTGCAAAAGACTAAAAGGCAGCAAGTCCACTAATCTGGATCCACAAAATACTCCCTCTCCAGTTTTAAGTAGTAATAATAATAATAATAATAATTTTTATTTATATCCCGCCCTCCCCAGCCGAAGCCGGGCTCAGGGCGGCTAACAACAATAAAACAGTACAAAAGTACAACACAACACAACACTCTAAAATCATTCATTATAAAATTAATTCAAATCAAGCCACAAGTATTTTCTTTTCTTTCCCAATCTTCCTTTTGAATCCAGATGCTAAACCTGATCAGATAACAAAACCAAAATGCCCAGTATATGCATATTCTCTCAGATACTAGAGTTGTCATATTTGTTTAGTCGTTTATCTACTACAATCCTTAAATCTCTTTTTGACTGTTACCAATGACAGTGTCTGGTGAGCAGTGCTACAGTGCCAAAAAGTAAAAGAGAGCTGTCACTATACTCTAGTAGAGTGGATACCAAGCATGAGAACAAATTGAGTAGGAAAAGAAATGGAGGGATAGGGGAAAACTGGGTCTCTGAAGATGATGAGAAATACATTTATGTATGCATGGAAACCTTTGTTTTTAGAAAGAAAACCTTGTTTATCCTCATCCCACAAAACAAACAGTAAGCTGTGCATGCACACTTCAACAATTTTGAAGGATGAGAAATAGTAGTAGAACACAAGAGCAAAAAGAGAAAAGAAAGATGGGGGGGATTATTTTGTAGGTGCACTTTGCCATTTGAGATGAACAACTGCTATTTTTGTATGGACCTATCATTATATGTACTTACATGAAAAAAGCTAGAGTAGAAAACACTCCACAAGTATGGAATGCGTGGTTCATTTGCTCTGGCTTAGGGTAAACTACTGCTGCATCTATCATTATCCACCAACCTGTAAAAAACTGTAAAACACATGATCATTAAACCATGGCAAATATCTACAGAAAGGTCAGCCACATAACTCTGCTGCTTCTCTTCTCCTTCACTCCACAGGCTTTGTAATAATCTGAGTCCCAGCTACCCACTCCAATTAACAGAAACTTCCTAGCCCACCCCACCCCCCGCCCTCCAAAGTGCATTGTTTTAGCTAGGGGCTCATTTCCGTCCCAGCCACAAAGACTAGAAGGTACCACTAAAGTATTCATGTGAACATGTACTATAAACCAGATTACCAGATCTACCTGCCATAGATGAGCTCAATATGGAGGCCACAGTGAAGAACTAAACAGATTCCATATTTACTCAAATGATAAGTAAGGCCTCCCAGCCAACTAATTAAGAGGCATCGTATTTTGGTATTGGCTTCTAACTGTAAGATTCAACAGCCGGCTTCATGGAAATAGTGCCCCTCTGTTGTTGTTGTTGTTTAGTCGTGTCCGACTCTTCGTGACCCCATGGACCAGAGCACGCCAGGCACCCCTGTCCTCCACTACCTCCCTCAGCCCCTCTGTAGTAAAAGATAAATAAATGATAGTGCTTTTTGAACTTTTAAGACTGCTTTTCCATTAAAACACACGTACCACAATGTACAATAAACACAATATTAAAACAGCACACAATCATACTCCCTTTACCATATAAACAATATACGAATGCACAAACAACACCTATTTGTTTATTTAAAAACGTGCTTGTTCGTGAATATAGATAAGGCTGGGGAGATGTCTTTCCCTTATACGCTCAATATTTCTGCTAATGATTAACATGAAAAGAGAAGCTGATTTGATTAATAATTTATACTATCTGAATTCATAGTGACTGAAGACATCACTTGAGGAGGAAAAAAAATTAACATTAATCAGGAACGTAGCCACCTCTTCTAAAACATTTACAAAGTGTGCCTGAAATAAAGCCAAAGTAACCATCAATGCAAATGTGCTTATCTAACAAATCTGTGTTCTCAGTACTCCAGTTGTATGGGCAGGAAGAATTTGCTGCTAGCTCTTAAGACAAGAAAACCAATAGCTCCCCACTTTGCAATTCCTACCACACTCAGAGCATTTTCTGGCAAGGTAAGAATGCTAACAGCAACATCTTTGCCTTAACCAACATAGCAAGTGTTGTGGCTCCTCTCAAGTAGACACAGTTGTGTTGGTAGGGGTATATGCCTAGCATGCAAAATGGGTGTACACAAAACACATGTTCAAGAGATAGACAACTAACAGTGCAATTCCAAGCTTGTTTTTTTTTTCAGAATCCCTCTCAGTTGAATGGAACTTAATGGTAGGCAAATATCCAGCACTGCAGCCTGGTGGCAGGCATGGCCAGCCCTGATGGTGAATGTGGCCATTAACATCCACACGCCCAACACTCAGATCCTCCCCTGCCCGTCCCCACTCACACATATTCTCCCTGCTGCCCAGCCACCATCAGGGGTACATATATTGTTAGACTACACTGGGAATGCTAGAGGTGATGTTAAAGCCCCTCCTGTTTCTAGTGTACAGAAGACAGTTGCTCCCACATGGAACAAGAATATTTTCTCTGCCATGCAGCTGATGGCTGATTATCAGCAAACTGAGCAGGCTCTCCCAGACCTGGGAGGGTTTCATGGGATGCCCACCTGTGATTTAGCACCAGAACTCACAAGTTGGCTTTCAATACAAACAAAGCAACTGAGCAAACATCCTGTAAATGTGACCGGATTTTTTTTTTACCATCAAGTGAGGCACTGACAAATCTGATGTACTCCCTTCCAACAGACCAGTTGGCATATTGCATTTGTCTTAAGACTTACCAGAATCCCAGCTACCACAGAAGCAACTGTATTTCTTCTTTCACTCCAATCAATACACTCACATTCAGGCCATCGGAAATTGTCTAGGAAACCTGCCATTTCTCAAGTTCAGGATGTCTCTTTTACCTGTGATATTTACATTAGATTTTCATGAATCTTCCAAGTCCTAAATAAAAAAAAGGGAGGGGGGAGAGAGAAACCAAAAGATCAGTGTATTATTTATTTACTTATTTAGTCTAGTTGTAGCCATTACAAAAGATAAGATCAGCGGGGCTACATTCATGCTTTGTCCTGTATAAGGCTGCAAAGGATCTTAAAACTAACTGAACTGTGGGTTAGATTTATGTTCCTTCTATTTCTTGGAATTCAGAAAAAAGCAAAAACTTAGGAACATAAAGTTTTATGTTTATGTCTTGGGCAGAATTGCTGGAGGCAGGCAGGGGGAGCAACTTAAGAGACAGTGGTTTAAGGCTTTTCTTGCAAGCTCACAGAAGAGGAGAGATTTCATCTGGGGACTCCCTGGCTCACGGATCTCATGCAGCTAATACTAGCTCTGAACTCCTTTGAGAAAGAGCAGGATAGAAATATAAAATATATCAGCAACTTTTTCTTAGGAGTTGATAAGATTACACTACCCAACACATAAAAGTCAGACAATAAAGAGATACTTAAGGCTGAACTGTTATATTCCACAGCTATATCAAATGTAACACTTCAGTTTAAAAAAAAAATCTTAGTGCACACTTATCTGGGAGCTCCACAGAACATAGTGGGGCTAACTGATAAGTAAACATGCAAAGGACTGCAATATAAGAGATTCAGTGTTATACAGAATCAAAAAGGAAACCTGTACTCTAGCTAAGTCCTCAGCAAGCAATCTTAATTTCTCTGCTCTTTTTTCAATTGTAAATTATTCATAAGAATTAGGCATTTAATCGATCTATTAAAAGTTGATGCTTGCCATCTAAGCATGCTAATATTTAAAAAACAAACTACAACCAAAATAAGGAGGAACACCTTTTTAAACTTAAAAAGCCCCCTCCATTTTAAAAAAATGGCATTCCCTCTTCTTATAGGATTATGTGTGGTGCAACATGTATATCTTAAAAGAAAGAAAGAAGGAAAAAGTATGCTTCTGGAAAGAGGCAGACAAAAAGGAAAGAGGTTTATATGACAGGCCTAAAATGTGTTCACTGGTCTAAAAGGATGCAAAACTAGGAAATGAAAATGCCTCTGAGAAACAAGAAGTACTTCTCGTGGATCAGCCACCACAACCCTCCAATTTTTGTCTGTTGTTGTTTAGTCATTCAGTCATGATCGACTCTTCGTGACCCCATGGACCAGAGCACGCCAGGCACTCCTGTCTTCCACTAATTTTTGTCTAATGCAGCACAAACTAGGGTGGGGCAGAACAGTCCCATGCTTTCTTAGGTAATATAGCTTCATGTTTTGAAAACCACAGCTCAAGCCTATCAGTATTCAAATTCAAATTACTCCTGTTCTATCCCAAGCCATTCAATAAATATTTCTCACGGGGGTGGGGGTGGGATTTAAGCTAACACAGGATTCTATGAAGATAATGCCCAACACCACATGCCTTGTAACACATTGAGAGGTTGTAATTACAGTACAAGAAAGAATCAGAAGATCATTAAACCCAACTACAGGCTTGAGACAGCATCACCCACAAAGCAAAGTCTCAAAGACTGATCCTCATAGTCCATAACAATGTTATAACAAACACCAGGAGCGAAGAGGTAAGCCACAGCAAATATGGCACTCCACTCCAACCTTTGTGCTACATGCATTATCCGAGGCCTCCACTCCAACCTTGGTGCTATACTCGTTTATCAAGAATGCAAAACACATCCCCACAATCTCCATTAACTGAAACACTAAAACCTTCTCTAGACATCCTGATTTAGGCTACAAAAGAGTGTTGAAAACATGGCAAGGATAATTACAAAGACTTATAGAGCAAAATGTATACTTATAGAGCAAAAGCCAATTAGACAACATAGCCAAATTCTATGGAATAACTCTCCAGATTTCCCTCCACAGGCACTTTACTAAAAACAGTAGAATGTGAATATACTTGTGGTCAGCATCTCATAATGAAGATGACTCTCACCATCCATCCATCTCCAATCAACGTATCCAGTAAGCCTTTCTCAAAAACTCACTTAAAACAGGGTTACAATACATGTCAATCATTCAGCAATTAGATCATCAACTGATGGTGGAAAACAGCCACTGAAGATCAGAAACTGAAAACAAAAGGAATTGTGCAGCCAAAGGTATGCATTTCAAGGTTACAATCCTATGCATGTTTCTACTGAACTTTTAGGGACCCATTTTCTGAGTAAACAACTTGCAGGAGTGGGCTGCAAATTTCATTTAATTCAGATGTGGTGTGGGAATTAACCATATAAAGATGCTTTAAAAATAACCTCATTGAAATGAATTAGATTGAAGCGCTTAAATGTTGCTTTGACTGTATATTCTATATTTGACTTTCTTCAAATTGTTTTATTGATGTTTTAATATTCTGTAAACCGCTTTGAGATATTTTTTTTTAAATATAAAGCGGTATAGAAATGAACATAATAATAATAATAAATCAACAATTTTCAATGAAGACAGTTCACATATTCCATTGCAAGTCATAAAGATGTGCTTTAATGATATATATGCATGTGTGAATCATTAGATAAGGTGTACACCTGCTAACTTTTACTTCCATCGCTTTTGGCTGCTTTAAAAACACAAACTTGCAAGGCGAATTTAAGAAGTTTAAAGAAATGAACCTTTAAATTATTCCAAAAGCACTGATGGTGACTTTAGAACTCAGCCCAGTCAACCCCCCAACATCTAGCAAATAAGCAAAGCTCTCTTTGCTGCTTGTGCTACATTGCCCCAAACAGCAACCTGACAACCAACCCATCCACACAAAACATGGTCCATCAGTGAATCCTCATATCACTGCTGATTAAATCCCTGCATTTCAAACATTGGTTTGAAACATTTAAAGGGGGGAGTTTTAAAGAAATTCCAGTACATTCTATTAAGGCTTCATTCAGTTGATGATTTTTGGCCCTCGTAAGAACCCAGAAAAGCTTTCGTCACCGTCTCAGGGCATGGTCCCACAAGTGGAACCGGTTTCAGGAGATTCAAAGATAATGCGCAAGGTAATCGCGTCTGTAATTTAGTTGAAAGCTCTGTGGATGCACACCTGTGAGCGGAAATCGCATCCCCAGCTATTCCCACGAACTACTTTAAGCTAAAAAAAAAAAGTGGGGGAGTCACATACGCAAACGTGCGAGCAGAGGAAGCCAGAAATGCATCCATGCATGCAAGAAGCTTGGCGGGCGAAAGTAAAAGGGGAGTGTAAACCCCGCTTTGCAAGGGGTGGGGTGGGAAGGAAATATATAATTAGATGCGCCTGTTCTTGGTGGATAATAGACTCAGTGGTGTAGTGAAGTAATTTCAGACTCTGGACCTGATGAATTTAACCCACCCCACCCCCCTCTTTAGATATTTATGCTTCCCTCAAAGTGTGGCAAGGAGGCAAGAAACTTTTCGGCCTCCTTCCCTTTCCCCTTCCCTCCTCTTGACATTAAGGAAGGTCAATCGACCAGCAGCCGAGCGCCAGGCTCCCTGCCGCCCCGCCCCCACCCCCTATGGGTGGGAAATAACGTCCCTCCTGAAACGAAAAAAGTGAGGGAGCGGCCCTCGGAGAAGAGAGGCCCCAAAGAAGGAGGGGCCGTGCCCCTAAAAGGCGTGACGGGGCCGGTCTCTCTCCAGGCCGAGGAAGAGCCACCTTCACAAGGGGCTTGTTTTGAATTACGGAGGTGTGGGGTGGGGGGAGAGGAAATATTCGCCCAGGCATGTCGTTATCCCCTCAGAAAAAAGGGGTGGGGAAAAAGAGCCGCAACCGCCGCGCGAGACCCCCTCACCTGGAAGACCCCCCGCTCCGCTCCATCCGCGGCCGTCACCCGGCTTGCTCTGCCGGCCGGAGGCGTGGGGAGAAGTCGCGGGGAGTTCAGCCAATCCACCTCCGGAGCTCCTCCGTCACAACGCTCGGCAAGGAGCGCTGTGATTGGGCCGCCAAACGCCGCGCGAGGCTTGCCGGTTGGCAAGGGGGACTCGCGATAGGCTCTCGAGCGCTGTCGCCCCCGCTCAGTTCCCGCCTCCCTCCTCCTCGCGAGCTGTTAGCAAAAGAGCTCCTCCCGCGAGGGCGAGGAGGGCAGGTGGCTGCCGTCGCCGGAGCGGTTTCGCCGCCTCCAGGATCAGGGCGCGGTGCAGAGGGAGCTCGCGGTATAGGCATCGCCCAAGGCCTCAGCGCGCGCAACCTCGTCGACTTCGGAGTTTTTTATCCCCTCGTAGTTTTTGAACCCGGCGTCGTTCAGTAAAGCTGAACGTTGGAAAATAAGGAAGAGAAAAGAAAAGTGCTTCTTAGCACAGGGGAAGTTAAACTGTGGAACTCGCTGCCACAAGATTTTTTTGGCGGGGGGGCGGAAGACAGAGGCCTACCTAGGCGCCCTTGGCAAGGAGCTGTAAGGCGGGGAGGCTCCAAGCTATATGGGGTGGACGTGGACTACACGGCCTCTTGAGGTCTTCAAAATGAGTGTAGCTACAACACGTTTCCCATATTCATTTCCATTGATACTGCTTCTTTTCTGCAGACTTCAAATGATATTGACAGTGTGTGTGCTAATAATTTTTTATTCCCTCTAAACTAGGGCTGGAGAACCTGTGCCCCTCCATACAGTTTTGGACTTCCAACTCCCCTTGTCCTTAACCTTTTGCCATGCTGGCTGGGGCTGATGGGACCAGCAGCATCTTGTTCTTAGATGTTTTTACACTTTGTCTCTACTACCCTATTCTTTTAATTCTACTGCTCTGCTGAATTTTTTTTTGCTGCCATGGTCTCCTTTGGGAAGAAGGGTTGGCTAGGCATTTAATGAAGACATACATACACACACATGTGAAGAGCCACAAGTTTACTAAACAGGCAACCCTGATTAGGGAAGTTTTTAATGTTTGGTGTTTTATTTTTTAATATTCTGTTGGGAGTCGCCCAGAGTGGCAGGGGAAACCCAGCCAGATGGGCGGGGTATAAATAATAAATTATTATTATTATTACCATCTCAGATCTAAACATCAGAGCCTTCCTCAATCCAATATCCTCCCACTGTTTTGGACTGTAGCTATCGTCAGTAACAGCCAGCATAGCCAATGGCAGGGCATGATGGGAATGATAACCCAAAACTTTTGGAGGGCACCAGGTTGGGAAAGGCTGCTGGGATCCTTCATAGTGCCTTGCCACACAGCGTTTTACACAATAACCTTATACTTATTACTCAGCTGTTGAACAGGTTGTTTTGTTAGTTGCTATGCCTATTTTCCCTGGAGGATGTATGCCCTGCCTTCCCAGTTGTCATACCCACTGATTTTTTATTCACCTTTGTTCACACTTTCCTCCAGGCTGGTTAAGCATAGCTGCCATAGACATTTTATTCGTATTTTGAGGTATGCTGGTTACTAAAGCATGCAAATAGATCTGATATCATAACCATCAGCTCCTATTAAATATGATTTTATTATAATAATATTTTACTACCCAGGCTAGCCAAACTACATGTAAACATTTAGTACATTTAGTGTTCTGGACCTGATACAATGGAACTCTACCCTGCCTGGGCTAGGATGGGTGGTATTACTCAAAGCAAACTCACAAAATTAACTGGTCTAACTTAGTCATATTCATTAATTGCACTAAAAGCACAAAAAGAAAGCAATATTGTCATCACTGAAGAAATCCAGAAACATACATTTTTAAAATACTGAGGCCAAGTTTTCACTTTTTCTCACCTTGCAGCTGCAAGCAAGCGATGTAAAACAACAGCAGGAACCATGAAATAATATGCAACAGTTTTATCAGACAGAATTTGCAAACTCATTATGTTCTCAACTGCCTTCACTTACAAGTCACAAAATGAGTGGAGAAGGAATATCATTTTTTGCCTTTTGCTTCAAGAACAAAAACTTGTCTGTTTTCCCTTCCATTTTTAAATGTCCTAATTTGCAAATGTAATCTAATATTTTATTTTTCTAAAATTTAATTCAACATACCCAAAAATAAAGGAATGCCAACCAAAACAGTGCTGGCAGGTATAAATGTGTTTATTTGTTCCTACACCTCTACAGCACTGTTAAGACAGTAAACAGAAAAATGTAATGTTTTCTGGAAGTAATATGAATCTTAGTGTACATTTAGTAGCTAAACCACATGGCTATCAGCGTAATCTTATTTCAAAATAAGATTCATCCATTTAAAAAAACTGGCTTTAATGTCAGATGATCTGCTACTTTCATTTTCTGTTTTCTTTGTCTCCTTTTCAGAATTCCTTTTCATCTGGCTTTTGCAGCTCTCCTGTACACGTGAAATTTCTTTGCCAGCATTAAAATGTACCATCTGCCTGCTAAGAATAGGAACAACCAAGTTGAAATCATTAATTCTTTTGTTTAGTGCCTGGATTCTTTCAGTAAACTGTTCACAAGATTCCTTCCATTGTTTCTCTTTTTGTGGTGTCATTGGCTCTCCCAGTTTATTCCTAGAAGCAATCAGATCCTTTCTCAGTTTTTCAATTGTTTCCCGTATTTCTTTCTGTATGAGAATCCACTCTGGTTGGTATCCGTTGTCTATCAGAATACGGTTCAGGTTGTGAGTCATAGGATCAATATGTGGACAGTCTGAAAATTTTTGCAATGGCTTTCCTTTACCACTAAGGTTCTCAAAGTCCCCTTTTGCCATAGATTCTTGAATGAGGTCTTCAACCAACCGTTCGATCGCTTGAGTGATTTTTGCCTTCTTACTTTGCCTTACATCTTTAGCTAACATAGCCTCACTCATTACTAGTTCGCGCTCCATTTTCTGCTTTCGGTATTCCATGACCTGTTCAGAAGCCCGATCAACTCTAAATTGCATATACTGTCTCTGTCTCTGACTTGGAGTTCCAAAACCTACACCCTCAAAACTTAAATACTGTCTGTGTTGGGGTGTCTTAGATTTGAATTTATCTTCCTCATCCTCCTCATTGTTTTCACTTGATTTCATTTTCTTGGTCATATAGTTAAGCACAACTCTATATGCTTCTTCTATTTGCACAAAAGTTGCAGAATCTGCTGTAGCAGATCCACTGTCTGGGTGATACTGCTTAGCAAGGTCTCGATAGGAATTTCTGACATCATCCAGTGAACAGCCTTCCTGAAGGTTAAGCAGCCTGTAAGAGTCTTTGATGTTTTTAGGTCTGAGATCTGACAGCAGTCTATGGTGATAGATAAAATGATGTAGAAATGGTTTGTCTGTCTTTGGAACCAATGCTGAGCATATCCAGACATGACACTGTATTTTTCTCAGCATCATCATACAGTGCCACTTCACAGCTCTTCAATGCAGCTTTTGTCTAAACCATCTAACTGCAAATCTGAACAAGTTCAGATGGAACTGAGCTCTTTTCTGTGAGATAATATTAGAAAAGAGAAGTTAATTAAGACATACAAATACATGCACTTATTTTGGAGCCTGGGCTGCAATCTTAAGCAGCAAGCTCCATTAAGTTTAGTTCGGTTTAAGTCTGGGTAAATATACATAGGATTCTTTTGCAAGCCTTTGTGCTTTGTGTATTACATTTTATAACCATGTTTGGAACTTCCACGGTAGCAATGGAATTTGAACATTTTTGAAGCTATGCTGATTGGCCTGCTGTGTGCTAGTGTAAGAGGAATCACTTTCATAATGAACTCAAGTTGTGAGTGATGAAAGAAACCGAGCCAAAACAGGATCACTGAGAAACAAGAGGGAAGAAGCAGCACGCTCAAAAGAACCCCAAGATTTTCGGAAGTTAAACTGTCCCCCCCAAAAGGGCGCACCCCCACAAAAAATGGCTCAGTGAGGAGTTAGCATAACTCACATTGTTATTTGTATGCATATGCATTTCTATAATGCTCAGTAGCTACCAAAAAAGTTACATAGTAAAAGGCCTTGCTTGAGCTCTTTACATCTTACAGTACCTTGGAGTGGAACATAGCTTGCTGGCAGGAACCTGAACAGGAACAACTCTGTGAGGATGTGCAAAGATACACAGCAACCTTTTGTTGCAAATCTCACTGGTACTGTATATATAATGTTACAGATGGGTTTTCCTCCAAACAATTTTCATTTTTGTTTAGTAATTTGTAAAGGTACAATCTAGCTACGTGTAGGTATCACAAAATTTCAATTTAACTGGTAATTTACCAGGATTTTAATTAACTAAACAAACATGTAATCAGGTCAGCTACATACAGGTAATTCCACTTCAAGCCACCTAAGCCCATTCATGCAATTACAGCAGGAAACGTGTTATTCCATGTGCAATTATGAAATGTTCTTTATCAGAAAGCAAAAGGATACTAGCATGTTACCTTCCATTCTTCCAGAAGCATGGTTATTCTGCATGTCTTGAACACGCTAAAATCTCCCACCATCTTTTTTAGACTGTTGAAAAATGAAAATCCCTATCAAAAATGATATCAGATGTAAATAATTATCAGTTAAGATGAGTAGCCGGTGCATCACTTTAAAGCACTTACATATATTTTGTTATACCAATGCATTGAACAGTGTTTTCATTGTATTACCCATCCTGGCCATTTCCTAAATTTATTAAGGACAATCTCCGGCCCCATGTGTACCATTTGAAACAATATGATACCACCTTAACAGCCATGTCTTACCTCAAAGAATCGGGAGAGCTGTAGCTTAAGGGTTAAGGGTGCTGAAAGTTGTCAGGAGACCCTTATTCCCATCACAGAGCTACAATTCTCAGAGTTCCCTGAGAAAATGAGCTCTGTGAGAGGAACAGGGTTTACCCAACACCTCTCAGCACCCTAAGCAAACTATGTCTCCTAGGGGAAAGCCATGACTATTTAAAGTGCCATGATACTGCTTTAAATGTAGAGGGTGGACAGGGCCTCAGCAGTTCAGTGGGGCTTACTCTTAAGCACAGGGGCGCCAACTTATAAAAAATATTGGGGGA